GGATACTGATCCACTTTTTAAACAATATGCACCATTTATTTTGAAATACAATTAAACAATTAAAGTGCAACGGTGAACAGAAGATAATACTGTAGTTCTAAATTGCAACATCTCCATAATTGTTTTGTCTGTAAAACAGTGTTAAATTAAAATGATAAAATAAGAAATAAAAACAAAATAGAAAACAAGTGTTAATTTACTCCTGAAAACTAGAGTTCAGTTCTACTGGCAATACCAAAAAAGTCAGTAAGTGGCAATAATACTCCATCTGACTACAATATGGTGCAAACAAATGTAGCATTTAGGATGCTAGTTTATCCCTGAAACCAAGGGTTCAATTCAACTGGCAAAAACATTTAAGAGCTACAAGAAAGGCTAAGCTGAAGCTTACAGTGTAATCACTAGAGTGCATAAACCTATTTTTGACATCTATTTCTTTTTCTGACTGGGTTTTGGGTCCCCAGACCTCTTCCTCTTTAATATATTTGCAGACGCAGTTGAGGCTGGTGCAGGGGAGGTAGGGGAGGCTTTGGCTGGAGCATAAAAGAGGGGTAAGAATCTGGCTGGCCCAGAGGAGGTGCTGGCTGGCCCAGAGGAGTGAGGGCTTCTGGCTGTTGTGGATGATGCAGAGGATTTTGCTGACTTTGTTCTCAGAGGATTTTGCTGACTTCGCCTGTTGTACCAGCCTGTTAGCTTTGTGTGTTGTCAAGTGCAGTTCATAATTTTGAAAGAAAGACAAAAAAGACTGCCTCAAAGGCTGGTCTATGGACATACTTGATGCTGTCCAGTCCTTGACTTTTAGAGTGGACTTAACCACTGCCAGGCTCTCATAGGTTTCCACATTCGGCGAACACCTGTCAGTCTTGAGGATGTCATCCATTAAACTGAACGATCCCTCTACCAGGGGGCCTGTAAAAATTGTGGTCCTTCAGACAGAAAATTCATAAATGGCAAGGAGTAATTTACTGCTTGCAGACCAAGAAAATAACTCTCGTCCCTGGGTGGGCTCGAACCACCAACCTTTCGGTTAACAGCCGAACGCGCTAACCGATTGCGCCACAGAGACAGCCACACCTTCCTGCCCACAAGAACAGGATTTGTGTAGCTGATTAGCATGGTGGCATGTGACAGTACATTCTTTTCATTTGCTCCAACTCATCTCCATTGCCAGCCTTTGCATAGACTGCAGACCTTATAGTGTTTAGACAAAGTATCACTGAAATAATAAGAGGTCATTTACATCAAAGCGAGGAGATGGAACAAAACACACTTCGTCCCTGGGTGGGCTCGAACCACCAACCTTTCGGTTAACAGCCGAACGCGCTAACCGATTGCGCCACAGAGACTGATATGCAGCCATTTTTGGCCCTGAATTTTTTTTTCCTCTAACAGTACTGCACATTTCCAATGGTTGTCACAAATTTGCCTCGAATCATGTATGACTTGTATTCCACAGCACATAACAACTTCCCATGAGGAAGAACTGCACAAGGACACCGTTTGGGCAAGTACAATAATATACATATTTCCACGGAAAAAACAGCCCGGCTAGCTCAGTCGGTAGAGCATGAGACTCTTAATCTCAGGGTCGTGGGTTCGAGCCCCACGTTGGGCGCTAGCATTTTCTTTTTGTGCTGTGCTGTGCTCTGAATTCCTATCTGCTGTTTCTGTGGTCTTCTATCAATATTTTAAGGCACTGAACTCTACATTGCTCCACTACATCCATCCTAATAGTGTTGTGATTTAGGGGCATTTTCATTCACATGGTCACCAATAATGGTTACCAAGAAGAGCTGGAACAACAGACTGGCTAACAACCTGAATGTGTCTTACTAGAGGTTAGATAAGCCCACATTCACACCCCTCACCCGCTCTGCCTCAGACCTTACACAACTAACTGCATCCCTTCCCTACTGCCCCTCCCCCCCGTGTCTCCGCTAGTTCAGCAACACAAGGTTAAGACACAGGGGGTTAAACAGCTGGCCCTCTGAAGCAGTCAAAACGACCTAGAGCTGAACACAGATGCTTGGTAGGCTATGTGTAGACGTACATGGCCAAAAATGCTTATTGTGGTACAAAAATAACATGTTTCCGCCCGGTTTCGAACCGGGGACCTTTCGCGTGTTAGGCGAACGTGATAACCACTACACTACGGAAACCCATGAATGCTATTTTGTCCATATGATTTCATATAGTGTGTCCACAGCCTGGTGACCTGGTTGACTACGGAACTCTGTCTGCAGTCTAGATAACACTTTCACCAATGACTTATATTTATTTTTTGCCACAGGTCCTCGTGCATCATGGTATGAATACACACCAAGAGTTGAGTTCCGCGAAACATAAACTATCACACATGCTTTCCTACATATGCGTTGGTGGTATAGTGGTTAGCATAGCTGCCTTCCAAGCAGTTGACCCGGGTTCGATTCCCGGCCAACGCAATGTTTATTTTAACTCAATCCACACTACAGTCCCAATCTTCTGAAGCACTTTGCTACAATGCATTTTCCATCCATACATACATTTTAATCTGCTTATCCAGGGCGACAGGCTGGGCAAGGTACTTCAGGGCCCTGTTTCAGAAAGTGAGATTATTCAAAACTCTGAGTATATTAAGCCTGAGATGAGGGAAACTCTTCTAGCCTGAGGCTGATTGTCCCATTGCCACAAAATACGCCTTCACTGTTCACAAACACAAATCAGATCACTACAATTGTTTAAGATTGTGTAAACTTGTTTGATTAAAAGTGTACATATTGATATCGGTATCAGTTATCAGTCAAATGAGTTTTCACATATCAGCATATCGGCAAAGAATCCAATATCGTGCTTCCCTACTATGTGCGTGAATAAGACTAATAGTTTAAATAAATAAAAATATTTAAATAATTTTCCAGCAATAGATTAATTTGAAAGGCCATAGAAAATGCCTTTGTACGCCCTCAACAAAGAATCTGAATTGTTTCAACCTACAATGGATTGAGGCCTACCTGATACTTTTACAGTCATGTTATAGTTTTGTGGCCTGTGCTGTAAACCTTTAAACTCGGGCTGTGCGGTATACCAGTTTGTACCGAAAACCGGTATTTATTTTCGTTATATGAATTTTTCATATGCTGCAATACTGGTGAATAGCCCAAACAACGTCCGGAACGTGCGCAGCGGTCAAGTCTTTCAGCGGGGACCCATTTCACCACTGCACACCACAGGCATGCTAGAGATGGCGAGAGTGAAAGCACAGAGAAAAGTTTAGAGGCGAGAATGGCTGCTGGTGAGAGTCCTGAAAGCGAAGCAACTGTACACGTTGCTGAAGAACACGATGACCCAGAAGAACTCATACCAAAAAGAGCAGTGTTTCCCCTATATGCAACTAGCAGCGGCTGATTTATTTATTTTTTTTCGTCTTAGCTCTTTAGAAACTACCGTTATATTATTTGGCGCTACGGACCCTTCATATCCAGGCCTATAGAACAGATCTATACCTTGTCCTTTTATTAAACAAACTAAATAGCCTTATGTTATTTATCTTATTTACATGACGGCATGCCATAACAGGGACGCTTGTGGATATAAAAAAGGGACGAGATGGTCACAGAGTTTCTGCTGGACAGGTATTTTTTAGTTTGCCTCAAAGTTTGAATCAACAGCACGACCAATGCTTGCAGCAGCCTCTGCGTACATTGGCGAAGTAAACATGGTGCAATAAGAAGTAAATTCTTCAGTGCAATACAGTCACAAGTTTCTAACAAACCACTGCAGAGATCTAACGCTACAACCGAGAGAGCTCAAGGTGTGTAGCAAGCTTGGCCTGCTACATCGAGCTAGCCCTGAGATGACTGTGGTTTCGCCTGGAGCTGTCCCGACGGGGTGACGCCAGCAGCGTTATATATTATATATATGACAACACAGTAGGCTTGTGCCGATTTCTGGTTTAACTGGTTCGGTCTGGTTTTAAGAGCTCCACCCGGTTTAATTCACGTCAACCGGATAAACCGGGAGGGGGTGGGGCTTCTCACATCAGCGATGTGTCAAGGGACTATATTCAACTTATCTTGCATTGAAACATGCATTATGACAACTTAATGTTAATTGTTTAGCTTGTCTCGGAGGCTCCACGGACTGCGGACTCCGCAGCTCTGCTCAACTGTCTGCTGCTGCTACGAGAGAAGTGTCCTTTTGCTTCTTCTTCTTCTTCTTGTGTAACTTTGTGTGTATTGGCGGTTAATACAGCATTATCGCCACCTAGTGGATTGGGAACTCACTACACCTATAATAGGCTTTTATTGGGAAAAATAGCTCAAATGCGACCCTCAGTGGTAAAAATAGGTATATAATTAGATATATCGGTTCGGTTAGATATTTGGCTTTAAATCAAACCGGTTGGAAAATTTTCAAACCGGCACAAGCCTACAACACAGCATCCAGTTGCTGCTAACATTAGTCTACTGTAGCGTAGCCTCTGAAACGTTAATGTTATCTTCCTTGTGCGTTTCCACTTACTAGTAACATTAATGCTACTATCTAACGTTAGCACTGTAACCTTATTCTAAACCTCATCAGTCATCACTGACTCCGGTTGAGTTTTAAAACTCCGGGGTTGCGTTTGACTGTCTTGGTCGTAACGTTACACTCGCTAGAGGCTGACATTTTTTCGGGACTCCCACGGGTCACGTGATTCCCGTGGGATTCCCACGGGGTGGAAATCAGTTTCACTATTAGTCACGTGATTGGGACGGGATGGGAAAAAAAGTCAACAAGAGCGGGCGGGACAGGGAATCATAATAACAACAGTCAAGATTTTATATACAAATATGCAGTTCCACAATGAATAAATGCTATTTCCTTATTTTTAATATACAGCTGGTCGATCTGTTGTCTTGTTTAATTCATTTTTATTCTCTCCTGTCAGGTGGCTGGCTGCAACCAACCAGCAACCAGCCACCTGACCAGCTTATGACATATATGGATGTTGACGCACGGTGCAGCCAGCCACCAAAATGGAGTCGGATGAGTTAGGGAAGGCAGCATTACAAGTGAAAGTGAAGGAAAATGATCCGCGCATCACTCTGACAGAGCTTTCGGGCAAGTCTGGAGTACTAAAGAAGTTTTTCAGACTCGAGAGTGATGGCATTAAATCTCTGTATGCTGCCTGTAAGACGTGTGGTGACACTACAGAGGAGTCATGGGTGACTTAGTATCTCAATATTTTGAGATAGTATCTCATTATTTTGACTTAGTATCTCATTATTTTTGAGATAACATTAGTATCTCATTATTTTGAGATAGTATCTCATTATTTCAAATTAGTATCTCATTATTTTGAGTTATTAGATCTTATTTTTTTCCATCAAGTGGCGGAAATGGGCTTCCATAGATATTTACGTTAAGGTTACAACCAAATACATTTTTACATCGAGGTGCTGTCACAAAGAAGTACATATAAAGTTATCTACCAGCGTTTAAACATTTTAGCTAAAATACAGTTTAACGTTACCTTTTCCTCTACTTGTTATCACCCTTACCTAACGCTGCATTAACTTGGCTTTATTTTCAAGTCCACGGGGGGACCACGGCCAAACTGTTACCAAAAAAATACGCAATTCTTGTTTGAAGGAGTATTTTGGAATGACTTTACATGATGAGCTTGCCAGATTTAGGTAACCCCACTTACTCAGATAATTAGATAATTAGTCAAGCTTCTCAAAATTCTGACAAATATTTAAAAAAATACCGTTTAGCTAGCATGACGCAGTAACGTTTACGTTAGCTGAGGTTTGCTAGTGACCATTAGTCACTAGGCACTAGCTACGCCGGGGGCTACGGGGAGCCTTCTGCGTAGCCACGTACCCTACGACGTAGCGACGTCGTTGATTTAACGCAGGACCATAAATCAGGCTTTAGCTTGCTAGCGTAAAGTGAAGTAACATTACCTGTGTTCTTTTCAGTCCAATTAAGAAAGTCGGTAGACGTCGGCAAACGGGATAATCTTTCCTTAGCACGTCTTCCTGCAAAATAATACTTAAGTACACCGTCTAGGCGCAGGTTAAACAAACTAAGCTTCGGCTGACGCTCTCGACATATCCTCCGCGTTATCTAACTGCGTAGCTTGCCCGCTCCCAGCATGCCCCCCGGCACCGACACATGACCTGAGGTATATTCAGGTACGGGCAGTGTTTTATTAAGTTAATAGTGTGACGTAACTCTTTTATTGGGTGTTGTCAAGTATTAAAAAAATCAAGAATCGGCAGTTTTATTTCACTAAACCTAAGGTCAGGCGTAAAAACTTTTATGTTACAGATAAGCTACTCATTCACTTTGTTTCTGGTCGTGTTTATTTTAACATTTACACAATTCTACAGTTTTTACAATGGTAGCACTGGCATATCACGTAGGCTACTGACATGACTGCAAAGACAGAAGTTCACATATTATAGAGAAAAATAAGACAGATTGTCAACCTTGACGATGAGAAAGAATGAAGAAATTCATGGAGGATTTTTTAATTGCATCATTTTAACTGGATTTTTTTTCATTTGCCTATACATCTCAGAGTAGGCACGGAAAACATTTATGGAGACTACGTATAAAACCAAATGGTGGTGTAATCAAGTCACTTGTATTCTCAAGTATGACTGATTGTGTTCGCCTATTAAACACTGGAATAGAGGAACGAACCGTTTTTTTTCTGCATGTGCAAAATGACTGGGAGTAAAATTAAACTGAACGTGGGAAGGAGTTGGAGAGCATACATGCAGGTAAAATTGGTAGGCTATGTTAAATACTTGTGGTGCCATGCGAGGCTACTTATAGGCACTGTACTGTACAATTCCGGGATAGACTATTTGTATTAAGTAATACTTAAGTATTTCAGTTTTATGCTTCTGTATTCTTCAACACCAGCTTGTTTCAAGTAGTTATACTTTAAACCATGTTTCAGTTTTTATAATCCTAGTAAAGCGAGCTAAGTTATTGTTTCTTCTTTTAGGATGAAGACGCCCATTTGAAACATTTTTTAAAGAAGCTGTTTCAATTATATACACCTTGATATACGTTTAACGCGCTGAGTGATTGCTTTTTAAGAAAGTATGGTTTACATGACACAGTTATAAACAGAAATGGCTTTATCAGAGTTTACAAAAGTGTTTGAGTTTTTTACCCAAAATTGTGACCCATTCTTCTACTATACATATATATATATATATATATATATATATATATATATATATATGAGATATGAGTGAGACCAGGGAATAGCAGAGGTTAAGGAAGTCCTGCACCTGGATTTAGTTTCCTTTTTTTCCTCTTTTCTCTCCCCTTTCTTTACTTTGTGCACTAAGGCACCTGTGTTCTTATTTTCATGTTCATGTTTGCCTGCATCTGTGAACTTATTATTTAAAAACTATTTTATGTAAAATGAAATGAATGCTGACACTGCAACATGATATATGTAATTCCATCTTTGGCTCAATAAAAATACTTGAAAATTTACTTTAGAATTTTTTCCAGGATGCCAAAATTAGGACTGGAAGGACTGCTGACATGAGAGATGAGCATATATTTATGTCACCTAACGCTGTGTTTGTTCAACCAGTACTGTCATTATGTTGTTATTATTGCTAAATAGGTTGGCATGTCTGTGCCAAGTATAGCTTAATAATCATACGTGCAATAAAAGTCCAAACATCACGTGGCATATGCGCTACAGTATGGTTGTCATGACGACAAGCTCCTCATCAAACAGCGTCCGGGCTTGCAACTGCAGCAAGCGACACGGTCAGAGTAATCGAGGAGATAGCTGTAATTTCATCTGCGGTGAGTACAAGCCTTTCACAGTCTTCCTGATTTCAACCACAATGTGACAGAGCGCCAGTCTGACAGGAAAAAGCCCAGAGGTGTGAAATAATACTGTATGTAGTGGGGCTGGTTGTGGTGTCTGTCTGTGTCTGCCAGTGTCACAGTAAGCTAAACAAAATGTGATTTCCGTTCAAGAACTTCAAACTAAAACTGTTCATCTTTGCTTTTTAATGTAAGATAATGCAGAATTTGGGGCAGGAGGAGGACACATAATAGAAAATCAATATAAAACACAACACAAGTGGCAATAAAGAATGTACTTGTAGGATGAGAATATACTGTCATAATTTTGATATCACGTTTGTCTGTGTGCTTTTATTTTGAAGACAGAGTCAGCTTACTTCCGGCCTGGTACTGGACAACTTAACAATGCAGCAGCTGCACTAGCACCGTCTTCTAAGACTAAACAGCATGATTACTAATGTCCAGACTCCCAACCAGTCCGTAATATACACAATAAAAAGTTCTATATATAAGGATGTTGTCACAAATGAACACCAGCAACCATCTTTGTTTGTCTGCCACACACATTGCACATCCTGTGTGCATGTCGATGAATGTCATGAAGCTAAATGAGAATCAGAATTTGGAACCAGACACTCTAATCTAAATTTAGATTAGAGTGTCTGGTTCCAAATTCTATATCTCATTTAGCTTCATGACATTCATCGACATGCACACAGGATGTGCAATGTGTGTGGCAGACAAACAAAGATGGTTGCTGGTGTTCATTTGTGACNTCTAATGCTATATTTCAGTGATGCTCAACGCATGGCCCCAGATCTGGTCTGCGTAGGGTGCCAGTGGCCAACCATTTTCTAATTCAGAATCAAAATACACCTATATTTGTACATACTGGAATTGTTTTGTATTTTGAATGAAGACAAGGTACAGGGGGGCAGAAAAAAGCATCAACATAGAGTTTTTTATTTAAAAATGAACACAGGGCTGGGGGAGGATCCCCTGGACTCCCCGACAGAGGAGGTCCTAGCTAGCCCCATATGTCCTCAAATCCCTGAAACCTCCCTGAACCTACACCTGAACTGTGCGGGGTCTCTGCCGCTGGATTTGCCTTGTAGCAAAGATGAATACGGACACCAAATGTCTAAAGATTGAAAAAAGACATTTCATTTATTATATATTGGTAAATAGTATTGATGTTTGTGTATTAACTGGCCCCTGGCGTCCTGTCATATTGCAAAACAAGTTGAGCATCCCTGCTGTATTTGGTTCAGAGAACAAATGACCTTTGTAAACATGTACACACATGCAATGAAGGAGTGCTTGTTACTAGACTGAATTAGATAAGACTGACTCCTGTTACACATTCCCTCACAGGTGATCATGCAGGATAACAGGAATGGGATGATTCCGTTCCCACCCCCCATCAGCAGAGACAGGGTAATCGGGGAATTCCCAAAGGTATGTCCTGTTTTTTTTTTTTTTCAATTTAATGTCCCAGTTCAAGAAAACCCTTGTCTTTTACTGTAAGATCACTGTAGTAAAAAAAAAAGATAAATAGGAGTGGCTAACTAGTAGATGGAAATTTCATTAAGAAACATGTGACTTCTAACTAACTTACTCAGATAGTGAAATCTGTGTCAGATCGGAGCACTGAGGGCTATTATGGGCTGTTGAGGTCAGCTACCCAAGCACAGACTCATTCAATATATCCCTCTGCCCTCTGAATCTTCTCTAGATAATATATTGAAGTACTTTATTTGGACAGGAATGTAATGGGGTCAGCTCAAAGGTTCTCAGGGCAACTGTCAGTCATGGTTTACCTGAGAAGACTGGCAGTGGCTCTATCCAATGTTAACGAATGCATACTAGTACTGGAATAATCCTAAATGTCCTAAATTGTGATAAGATTCAATGTCTCAAATGGTCTTGAATACAGCTGAATATATAATAATTTTTGATTTATAAGCCATTAAATAGGTTGTTGCTTCTCGTTTTTGCTTTTTTTTTGTAGTCTTCTTGTCCCATTCTGATAGAGAAGGACTGCTTTCCTTTCGATTTTGTAATATGAACTTAATCTTATCTTTATCTTAACTGGCATCAAAAGGTCTTAAATCAGAGATGCTGAATCTTAAAATCACAAGGTATTAACAGTAAAGGCCCTGACACACCAAGCCATCAGTCAGCCATCGGCCAAAGTTGGGCCATTGGTGAGTGTCTGCTGCCCTCGTTGGTGTGGTGTGTCCCACACCATTAGCCCTTGTTGCCGCTAGTTGGCCTTTTTCCACCAATTCAGCATGTTGAATGGGTGTGAGCACAGTGGAGTCTGTCAGGGAATGAAACCACTCTGATTGGCAGCTCAGCTCAGCGCACAAGAGAAACGTAAATGAGGGATGTAAACAAAGAGCTTAAGTCAAGAGGGAATGGGGTCAAAACAAACATGTTACATGGTAAGATAATATTTATTTAGTCACTGAGCTCTTTAGCAGAAATGTTTCCTGATGGATTGTGTTATTGTTCATTGGCGCACAGAAAATATGCTATGTTCTTTCAACATTGGAATGTGTTGCTAATGTGCCAACTGGGGTCAAGACATCTTCCTATTTCCCCTTTTTGAATGGCGATTACAGGTGACCGCCGTCTGCTGGTATGGAGGGGTATGTGCTCTCATGCATAACATATGTGCCTGTTGCCCGTCATTTTGGTTTATTCATATGCAACTTTTTGGCCGAGACATGGTCATAAGAGGTGACACAGCAGGAAACCCTCATCGCCACTAGATCTCCGACATTAGTTTGGTGTGTCTGGGCCTTAAGACATAGAAGTTAGTTTGCAAAAATAGCACAATCCCAATATGAAAGAAGTAAATCTGATGTTACAGTGCCACAGTAACAGTTACAATGTGACAGTCACCTAAAACAGACAACTTGAATAGTCATGTTGGGAGGGAATTACCCAGCAAGGTAAGCAGGTTTAGCCATGCTAGTGGCAAGGCTGTTAGGACGGCAGTGTCGGTCTGTCTGTAGATCTGCCTGTTTACAGCTCTGGGCTAGACTGAAATATCTGATGAACTGCTGTCATTAAAATTTAAATGTAACTTCATGATGCCCAGAAGATTAATCAAACTGAATTGGGTGATGACACAATCTGTCATGTAGTGCCATGATGCGGTTGACATTCTTTGCCTTAAATGAAATGTCAACTATCACATGGATTGCCATGAAATTTGGTAGAATTTGACACTGAATGACTTAAGTGATCCCACAACTTTTCATCTAGTGCTATCATAAAATCAAAGTTGTTTAATTGTCCAGTGATATCTCAACATCTACCTTGATGCATTTGCACAAAATATTGTACAGACATTCATGGTTTCCACACAATGTAGCCTAAAGACTTTGGTGATCCTCTAGGGCCACCATTAGGTTGACGTTCGTGGTTTTGAGTGAAATGTCTTAACAGCTATTGGATAGATTGCCATGACATTTGGTATAAACATTCATGTCCCCCTCACGATTCATTTCGATAACTGGTATTGCCTTCCATTTTGCATCTAGCACCATCATCGGGTCCAATACTTTGGTTTATGACTAAATACCTGCAAAACAAACGACACCCCCATTATTAATTAGTAAATGTAAGCATTCTAACTTTTAAACATTATACCTGCTTAACATCTGCATGCCAGCATTGGCATTGTAAGCATGTTAGCATTTAGCACAAAGAACCTGTGTGCCTAAGTAAGCCTCACAGAGTCACATGGCTGTGGACCTAGTCCTGTTATGTATTCAGTGGCATTGTGCACAATAAATGCCAGTACGTTATGGTCCTGTTCTTTTCAGTGCTACGCACCTAATGCCTCTCTGCAGCTGAAGACAGACTGGGACATTCAGACTAAAGCAGCCTGTAAAGACGGAGCAGCCAGGCATCAGCCGTGAGTCTACCGTTTTGGGTCGATGCATCACTCTTAGCTTTGCTTGAAAATCTCATGAAAAGCATTTACATCTCACTAATGTAAAAAAAACCTCTTTTCTTCTTTAAAGGTGGGACCGACAGAAAATGTCAAAAGTGGTGGTTGTTGGAGACCTTAATGTGGGGAAGACGTGTCTCATTAATAGGTACTTTATAAATAAGGAAGACAACAAATATGACTGAGATGGCAATATCAAAATCAGATCTGTTTTACCACATGTAATGGTACATACAGGAAAGTGGATGTGTTCTTCAGGTCAGTGTTTACCAACCTTTTTGACAAGTGACCCCTTAAAGTAAAGTCTACTTGTGATCCTTCATCACAGGTCAGTGGTGAAATGGTAATTTATTAGGTGGGTGTACTATCAAGTAGATGGGTAGGTTACCCAGGAGGAGGTGGGTATACTCTCCTATGTATCCTAATGGCTGTTTAGCTAATAGGTGGGTATACTGGGAGTGGCTAGAAAAAGGGGTGGGTATACCCTGTATTACCTGCGTATGGTAGGGATGTGCCATATCATATCATTCATGATAATACCGATGTAATTTTTAAAATGATATGAAAAATTCATATCCTAGCATAACAGCCTGTCACAGGTTATATCGTGATGATTAGAGGAGAAATGGCAGAGCATAAAGGTCCAGGTGGGAAAAAACTCAATCATTTAGGATTTAGGAAATTGCCTGTTCATTTATATCTATATAGGTCCCAGGGTACATTTTTTTGTATTTGGGAGCTGTTTAAATATATAATTTGTGGTAGATTTTATTTTGTTGAACTTATAGTACTTTTTAGTACTATAAAGATGAAAATATTATCCAGTTATTTATAAGCAAAGGGCCAAGATCATGAAAAAAATCTCACTAGTTTGTGAAGCAGAACATTTTTTTTCTGTTTCTGTGTCCTGCTCATCATCTCACAAGCAATCAGATTGATCTTGTGTCTTGTTTGGAGGGTCTCATCTAGATGGGAGAGGTTGGGAACCCCTGCCATGGTGCTACTGTAGAAACTTTTAGAACATTTTTCTCGTCTATATTGAACAAACACAGTTCTCTGTTGGAACTGACTGATTGCACCTATAACATGCTCAGAAATTTAGTAAAAAAAATATATATATATCAAAAAGAAACAGATCTGGGACTGTTGTAGTGTGTCTGACTTCTGAACAAAAAGATGACGAAAAGAAAAACAATGTGATTTGTTTATGCTGTTTTCAGGTTTTGTAAAGATGTGTTTGAGAGAGACTACAAGGCCACCATAGGTGTAGACTTTGAGATTGAGAGGTTTGAGATATCTGGAGTACCCTTCTCCCTACAGATGTGAGTAGTGTGATCTTAAATAAGTCTTTCTGCATACATATAACTTAGAGTACGTTTTCACCGTTCATGTTTACCTTTTTCATAGCTGGGACACTGCTGGGCAGGAAAAATTCAAGTGCATCACTTGTGCATACTACAGAGGCGCTCAGGGTAAGATGTTGTAAAAAAGATGGTTGTGTGTCTGATGTTAGGGGAAACTAGTTTACATTTTAGCTGGTGTAAAGTAATAATGCTGAAACTTGTTCATCTTTTCCAGTCATTATCACAGTCTTTGACATGGCAGACATTAAGTCCCTGGATCATACATGGTATGTTTTATTCTAAGATTATCATCAGGCTTATTCTACAATTGTGAAAAGTCTACAATACAAAGATTGATGCACTTTACCAAGAGTAATGATGCAACAAAAATGATCTAGTGACAATGCATAACCATACTAAATCTTATAATAATGACACATATATTTCATTCACCTGTTTTATTTTCCAAAATACAGCCTCTTAGACATTTAGTTGTTATATCTCGTATAAGTCAGAAGTCTTTAGCCTGCTAATCAGACTAAATACATTTCATTTCACTTCATTCATATCTTAAACTAAATCAACAACTCATCTTCAATGACATGTCTGTCAAATACTTTAATAAAGAACTTTCTTTTGTTTTTATAGCCAATGGCTGGAGGAGGCCATGAAAGAAAATGAACCTGACTCCTGTTTCATCTTCTTGGTTGGCACTAAAAGTGACCTGCTGGTGAATATATTTTGCACTATATGTACATTTCGCAGATGTTCGCAATTTTTCTCTAGTACCCACCCGTCTTGTCCTTAAGCCCTTAGAAGAAAGACAGAGGACAGAAAAAGATGCTGCCAGGATAGCAACAGAAATGCATGCAGAGTTTTGGGCTGTTTCGGCTAAAACAGGTAAGACCAAGAGCGTAAACATATCAGAGCTGTTAAGACAATAAGACAATATAAATACAGTGTTTTGGGGAATGCAGAAGGCCACTGTGAATAACTGTTAATATTTCTTATTTTCAGGGGAGAATGTGCAGGGATTTTTCTTCAGGGTGGCAGCTTTGGCCTTTGAGAAGTGTGTACTAAAAGACATGGAGAATGGAGTCCCTGCTAGCATTGGACGTGGAGGAGATAGTATTAGTAAGTAATGACTCAGCTCCTAACAATCAGAGATGCTGCTAATCGAAATCCCTGAGGGTATACACATCTATTCTAAATCTTTGTCTTTACAGAATCAGATCGTGCCAACCTGGAGGGGGCAGCACCCCAAGACACGAAGAGAAGCTGCTGCTCATGAAAAGAGGAACTCTTAACGTGATCTGTTAAGGAGCAGAACCAGATGGAGGCTCTATTCTGAGCTTTACCTGCAGAAATAAAAGTGGCCTTGTTCCACTGGTGTGAAATGTGCCTTAGGACATGTTCCATTAGGTTCCCAAAGGGACAGTTCACCCCAAAATCAAGTTGCCAAGTGTTGGAGATTTTGGCTGTAGAGATGTCTGCCTTCTCTCCAGTATAATGGAACTAGATGGCACTAAGCTTGTGGTGCTCAAAGTGAGAAAAAAAAAAAAAAAAAAATTTGCAAAACTTAAAAGCAATGTCTCTTTCCAGAAATCATGACTCAATATGATCTACAGACCTTGTTGTTAGCAGTTTTATGTAGGAGCTATTTTCTTTCTACCAAACTACACCCGCCAACTGTATCACGGCACAGAAGGAATTCCTCTGCTGAGAACAATGGCAGCTCTCCAGAGCTAGCTAACGGTACAGCTCAGCCGAGGAGAATGACATTAATATTTACATCTCACACTGTCATTAGCTCGAGACTCTCATTCATGAGGAGATGCACGCTTCCTTCTGTGCAGTGATATGGTTTAGGGATATAGTTCGGTAGAAAGAAAATAGTTTCTACATGAAACTGCACACAAATGGATACAGCGTTGAACGTGGAGCCTTGTTCATTCCTATGAAAGTTGCTCAGTGGCACATGAAGCCAAAATGGTCCAACTGCCAGGTATGAAATTACCCGGTTGATCTAGGGATAATAAACATTGCTTCCGCACTGCGCAGCCCATAGAACAGGAGAACCAGAGACTTACAGTGGCTGAGCGCGGCCAAGTGGCTATCTTCAGGTTTAGAGCTAACTTGAATGGGGATAAAATTGTTTTATCGTGCAGCTCTTTTAGACTTTTGTAGTGTTATCAGACAGAATGGATCAAATCTTGATAGTGAAACGAGTCATTTCACGGGGGTTGTGACGTTCAAAAAAAATTATCCACTGATTTACAGACGTCTCTTTTGCCATGTAAGTCAATAAGAAAAAGTCATTTTGGGCCACAGGGCATCTCATGATGATGTAATTACACCATTTGGCCACTATGAAAATTGGCTTCAAAGCCTGCCGCACTTCCTGGGGGCCTGCTCACAACAAGGTCAGTGGATTATCTTGAGTAATATTGTGGAGAAGGCAGACATCTCTACAGCCAATATCTTCAATACTCAACAACTCACACCAAATCTGGATTGACAAACAGCAGGTAGGAGGAAAAATATGTATTTTTGCTTTTGGGGTGAATTGTCCTTACAAGTCATAAACACTGCCATGTATTCTGACATCTTCAAAAGACTCAATCAGTATGCGCTTCTGAAAGACAACTGTTATAGGACTGAAACTGACAATAATGTACTCTCTTTGCTGATACTAAGTCTTGTATATTTGACCATTTTTATGGGATAGTTGTCAGTATTTCATCCAGAATATCACTTAGACAATGGACAATAGATAAAATACTATACATTGGCAATAACAAACAATAATAACATATAACAAATCATATGACACTCATTTGGATACTTTGGATTTTTTTTTTGCTACTGTCGTAGTGTTTGTTTGTGTCATACAGTATTGTTGTGAAATATGTCTCACCCAGTATAGTGGGTGATAAAGGTTTAATGAAAGTTTATAGGCTGGAATTATGGAGCAAGATAACTAAAGGATTATGTTTACTTTAAAGTTATAAAAGTCTAAATGAGTCTACTCTTTACTCAATATATATAATGGGCACAACATTATAATGTAATTTATCAAAGTAATACCTGATTCATTGGAACAATAGCTGGCGATAACAGCTGTGCATTTATGAAACCAGTATTGTTGTCAAAGTCTCATTATTATTTAATAAAGTGGTTTATCAGCTGTCTGAACTGTTATGTCATTAATATATTTAAGATCATGAGCTATGGCTATGCAAGATTCCCAAGCAAAATGCTGAGTGTTTTGTTCCTTTTTGAACTTCTTACTTTTTCGTCGGCCTATCTGGGGCTGGGTTAAGGGGGCAGCATGCCAAGCAGATGTCCCTCTCCTCGCAACGCTTCTGAGGTTCTCCCGGGGGACCCCAAAGCATTCCCAGACCAGATGAGATATGTAATCCCTCCAGCGTGTCCTGGGTCTACCCTGGGGCCTTCTACTAGTGGGATGTGCCCGGAACACCTCTAACGGGAGGCATCCTGGGCCCATGGTGGAAACTCATTTTGGCCGCTTGTATCCGCAATCTCATTCTTTCGGTCACTACCCAGAGCTCATGACCATAGGTGAGGGTTGGGATGTAGATGGACCAGTAAATTGAAAGCTTTGCCTTCTTGCTCAGCTCCCTATTCCCCAAAACAGTCGAGGGCAGCACCCGCATCACTGCAGACACCAACCCTCCCTCCACCATAAATAACCATATTTCAAAGTTTCTGGCTATGATAAATGGTGTGATTTTAGAGATTTAAAAAGAACCATGCCTTCAAAATCCACTTGTGGGTTTTTGGGTTCTTTTTAGGTTGGTTAAAATAAATACAAAATACAACAATTTAACCAAATCTAAAAACATAACTCTCTCCAAGTTTTGCTCCACTCCCTCCCATCTCATAGGTAATGAACATTCCCTAATGATTAGGGTGTTGTTATCTACTGAAAAACACAAAATGTGTACAAGGACTTGTCTTTATTTGATGTGTGGCGGTGCAGATATATAACCTATGATAAATTAAGTTTATATTTACATCACATCATAGTTGTATGCCCTTGCTTACAATTATATTATAAGCAGGACATCTTAAAGTACTTTAACATACAATTTAAGGAAATAGTATAATATGTGTGGAATATGGGGGAATTCGTAGGTATGCCGGGTAATAGGCTACATGAAAAAAAAACACGAGTTCAAGTCCCGAAAGAAACGAAAATGAAAATAAGAGGAGTGAACCCTCTTGTTTTGCTAAGACACTCTTTGATCCGCCGCGAGCCAATCACATCACACGTGTCCATGTTTTGGAGGAAGTACGACCAGCAGGAGCTACCGTCAGGAAAGTTAGCCAGCACACTGCTTTCTATTTCCACCTTTAAAACGGCGACTCTAACTTATTCTAACTGAATGGCTATATGGATGCATCTTCATTGCAAGCAGTTAGTGTAACGTAGGGGCTAGCGTTAGTAAACTCAGTGCAGTAGCTGTAAATTGTCTCAAAGTAGAGACATGCTAGGCTAGCATATGTCAACATCCCAGGGCAGTTGGAGCTGCTAGGAGTTTGAGTTGTTGAGGAGAGCCTGCTCAGGTAACGGTACAGCTATATTTATTCTATGTGAGTTTACTAGTCCTAACCAAACTACCCTAATGTTTTCTACTGAAATACTACAAGAAGTTATCATAATAAATATATTGCTCTTGAATGTATTGTAGGTCTAAGTGATAGACAGAATGTTAATGTTGCTCCTTTCCAAAGCCTGACCGGCAACTCGTGAGTCAACAGGCAACCTTAGTATAACAGTTTCAAGATGTTTATTTCAGTCAAAACGCAACTTTCAGACTATTTTGCCTGCCTCACCGCTTTCTACATAGACTTCTGTCGTTACCTACACCACTGTGTGGAAGGCTATAAGAAAATAACATTTAATGAATCAGTTGTATCGCAGCCTTACTATGGCATAGCAGATATGGTAACTAAGTTTAGGACTTTTAAGACATTGAAAGAGAACACATACGAACTAAAGCTCATGTGTCAGTTTGCTGGCAGTCTTGAGAAGCCATAAATAAACTCCTGATTTTGCTACACAGCTGTTTCATTATGAAGACCAATAAGTCGTACAAGCTTGTGCTGCACAAGAAAGGTTTTGGTGGAAGTGGTAAGCAAGAACTTGCATTTCATGCAGTCTAAATTAATGCTTCACTTTAGAAATATTTAATCTCTCTGAGTTTCACAAATGAACTTTTTCTTCAAACAGATGATGAGTTGGTTGTCAACCCAAAAGTTTTCCCTCAAGTCAGTCTGAGGGATATAATCGAGATCGCACACCCCACAGATGAATACAGGTGAGCTTACTTAATGAGAGGATGACTGCTGTATGTCCATTTACACAGTGTTACATTTTTAATCTGCTTTTGTCTCTTTTGAAATTCCCAGTCCTCTCCTGCTGCAAGTGAAGAGCCTAAAAGAGGACCTTCAGAAAGGTAAATTTATTATGATCTGGCAATGTATGTAGCAGCATGTTTGCTATATTTCAAGTCTTCAGTAAGGCTAGATTAAATAAATTTAATTGTATCAATAAATAATGATAATAGTATAGTGCTGAAATATTAAAGGCATATTTCACCCACAAAATGACCATTTGCGTGTCAGTTAGTTGTGCTGTGTTACCTTGAATTGGTAAAGAAAATTTTATTTTTCTCACACGCTAAAAACTAAGTAAACTATGAATATATTGGTTGATTGGGACCATGTCTAACTACAGCAAAACTACATCAAAACATCTGTTTACAAACTCCCACATGCAGTATAATCCAAGTCTCATTTATCCACTCAGTACTTCCCAAACACATGCATTTTCACGAAAACCTCACTATTTAAAACTGAACTGAAAGTGAAACTTATCTTTTCTCTTTTCAAAGCCAGACTCCAATACTTGTTTTAGTGAAAATATTATGGAAGTGCTAAGCTTACGACTGAATAAACGAGATTTGGATTATCCTGCACCAGCTGTGTGAGAGTTTTTAAACAGATGTTTTGATACAGTTTTGATGTTGTTAAACATGGTCCCCAATCAATCAATAAATCAATGTTTTTGCTGTTTTCTGTTTTGCATTTTTATCAGTGGAAATGCCAAACATAACCTGGTTCCTGGTTTTAAATGTGAGGATTTGCAGCTTTGTCTTTTGTGATACTGAGTATGTTTGAGTAATCTGTGTAATGTCATTTTGTTAATAATGTTTAGTTTAGTTTAGTTAATTTTGGTCATTTTCCAACTTGTGAAACTCAAATACACTGTTAGATAAATGATAAATACATATTAACTTAATGCTTATTTAGCATTAAAAACAAAAGATAAACAAAACATGACTGAAAACGTGTAGGCTGAAGCCTTAGCTTATTACATTATCATTACTTGCAGCCCTAGAGATCTCTTAAGCGGTGACAGAATAACAGGTATACCCTGTTATCTGCTGTAATCCATTACAACTGTCTTGCAATATATCCTGCCCTGTGATCCTTACAATGTTTAGTTTTTCCTGGCGCTGTAATAAATCTGTAAATTCAACTCTATGGGTTTTTTTAGGCTACAGTTGGCAGTGTTGCCATATGTCAATGCATTAAATTATAGGGTATAGGGTATATTGTCCTCCTCCAGTTACATACATCACAAATGGCATAATATACATTGCTTATAAATGTCTGTTATTATATGCAGTCCATACACTTAACAATGCAGAGAGTTGTGGTGGTTGTGTGTTCACTACCCATGATAGATAATTTGTTCTTATGTAGAGACGATCAGTGTGGACCAGACTGTAGCTCAAGCCTTCAAGTTGCGTGCCTACCAGGATGTCATTGTCAACATTGTCGACCCAAAGGTATATTCACTGTGACCCTGCTGCGTCTCCACCATTTGACAGTTGAACAGAATCCCTCAGGTTAATTTTGCCTTGCAGGATGTAACACTTGACCTGGTGGAGCTGACCTTCAAGGATCAGTACATCGGCAGAGGGGACATGTGGAGACTAAAGAAAAGTCTGGTGGGCCATATGACACTATAGTGTATCGGTATAATTTGTAATGGTAAACATTTATGTAAAGATTTAATCGTTACAATCTTTATTCCAGGTGAGCACCTGTGCTTATGTGACACAGAAAGTGGAGTTTGCAGGAATCAGGTACGAAGCATACATTTCATTCTCTGCACTCCATTTTCAGAAATGCATGAAGAGTGACTTGAATGCAGAATTAATCAATATGTACAAACATAAACTTTTCTATTACTGAGTACAGAAAGCAGCCCGCATACAGTATGTGTAAAGGTTGAGAAAAAAGGCAAAAGGACCAGTAATGTTCCTTGTCATACGAAAGAAGAAAGTAGACATTGCCATAGTTGGAGGCTTGATGAGACAGCTGTCTCTGTCTTAGCTGTCTCTGCTTTGTTTTCTTCATGTACAATGGTGATGCCGAATGAAATGGCTGTAGAATGTTTCTGTCACTACATGAAAGCTTATAGTGTTTTTTACTCTGCAGGGCCCAGGCCAGTGAATTGTGGGTGAAAGGAGAGAAAGTGACCTGTGGGTACATCAGTGAAGACACCAGGGTAAGAGCAGTTTTGAAAATAGATGCTGATATACACACTTAAAACAAAAATATATGTAAATGAGGTGTTCACAGTTTGTGAGTTTGACCTTCTTCATGTAACTGTCAAATTGAAGTGTCAGAATTGTGGTTTGGAAGTGGTCTGGGATAATAGAATGCCACATTGAAACTCAAAATTTGTTTCAGTTTAGCAAGGTTTGACTCACAACACCCATGTCATTACAAAGAAACTCTCTGATACATAGCTTTTTAAATGAAGTCATTCAATAAACAATCAGGAAAAGGGGCTGTGACTGAACTGCGTGTTAACTTTTTAACACAGATACATCCAATTCGCACTTATAGTACCATGGCATATTAGGGCCTTGCTTGAAAATTTACAAAAACAAAAAAGGAAATTCTTTGAGATCAAAGTGGTAGATTTATGGGAAAAAAACTTGGAAATTCTCCAACATCTTAAAGTCATAAATTTATAAGAAAAAACTCAGATATTATCTGAGAAAAAAGTCACAAATTTACAAGAAAAAAAGGAGTGTTGCTTTACTTGATTTTTAATGATAATTTCTTAATTCAAGAACAAAACCTGGAGGTTACAGTTTAGCTTTTTAGTAGTAGTAGTGATTTTTATTATTTAAATAGCTAATAAACAATTTTTTATAGCTTATTAGCTTAAGCTCTCTATAGTCTTAGTGAGGTCATCAGAGTCATTACAAGTCATTCTTCTGGGACTGTGAACACAACATGTATATAAGTTTACATAATGAAATTCAGTTTCAATTTTTTTAAAACTCGACTATTAAAGGATGTTAAGTATTTCTTTTTAGTAATTATTGTGCCTTAAGTTTCATTTTGTTTTGTACATGCAAGACCGGAAGATGGTTGTGAAAGAAGTGTCTTTTTACTCGAGATGTACCGATACCACTTTCCTTCCTGATACTGATTCCGATCCCTGAACCTTAGGTATCTGCCGATACCGAGTACCGATCCGATACCAGCGTGTAAAATAAAAATGGATGGGATATGAATTGTTGTATATCTCAACTCCTAAAACTCTATGTAAAAATATCAAGAAATAAATACATATTATTTAGAATCTCCCCTATCTCAGTTGAAACCCTATTCCCAAGATCAAAATTACATGTAATCCAGTTTTTCAGTTGCAAGTACTTGAAAAAATCAGTGTCTTTTAGTTTATATTTAGTTTTAGTTTATTATTTATTATTCTATCGGAATATGATGTTAATGGTAACGTTCCCATTCAGGTATTCTGCTAAAGTTATGGCACACAGAGTGCACTCAGCAGCTTTATACATTCTAAAAACTGAAAATAATAAGTAATTTAAGTCTAAATTCAATAAGCCTGACTCACACAGGACACAAACCCTGCTCTCCTGGGTGAAAGTCCTCCACAACTTACACTCTGTCACACTTAATACTTAGTCACCTGACTTTCTGACAGAAAACCCTGACGGCAAGTCTCTTAAATTTACAACTTAAATCTCAGTGAATTTCTAAGTTGTATTTGTGCAGATTTATGACTTCATAATGTCAGCAAATGTTTTAGCTTTCTTATTTTACCCACAATGGCCCTAATACACTATCATACTTACAGTGTTAAAACTTGTATAAAATTTGTACTTTAAGTTGTGAGGGCACAAGCACCCTTGTGGCCCATGGGTTTAAGGTACTGACCAGGGGTCGCCACATCCCCAGCATCAAGTCTGACTGTGGACCATTGTTGCATATCAGTCCCCCTCTCTCCCCATCACCTCTTTAAAAAAAAATCTTTTTTTAATTGCATACCTATATCAAGGATCATACCTGAACTGTTACAGCAAGCACCTGACTCCCTTTGGCTTCAAAAGCCTGCTATTAAATAGTCACTTTAGTATTTGTTAATGTAAGATTCACTGATTTCTATAAATGCTTTGTGACTTTGTACATACAGGTGGTGTTCAGATCCACATCTGCAATGGTGTACATCTTTATCCAGATGAGTTGTGAGATGTGGGACTTTGACATCTATGGTTAGTTGGACCTGATTTGTTACTCAAACTTTGTAGGCAGGTTTCATTTGGTTTTCAGTGACATAAATGTTCTCTTCTTTACATGTGCCTCTGGAAGAGAATGTCTTATTGTAATGTTTTGCTCTTAGGGGATCTCTACTTTGAGAAGGCTGTAAATGGTTTCCTCTCTGACCTTTTCGCCAAGTGGAAGGTTTGTAATTTCTCTTTGTCTGCCTCTGTGTAACATTTTCTTTCAAACTTGAAACAAAACCAGTGTTTTCATGTTAAACAGGAGAAGAACTGCAGTCATGAAGTGACAGTTGTACTTTTCTCACGTACATTCTACAATGCCAAATCTATCGGTGAGTGTGTTTCCTACGTTAACACAGTGAGTTATGATGCATATTGATATAATTACCATTAATACAAATAACCTTTTTTTTCCTCAGATGAATTTCCTGAGATCCTGAGAGGGTCCATCAGACAGGATCATGAGGGACGTTTTTATGAAGACTTTTACAGGTAACTGTAGTTACTGTACACATTATCTACCTTACTTAAAGCTTATCTGAATTACGGTAGTGATGTCGGAGGTTTTAATGCTTCCGTACTGGCAATAGATGTGGCTGGAGGCATTATGTTTTCTTGTTGTTCATCCATCTGTCCCATTCTTGTGAATGCAATATCTCAAGAATGCCTTGAGGGAATTTCTTCAAATTTAGCAAAAACGGCCGCTTGGACTCAACAATAAACCAATTAGAATTTGGAGGTCATAGGTCAGAGGTCAATGTGACCTTGCATCTGTCTTATTCTCATGAACCCAATATCTCAATAACATCATGAGGAAGTTTCCCCCTAAATTTGGTACAAACCTCCATTTGGACTCCAGAATGAACTGATTAGAATTTGGTGGTCCAAGGTCAAGTTCACTGTGACCTCACAAAACATGTTTTTGGCCATAACTCAAGAGCTCATACACTAATTATGACAACATTTTTCACAAATGTCTAACAGCATAAAATGATGAAGTGATGACATTTTATATCCAAAAGGTCAAAGGTCAACTTCACTGTGACATCATAATATTCAGCATAAAACACTCAAGATCATTACTCAGGAACAGAAGTGGAGACATTTGGTCAGATACTGAATTGGTGACACTAATCTTTGGTGCCCACCTTGAAACTGTGCTGATTGTATAGATCCTCTGTGCTGCCGGGGGAAAGATATGTGTGAAGCATCCATTGTTTTCAGAGACATGAATGTAAACTGTAACTGCAGCTTGACTGGTGCAGAGGCATACAACTGCAAAGTGGTAATTCTAGTTTGACGGTGTTTTGTGTTCAGGGTTGTTGCTCAGAATGAGAGACGGGATGAGTGGACATCACTACTGGTCACTATCAAGAAGCTCTTCATTCAGTATCCTGTCCTGGTGCGGCTCAAGGAAGCAGGTAGAGAGAGTCGAGCGTTTGGCTGATAAATGGCTCTTTGGATCAGGTGCTTATTGTAACCAAATCATGTGTTGATTTCTTTTCATGCCAGATGGTTTTCCTGTTGGTAACAACTCAACTGCTGCTCAAGGAAACTACCTGGAGGCCATTAACCTTTCCTTCAATGGTAAGTAGGCCAATACCAGACTAGAACTGCTCTCAGAAAAAGGAGAAATTGTTTTACTGAGAGCATGTTTAGTCAAGATACATGGTCATAGTCATCACAGTTATTAAATTTAGGATTTGCAGTTTACATTGTGCAACTATATTCAGCATACTACATTTAAAAAAAACATGTAACACATTAATTTAGAATTGTCTGTAATGTATGTGTTAACATTTGTGAAAATGTTATTTATTTCTAGCAGTATTAACAAGTGATCATCAGACTGAAAAGCAATAGTGTTTCACTTCATTATTTGAATCTATTAATCTATCATTATGTTTGAATTGCAGAAAAAAAAGAGGTTTGGATCTATGTGTTCATGCCAAGTGGTTTTCATTTCACTTTGTTATCCTATTTCAAAAGTTAATTGGTTATTAATTTGGCCATTTGCCATTTGGCCATTTATACAAGCAATTTTGTTTCTCAGTGCTCAGGTACTCACACTTTCTGGCCTGCCATCAACTCACAATTGTGAATAGCATTTTACTGAAACCATCTGAAATATTTTTATGCCTCTGAGCAGGATTATGTTTTCAGGTTGTCTGTCCAACCGTCCGTTTGTCCCATTCTTGTTAACGCAGTATCTTAAGAACACCTTGATGGAATTTCCTCAGATTTGGCACAAACGTCTATTGGACTCAACAATGAACTGATTAGATTTTGTTGGTCAAAGGTTAAGGTCACCGTGACCTCACAAAACATGTTCAGAATTCATACGTTAATTATATATTAATTGTATTTTGTTGCTAGTTTGGAGAGCAGGAGTTAGCACTGTAACATTGCAGCCCCATTATACAAGACCAGAAATTCACTCCCATTCATTGTGTGTTGGAAGCAACTGATTGACTGTACAAAGTATGCTGGGTTACGTGCCATAGAAAGCAAGCTGGCAGTGCTACAAGAGGGCGTGACAATTTCAAAACTTCAAATGGTGCTCATATCAAGACAGCCAATCAAGCTATGGCCACAAGTAACCAGCAGGGCAGAAGTAAGCTTATGTCAAATGAGCGTAACAGTGAGGCATCACTGAAAGGCACATCCTCAACTCAACTTTATTTGTATTTATCCTGCCTTTGCTATTAAAGGGTCTCATCTGTGCCCTGCTCAAGGGTGGATAGGCCTGGAGCATCTGTTTGATGGCAGGCCAAGCAGTGAAAGTAAGATGTTAGGTCAGAGGGCACACAGTCATGTTGACTTTTTTGTTGTTTTGGCTTTGGCTACTGCCCACAGTAATCTGTGTACTGTTCGCGAATACACTGATAGCGAAACCAGCCAACGTCTCCTATTTTTGTTTTGTTTTGTTTTTTTACGGAGGGACGCTACAGTATATAGCATGACCAGATGTGAACAAACATAAATACTTAACTGTGAACGTTGGCAGAGCCTCAGACTTGTCATTATACTACCTCCATGGGCCAATGAATGCCTTTCTTTTGTGGGGGAGTCCTCAGGGCTAAAATATGCTATATATAGGAAAGACAGGAAAGAAAGATACCTTTGCATGCATGTATTCAGTTATTGGGGTGAATAGAGAATAATACTACTGAATTCTTAAAAACATTTTTGGAGCTCAGAAACTCTTCGGTCAAATATTTTACTCCAAGAAGTTCCTGACCAATCACACAAAGAAAACTCATTAATTTTGACAAGATGAGATTAAATGATCACAAATTCTCAAGTCTGTCAGGATTTGCTTGCTGTAATCATCCTCCTTACTCATACTGGCCTTGTTTTTTACAAAGATGCATTTCAAAGTTAATCTGGAGTTAGACAAATCAAGTCACAAAGTTACGGTCTTTTTAGAACATACCCTTTTACAGTGCTTTCTAGTTGGTCTGCAGTACAGGGATAGTGCCAGAGGGACCTTTGAAGATATCTGCTAGTGAGATTGAAAACCTGTCCTTTAATACCAAAAGTCTATTATAGTTAAGTGAGCATTTTTCACAGGTTACTAACTAGAAAAGATAAGAAGAAAAGCTGACAATGCCATGTCTCCCACAGTGTTTGACAAGCACTACATCAACCGAAACTTTGACCGCACAGGCCAGATGTCAGTGGTCATCACACCCGGGGTGGGAGTGTTTGAAGTTGACCGTCTGCTTATGATTCTCACTAAACAGCGTATGATTGACAACGGTGAGTGTGACAGTACAAACATTTTAAACTGCAGTTTAACAGTTCATTGCATGGAGTTAATGATGTGACACATACTGTTCCTTCTTTAGGTATTGGGGTAGACTTGGTGTGTATGGGGGAGCAGCCACTGCATGCAGTACCATTATTTAAGGTAACACATCCAAAGTGTTAGTTTCTGTAGGTGCTTTACATACCTGTTGGATTCTGATGGACCTTTTCTCTGCAGTTGCACAACAGGGCAACACCTGGAGACTCTCGTGTTGGAGACGACTATAACCTTCCTCACTGGATCAACCACAGGTAAAACAACATAACTAATAAAAACCAAGACGAATTCAAATTCTATGCAAAGGTGGACTTGGTCAATTTATGTCTTGCTTGTATCTTTTTTTCCACGCACACAGCTTCTACACCTCCAAAAGTCAGAACTCATGTAGCTCCTTCACCCCTCGAATCAAACTGGCTGGTCGCAAGGTGCATTCACATTCTTTACAGAACTGTTGTTGGACTTAGAAAAATTGTAAATGATTTTTTTTTAATGTTTTAATATCTCATTAGTATGACTTTTCTTCTAGCTTCATGCTGAGAAATTTAAGAGCAGCAAGGACCACAGTAAGTTGTGACACTTTACACTATCTCTCTAAACTCTTTCTTCAAGCATGATTTAGACAGGAAGGTGTTTTTCGGACCAAACGATTCTGGGGACTCCCTAAGGGGAACTGCCCACTGGGGAGCTTCCCTGCAAATTACAAGGGCTTTTTTCTATTTGCATTCACACCGTCAATAGCAACAGCAAATTGACGTAAGCCAATCTTCGGCTCATATAGCAATGTCAATTCTGCGTGACACACAGCAACAATCTCCTGCTCCAATCTGCTAATTTTCAAAAATGGCATTTTTAATTTGGTGATCACCTGACTTTTTACTCTAGTACCAGCAGCAGGTCAAAGCTTACATTTATCTTGTAAAATAGCTCAACGTTTATTCAGCAGATTGGCACAAATTCTGCACACACATTCACGGTGCCCAATGATGTATGCCAGTGTTTTTATGATCCTCTGACTTTTCCCTGTAGCGTCATCATGAGGTTCACGTGTGATTTTAAGTGAAATGTCTCAACAACTAATGGACAAGTTAAATTTGGTAAAGACATTTATGTTTTCCTCAGGACGGCCTGTTTTAACTGTAATGATCCTTTATCTAGTGTCATCTTCTAGTTAACATCTTTGGTTTCTGTCAAAGCAAAAAACTGATGACATCTATCAGCCTCAGCGGTCCTTTGTGTTCAGTGCTAATTAGCAAATGTTAGCATGCTGGGATGCAGAAATAAGAGATATGATATGATCATGGTAAAGCTTACATCTGCTTCGCATCACGATGTTAGCATTAATATTATGGTCATGTTAGCATTAGCATGCTGTCGTTAGCATTTAGCTCAAAGCACAACCACTGTCCTGTTGATTTCTTGAAGGATGAAGTAGAATTTTTTTTCTGGCTCTCCAACCCTTCTCCTCATGACCTCCTCCAGCTCTCTGTGCTACAAAAGACTCTGAAAACAGCCTACCAATTCAGGTGGACTACGACGCCTATGATGCTCAGGTGTTCAGACTGCCTGGTCCTTCACGAATTCAGAGGAGTACCAACTTCAGGTATCTCACTGCTTGCACAATACTAAACTATGCTCTATTAAGAGGACAGAGTTATCCTTTCTTGAAAACCTTGTGAACGTTCAGCCTGTTGAACAGCAGTGACTGTGTCTCTTTCAGGATGGGTCGAGACAAAGAGACAAGTGGGAGGAAGAGCTGGGGCTCAGTGGACGTCAGTGCAGGCATAGGCGCGTCCCCTCCTATTCGCTCTGGAGGTCCGGACGAACAGCGTAGCCTGGCTTCTGATGATAGTCTGGGCCCTGTGTCCAACATGCTGCTTATACCTCGCATGCCTCCTGCCCAGTATGAAGTCAGCAGCTCCCTGGGATACACCAGCACCAGAGGTAACTCCTCCAGAAACCCTTACTAAGGGTGTGATAAAGTGTGCTCCATCTCTTTCCTTTCACCATCATATTCTGGTTATCTTGTTTTGTTTTTCCGTTGGTCAGAGTTGTTGGAGAAGATGATGGACTCTCAGCGGGACTCCAGTGCCCCGGGCAGGTTCACAGTGGGAAGTGCTGAATCCACCCTGCACATTCGTCCAGGAGGTTACACCCCACAGAGAGCACTCATAAACCCCTTCACCCCATCCAGGATGCCCATGAAGCTCACTTCCAACCGACGGCGGTGGATGCACACCTTTCCTGTTGGTGAGGGGACACAAAGCCTTGTAAAAAACACACACATGCAGTCAGCAATTTATTGGAGCTAGTTGAGGTGTGAGCTGGTAAACCCATATGCATGATCATCTTGGGTTATGTAGTTTGTGGTGTTAAACTGCAGTGCATTAGGGTCCGTACACATGCCGTGTCATTAACCGCCTGGAAAATGCGAGGTCAGGAGCTGGGTGACACTCTTGTGCCTTTTCTGTGCCGGCTTTTAAGAGTGCAGCGGCAGGTTGCATCTGAGGTTGCTAAGCAATCTCATCAAGTACCGTATCATAGCCTATGTACCTGAAATCCTGAGTGCAGAGCTGATCTTCCAGGTGCTGTTTGTGTGTAGGCCTATTGTCCGTGGGACAGATGTACAGCTCTGGTCACCCTGCACTAAAATGATTAACTTCTCCTCTATATTAACCACAAACTGATATATATGGATAAAGGGAAAGATATCTGTCGGCTGTGATTGGTTGGTCCTCCTCACATGACATGCGTTGCTCACTGCTGCATTACAAAAGTTAAACTTGGATTATCTCAGTGTGCAGCATTGAGCCATGAAAAATAGGCACTAAGGAACGCGTGTGCATCGCATCTGTTGTTGGTGTACATTGAAAACAATTAATAGGAGGGTGCATGTAAACATGGCATGTGTACAGCCCTCCATAAACCTACCCTCATTGATATACATGGGGTGGACAAAATAATAGAAACTGCAATATAACATTATCTCAATTGAATCTCCAGAATAATGTGCTGTATACTGGAACAGAATATTTGATCCTTATTGTCCACATTCATACGTACCACATGTGAGTAGATTACAGTTTTATGGAGCGTGATATATATATATTGATATATTCAATTAAAGATAACATGTCAACATAGCAATATTTGCTATGTCATGCATTATGCTAGTGATTGATCATATTTGCAAAATTATTTATAGAGGAAGTGTCTAAGAATGGCAGATGCTTCATTCGGTTATTTGGTACATCCAGCACTGTGTTTCTGATCATGATCAACTACTAGCCAGAGTTTTATAAAATCTGACTTTATGGTCTCCAGAGGATGACTCCTAATGTTAGTTTTTTTGACATCCTGATCTTTCAATCTTCATGACACTTCTTACAAATTATCTTAAAAGCAAATTTCAGATTTTTCCAATGAAATTTTCTTTGCATGTTCAGTCCTCAGAAGATAATTTGAAATGTTTTTGGTGACTGCCCGACGTTTTCAGTTTGTTTTAAGAATTTAAAAAGCACTGTAATGCCATCATCAGACTGTATGTAAACTGTTGTTCTTCAGGTCCTTCTGGAGAAGCAATCCAGATCCATCACCAGACCAGACAGAACATGGCTGAACTGCAGGGCAGCCAGCAGAGAGATCCTGCACACACCTCCGCTGAGCTGCTGGAGCTGGCCTATCATGAGGCCACCGGAAGGTTAGACACGGCCACCACAAGGCAATATAATAAGAAATGTAGCTTAAAGCACAGACAGTGAGATGAATGCTTATTATTAATCTTTTTATTTAAGGCGAACTACCTCCAGACATGCAGGGGAGAACGGCGTTTGCATTGGTGGAGGGATGGAAGAGTTTACAGGGAGTCCAGGGAGCAACTACAGTGGTGATGTGTTCTCCTGAAATATACTGAGTATTTTACCTGTGCTTTATATGTATATATACATATATGCATGTATATATTTATACTGTATATATACTGTATACTGTTGCCCTAATTGATTTGCAGTGACAAAAGAAGCACACCAGACTTGTGGCACAATAGCGTCTTAGTCATTTTTTCAATTATCATAAAACTTCAATCGGAGCCGAGCCTCAATAAAACGCTTAGTCTCAAATTTACTAACCAGGTGTGGCTGCACAGGTGTCAGTTAGAAGCCGGGTCTGGCTACTATTGAGGCTGCGAAGCGGTTCATATTTATAGACATTCTTTGGCTATATATAAAACCTCTTAAAGCCCACTGGGTCATTTGCTACCTGCTTGAGCTAGTTCTACGTTTCTAGTGCACACATACAAATACAAATGTTAAACCTTTGTCAATATGGACATGCTATACATCATTAGCTTGGTAACATACTCCACAATTCAGTCACTTTGCTCAATTTACAGAAGCCATGAGCAGCAAATATAATTCATTCAGATTTGCAGGCATGGTAGACAAGAGAGATGGAAAAAGTGGTGAACTTCTACCTCTGAAGTGGCATCTGAAAGTGTTCATTCCTCCTTTATTTATATTCCTTTAGTCCGTAAGGGTCCATGATCAAAAGAATCAAAATGTTTTTTCATACAGATTAGTCCACGTTGTTAATATTTTCGTGCCAGTCCAGAGCTAACTGTGCATGTTAACTGCGTTCCTCAAACAAGTACTCACTTTAATGGACTTCTGCATCGTCTTGTTGGGTATGCTTGTTGACTAACTTGCTATGAAATAAAACTTTTCCCACCTTTTTATGTTTAATTTTCAACCCATTCTCACTCCTTTCCTCTTGCTGTCATACATTTTCTCAGTTTGTATCCTTTCTAAGATAACATTAGGCTACTGGTATTTTGATGCAGGGCGCTCTCTCTCAGTGCATGAGATTGGTGTATGCACTGTCTGTTGGGGCTTGATAAAATAAGTCATTTGTAGTTGATATGTATTTGATAGCTGCAATGGCTTTTTTTAACAACTTTTAAAAATTGTTATGGATTAACCATTTAATTGATTAATTGACAATCGACTGGTCATATCAATCAGCAATGAAAATAACCATTACTTTAAAACTTGTAACTGTGCTGCTCTTTCTTTGTTTTAACTGTGATCTCTGTACAGGAACTCTAACCAACCGTGGCTCCACATTTGAAGACCTTTCCCTCAGTGGTTCAGATCCAAGTGAGTCCATCTTGCCCCTACAAAAACAAAAACATGTCAGTTGATCAGTAGCAAACACTGTTACAAAGCCAGACCTCAGGATCGGGTTGATACTCTCAATCACCAAACTGATAATGACAATAAACCTTCAGTGGTGTCTTTAACCTGTGAGGGTTTATTCAGCTTCTGCAGGCAGGTTTCTCTGGGCGCTTGTCTCCAGGGTTCACAGGTATAAATGACTCTCAGAGGTCATGTGACTTGGGGCTACCCCTCTTCCTCCCTCTGTATACTCTCTTTCTCTGTACAACTCTTTTCTATTTCTTTCTCTGGGCCTTCTGTCGATCTTAAGTCTTTAGATAAAATATGACTAGATCTTAAAATCCTCTTCTTAATTCGCCCTCCCATAATTTTCCTTCATCATGACCTGTTTGCATTCAACAAGCCTTTCGTTTATATCTCGCTCTTGCATGGCAGTACGCATAGTATATTTCTCCTGATTGATTGTAGATTGGTGCTTTTGTCAAACAAATCCCTCTTGCAAACTGTATTTAAGAGTTGGCTCACCATCTGTATGTCTGCATGATGTGATTTCTCTGTTAAAATTCACTCAGTCACTTTACAGTTCACACCTTTGCTGAGCTCAGGACACAATTGTCACTTGCTTGTGAGCGATGCTGACCACAGACTGACTGTCACAGGGCCACAATCTGCATGTTTGATCACTGCTGTTCCACAACTACAGGCCCCTCAGGAATCACCAGCAGGGGCGACAAGGCCAGTAAAAGTAACGCTTTCTGTTTTTTCCCCTCTCTTCTACTTTCTTTTTTTTTTGTTTGTATCTTCATCGTCACTCTTTCTTTTCCATCTTTCCATCTTAATTCTCCTCCTACCCTCCTTTCTTTACTTATCACCACACTGTGCTTTCCCTTCCTCTCTATATCCATCCCCTCCCCACCCACACACATGTACCTCTCCTCTCTGGGTACATGCATTTGTCTTTGCTGTGGGGAATTTTTGTTTGTGTGTGTGTGTTTGTGTGTGTGTATGGTGTGGGTGCTCCTGAAGTCCTGCTGCTGTCTGCACCCCCGACAGTGCCCAGCTTCTGCTGCACAGTGGGGGTAGACTGGAAGTCTCTGACCACACCGGCCTGCCTGCCCCTCACCACCGACTACTTCCCCGACCGCCAGACGCTACAGAACGACTACACTGAAGGATGCTATGACCTGCTGCCACACAGCGACCTGGAGAGGTAGACAACAACCTGTCTTAAGTGTAGAACTGTCTATAGCCAATCACTTTGTGCTTGCAACTTCTTGCAGCATCGGTCTGTGCAGTACAGCACTGTTTATTATAGCTAATACTGTATTTGCATCTTCATCATACTGTCAGGTCTTTCTCAAGGAAACATAAAATCATATTAAGTAGGTTAGTGCTTTAATAATAGAGAATTACGCAGTGTTCGATACCTACTTACCTACTGCCTATATAGGCAGTATCACATATATCCTGTGAAACCAAGCAAACATATCATATCACAGACTCATTTTACTATGACTTTTCCTGAGCAGCATTAAGCAACACATGAAATGAGCAAAACAAGGTTATTTGCTCATCTGTTTTCATGCTTCTGTCTCTTTCCCAGGCGAGAAGATGAAGCTCCGGTGATGAGTGCGTCTCAGGTGTTTGAGGAGTTTATCTGTCAGAGGTTGATGCAAGGCTACCAGATCATCGTTCAGCCCAATAACAGGAAGCCACAGCCCGCTGTGGCCACTCCACTCGGCAGCAGTCCTCTTTACTCCAGAGGTTGATTTATGTTTATTATCATCAGTTTTGTATTTGGAATCCTTAAAAAAAATCAGATTGCCCACTCTATTCTCCATTAAAAAGTAATCGCATATTATTTCTAGGAGTTAGTTTGTGAGTATGACTTTCGTGTGAAGTCTGAGTATGAATTTCTTGTTGTAGCCTGTGATTGTTAAAGTGCCTCATGTGGTAGTCGTTTCCCACGATGCCTTTCAGCAGCTCCATGAAGTTGTTGCATTTCAGCCATGGGATGTACATGTTTGAAGTAGCTTGATATTCACTGTAAAATAGATTTTCCAGCTTTACTTCCAACCGACACAAACAACTTAAATAAGTATTTGTGCTAACTCACAGAGAAACAACCTGTCTATAACCTCTGCTTTCAGTATTTAAGAAAACAGGTCTCTCAGTCCTAAAAGAAATGTCAGAAAACATCAACAGAGCCATGGTGACTGTATGTGTCTTCCTTCTTCTTGGGGTTTCAGGTTTGGTATCACTGCGTCGAGCTGAGGAGGAGGAGACAGTTTACTGGCTCAGTATGGGCCGGACCTTCCATAAAGTTTGTCTCAAAGACAAGATCATCACTGTCACTCGCTACCTGCCAAAGTAAGTACACCTGAAAACCCAAACACAGAAAGAATTCATTCTGCATTTTGCCATGTTAAACCTCCCAACTAGATAAAAGTATCGCAGGAGAAGTTACATGTATGAATGGGGACTCCCAAGTGTCCAATCCTATATGAAACCTGCCAGTGTCAGCTATCAAATATAACACACATGCATCTGTTAGTTAAACTTTTCGTATAAGAAGTGAAAATAGTAAAAGGTATACCACGCAGGAAGTGTCGCTTACTGTTTATAAACACAACATTCAACTTGGTGTACTTGTTCGTATACCGTGCTGCTGCACTATTGTAGAGACGTTACACTTTTTATAATGGAAAAGCTGATACATTAGAGAGCTAACTAGGCTAACCGCCAGCATTTACTTGTCCAACAGAAAACAGGCCAACTTTGCAACACTCATCAACCCCATCCTCTCCTTCAGTACTTACCTAGGAAAGTAAACCCTAGATTAAAATGAGCTTGGTCCGCTTGCCATTTCAGCGCAACACATTTGTGTTATTTTGGCGCTGTGACCACATTTTTTACAGTCTGGCACCTGGTTTCTACATTTTTGTACTGACATCTCAACCTTATTGGCTTGGGGCTGTACGCCACTGCCCAAAGGCTGCAGCCTTTAAACATCCCAAGCAAAACAAAATAAGAAGAAAATAAAAAAATTACAGGTAAAGACAAGAGCAGGTTCTCTGCAGATAAATACACCGCCACACACAAATCCTGCATAGCATATCTTTAGAGGACACATACATTTCATCTTCTAATCAAAACACATCACAGACTCAAACAGGAAAGCTGCTGCTGCTGCTGTAACTCAGCTGGAGCTGCTTAAACTTTAGTCTACTGTATGTTTAAGGGAGGACGTATCAGCCTGAATATACATGAAAAGGAAACGAGTGTCAGTTAAGTCCTTAGTAATCGCTGTAAACAGATACATGATTATGAATGTGAAACCTGTAGACAAGGGTTTTTGGTAATGGAAGCATACTGGTTTCTGTTTGTAGTCCATTTGTAGTCTGAGTAGTTTTGACCAATCATATCTGATCAGGCTTTGATTGCGTGCAGGTAAACAGTCCATGGCAAGAGGGAAAGAGGTGGAATGCATTGGCCAAAATGCATTCCTGAAATGGGCCATTGTGTTTTTTTCATCCGCATTCATTTGCTGTTTATATACTTTAGTTGAAATGACGGGTGCATGGAAGAGGACGTCTGGGCCCAGATATCCACTGGCTACATCAGAACCCCAGAAATATTGCCCCCAGAGGCTCTATTGTCATCAGGCAGACAGCTGATGGGCTCTGAGATTGTGTCTCGAGTTTTGAATCATATGTTTTAGAAAAGTGTTGTCCACTTGTATGTCATCCCCCATCTCTCTTCCCTCATCTCCTGTCAGCTCTCTGCTGCCATTTTGTAATAAAAAGGGAAAAATACAAAAAACATTGCACATGAAAAGGAATTCCTGTTTCATAATGTGTGTGTGTGTGTGTGTGTGTGTGTGTGTGTGTGTGTGTGTGTGTGTGTGTGTGTGTGTGTGTGTGTGCGCGCGCGCGCGTGTTTAGGTACCCGTATGAGTCGGCACAGATCCAGTACAGCTACAGTCTGTGTCCTCCACACTCTGATGCTCAGTTTGTGTCCTGCTGGGTGGAGTTTGGCCATGAGAGGCTGGAGGAATACAAGTGGAACTACCTGGACCAGTACATCTGCTCTGCTGGCTCTGAGGACTTCAGGTATACATTAATACTCAAACATAACATACATAATTATATCTCTTACTGATTCCAGAATTTAAACATATGTGTTAATGTTTTTTATATGATCACATCAAAGCCACACTACACTTTATCATAATTTGTTTTTCATAAAGTTTGTAAAATGAAACTACAGTGGAGTGAGTATTGTTATTAGACTCTGCCTTTCTTCTCCACAGTTTGATCGACTCTCTGAAGTTCTGGAGGACCCGCTTCCTCCTGCTGCCAGCCGGAGGAGCTCGGCGGGTGGCAGATGGGGAGGGGCACTGGGATGTGTATGGGGAGGGAGCAGGTGCTGGGATGGGTGGCAGCGGGGACTGGGTCCTGCTGGATGGCTTCATCCGCTTCCTGGAGGGTCTCAACCGCATTCGACGACGCCATCGTTCCGATAGGATCATCAGGGTGAGGCTCTTCTACTTTACTTGCGGTTTGAATTTACATGTCACTGCTTTATTTCAGGCTGCATATATTTTAATATTTTATAAACTTGACACTCATGCTGTTGTTAATGATTTTTCAAATTTATTACATTTACCTCTGAATGTTGATTGCATTTTTGACTTTTTCATCACTTGTCTTTTTTCCCCATTTTTGCTACTTGTTCTTGTACTTGCCTCTCCTTTTATAGAGCAGATATAGATATTGTACTTTCACTCCACTACATTTATCTGACAGCTACATTTATAAGTTACTCTGTGCATTATGCTGACCACACTACCACTACCACTGCCCTTTTGTCTTTGCAGGTATCATTATTGTTTTATAAAAGCTTTTGGGGCTACTTTAATGTCAGAATTATCCACAGTTCTAGCAGCATACCTGTGTTTTTGCATTTTGTTCCCTCACTAGCCATGAGGTTTTAGCCTAGTGCTTAAACAGTTAGTTGTTAAGCAATTAATTCATTGACTGAAACTGTATCAAAAAACTATTGTGATTCCTTTAGTTGTCTTTCTTTAAGAGAAATGCCATCATCCACCAGTTGAAGTGTGTAAATTGTGAGCATTTGTGCCTTTTCTTTATTTTATGTGATAGTAAACTGAACAGTTTGGGGTTTTTGACTGCTGGTCAGCCAAAACAAGACGTTATGGAAAACATTACTGTGAAAAATTATGATTTTTTTTTTAGTATTTTCTGACAAAAAAATAGGCAGATTAAAAGATAATTAATGTAGTAGTTTTAGCTCTATTTCATTTAATGTATGTCTGGTATCAAAATCAACTTGCAGAATCCTGCTTGACATTCACAGACAGCAGTGTAGGGCTGGGTATTGTTTAAAAAATTGTGATACCAGTACCAATACCAGTACCCTGAAAGTGATACGATACCAGAGTACTTCATTTGATACCGTTTTTCTATTTCATTTGATGCCCTTCATGTCAATAGAAGCATTTAGATATGTAAAATACCAGATGCCATAGGAAGGGATGTTCCTAACGACTAATTTCCGTTATATGTAAACTAGACAGGCCTAAAACTAACAAACAAACAAAAAACACAGCCAGAAAATAGTTGAAACCTCACTGTCATCTTTGTCTCCACCTCACTATCAGCAGGGTGAGGCGAACAGGCCAGTGGGTTTTTATTTTTATTTTTTTATCTGCCATTTTTAACATTAGTAGCTAGGACGACATGTATTTCAGTGCAAATTATGTCAATTTGTAATTTAAATGTGTACATAATTAAATAAAAAATTTAATAATAACTTTAACCAGCTGGTATTTCTGGTGCAGTCTATTGAGGGCAGCAACATTTTATCAAGTAGTCAACGACTTGTGCACATCTCTAGCCACAAGCGTGTAGTGGAGCCATACTTCTGAACATTTTGGTGGCATCTCGGAGCGTTAAACCGTTAAACCTCCAACTCTGTAAATACACAGCACTTAACTTCACCACACCACAGGCTGTTTGGATTGAAGCTGCAGCAGTTGTGGGCCAATTACAACTTGCATGAAACTGAAGAACGCTTGGCTGCAAGCCAAACCATACAAATAGTCTTTCTACATCTGGATACAAAAAAGATCAAATGCAGCTGTCATTTGTCTGTTTTGATACTTCTGGGCACTGGGTTATTTTGGTCGATACCTTAAAGGTATGAAGTACCGATATCCTGCCCTAGAGCAACAGGACATTTAAAAAGTGTGACACGGCTGCATCTTTAAAACAATCCAGCAGATTACTATTGCAGTTGCACATCACACATAGGCATGCAAATGAAGTCTCCAAAAGATCTTGTACTCTGTACTGAGAAGTATTTGGTTACAGTCATTAAACTGAGCACTTAACTTACTTGTGAGTTGTAGCTTGCTACCCACTGCACACGGGGCAATCGTCTTCAAACGTTTGCTCTGTTGGCATTTATATTTACTGGTGCTAAAACGGACTCTTCCATCTGTTTGTTTTCCCCTTCATAGCAGAAGGGCACACCGATGAAAGGACTGCAGGTCACCAGTCCTCTCCCTCCATATCCCACCGAGCCAGTGGTACCCCCACAGGGCAAGAAAGGCACATCAGCTTTATCAGCTTTACTTGAGATGGAGCAGAACCAGAAGTGGGTGTCTCCTGTTACTGCAAGCCAACGTGTTGTTTGCATTGGAGCCATATATCTCAGTTTTAACTGCATTGTTTCTGCTTCCTCTCAGAACACTGGAAGAACAACAACAGCAGCAGCAGCAGCAGCAGGCAAAGCCCTCAACAGCCATCAGTGACCCTGCAAGTGTTGCCACCGCTCCCACATATGTAGACAGTCCCCGCAAGGTGAGCAGCTATACTATGTGTGTGGATCAGAATACATGTTTTGCTTCAGGCATTTAGCTTTTGCTGACACAATTAAAAGTTTTTTTTAATCATCCAGAAATACTTGAATAAAATGGTTCTTCTTCGCTGGTGCTTCAGTGTGGGGCTTTTGCTCTTGTTTCTCTCCTTCCATCTGCATTTCCCCTTCATGCTCTGTTCTGCTCCTGCTGCTGGGCTTTGGGTGTTTGATCCTGGGTTATGTTCTTCCTGTGTGCTGACAGGATGCTGCCTTTATTTTGGATTTTATACGTAGCCCTCGCTCCTCCTACATCTATCACTCTCAGGTCAGTAACGAGGTCCCTGGGCATCACTCAAGCTGTGTGTTTTGGTCTGTGCGTGTATGTGTGTCTACATGTGCTGTAGCTCCTTAAATTCATGCTGCGTTACTGCATGAGCATGGTGTGCAGACAAACTCTATGTTGTTATTGCATGATCTTTGACTTGCAGTGCCTCATCAGATCCCAATTTTTACTTTTACTGTTTGTACTTTGCTCAGTACTGTAATGCCTGCAGGTAGGTAGTAACACTGACAACTCTCACACCAGGATCACATTTAATCCATCATATCTTTATGATGATTCAACCTGTTGGCAGTTCCCCACAGCTGAAACATTTACACATGAAACCAATTCAGTTAGGTTAACTGTTATAGCTTCACCATATAAACCACAAATGTAATGCACTGACAAATATGTTAGCGTCATGAGAAGTTGCAGTTACCTAGCAAAAAAAAAAGTCTGGAAAAATCAGATATTGACTGTATTTGCAGAAAAGATTAGTTAACATTTAATTTTTTATGTGATTAATAACAAAACCCTTGAAAACGTGCCTTATGTCGGCCCTAGTTTAGCCAACAGAGTAAAGAAGGCATCTTTGCTGTCATCCAGCACCACGTTTAGGCATGGGTGAGCTGGTGGATGCCTAAAGCAAAACCAACTGGAGGGTGCCAAAGAAATGGAAAACATTTTTGTAATTGATTTTAATTCTAAAATTCTGTTACAGTGATGTCCAGTGCTATATTTCACTGTTTAATAAATGTACTGCTCACTGATTCGGAGGATCTTGACTGGAGTTTGCAGGCACACTGCACCATATAGAGAAAATTTCAGTTGAGAACTCAGACTCAGTGTCATCATATCCCTTAAACTGAACTAGAAAAGAATGAACTGATTAGATTTTGGTGTTTATAGGTCAAAGGTCACTGTGACCTCGCGTCTGTCTCATTCTCGAAAACGCAATATCTCAAAAAGGCCATCAGGGAATTTCCTCTAATTTGGCACAGATGTCTTCTTGGACTCAAGAATGGATTGATTACAATTTGGTGGTCAAAGGTCAAGGTCACTGTGACTTTACAAAACATGTTTTTTGCAAAACTTCACACAAATGTCTAATAGGATAAAATAACAAAGTCATAACATTTTATATCCAAAAGTCAAAGGTCAACTTCACTGTGACATTATTGTAAGAGCCAAATATGTCATTCACTCCGTAGACCTGAATTATTTTTACTATGGATGCACACTGGTTGGCGCTGTGTTGATATTTTGAACATTAGGGTATAAAGGTAGGAACAACATTGTTGCCGGTGTGTGTGAAACATCCATGTTTTCACAGGCATGAATGTAAACTGTAGGTGCACCTTAAGTGTGGTGGGGGTGGCACACAACCACAAGGCGGTAATTCTAGTTTTTTCATCACAAAGGCAGCAATGGGCCTCCACAGTAAATGCTATGCCTCAGTCAGTTGTGTCTTTTTAGTGACATTTTACAGATTAACTACATGTCTGTAGTGCTGAGGTTGAAGAGAGTCCTTTTAAACCTCAGACCTTCAGTAGATTCACAAAGTACTTACTATAGGACACTATACAAAATATTATAGAAGATCATCAAAGGAAAGCTGTGATGCATATTATATTAATGCAGAACTATCAGATGTCAAAAATATCTAAATTGGTCTTTAGATTAAATCTTTAGATTTAGAATTTAAAATGTGGGCATACTGTAGGCAAAGTATGTACTGTATAGAAATATAGGCTCATAAACCATTGTCAGGATCTGTAAACCATGTAGGTTACTGGTAACGCCTTCATCTCAGCACAGACTAAGAATGTCAGACCTGTAGAGCAATCAAAAACACTCCAGAGACCTAGCTATTGTTAGTATCATACAAGTATAGGAATAACTAAAATATCATAAAAATATTTAGCCAAAGATTGATCTCCTTAGGGCCGCTATTAGATGTCTGGCATAAGGCACATAGCTTAAATCCTAAAATCAATGCTCTCCAATTCTAGAGAGTAATACATGTAGTGTGATCCTGGTGTAACTAACATGTACTGTAACACAACTAGACCCAGATAAACTTCTGAGAAACTCCTGTTTCCATGCATGACATCAGAACTGGGTTGGTAAAGGGTCTGTTCACAGGAATTAAAGAATAAAACATATTTTCTTGACTTCTGTCCTCTGTTATCTGTCCATTCGGATGGTTTCTTTTTCCAGGCTTTGAGATCTCTGTCTCTGAGATTTCTGCCTCCAATATACAATGGAGGTGGTGCTCACAGTATTTAAAAATGTAATTTTAAAAAGTCTTTTAAGAAACAGTGTCTGTTGTACTCTGGATAAACCACAGGATACACATTGGGACAGTTTCTCTGTGGATTATTCAGAGTAACAGCAACACAGTTTCCGTAAATAGATTTTTACTGTTTATGTTTCAATACTGTGAGCAACACAAACAGAATTCTGTTTCAGTGTGGCTGCAGAGATCTCAAAGTCAAATATCCCAGCCCTGTACAAAGAGAAACATCTGCATGGTTGGATACCACCAGATGGAAGTGAGAAATGGGCTTTTTGGTAATCTGGAAAAACACTATAACATACGAAATGAAACAGCAAATTTAGTGATGTTAACTTTTAACTAACTGTGCAGTTGCCTGGCGAGGCCAGTGAGGCTGCAGATAAAGGAGTCCAGCCAGCAGTGACAGCTGGAGCAGCAGCACAGCCTGCAGTAGAGACTGCAGTCAGCAGCAGCACCTCAGACACCAGGTAACCTTTGACTCTGTGTACTGCAGGGATACCCTGACAGCTGTATAAAAAAAAAATCACACATCTAGCTCATAAAACTGATAATAAAGTGATTGTAGTAGTTTAATATGTAAAACATGGTTACCATAACATTACTAGGATCTGGGATATTTTTATTTTATGACATTAAAATGTACCAGTAAATATGCTGAAACTTAGAACCAGAGAGAATAGCTGATAACTTGACATACATACATACATACATAATAGATTATGGATAACCTGTCTAAACTGTAACCTGTGATTTAGCACTGATCAGTAATCTGTTGACAGTGGGCAGTGTGCAGCGGGAGCCCTTTCTCTGTCCTCTTCCTCAACACTCTTGGAGATCCTGGAGGCCATCAAACATCCCACGTAAGATGTGCTGTGTGTTTTTGGCAATGGTTGGGGACTCAGGTCACATGTATCGACTCAAGTCTGGCTTGAGTCACAAATTTGAGGACTTGAGACTTGCTTGACTAACACTGACAAAGGACACAACTTAACTTTGACTCAGTATTCATGACTTGAGACTTGACTTAGAATTGAGACAAATGACTTGACTTTTGATTAAATATTTACATTTTTTCTTATTTAGAAGGTACATTTGTTTTTGAAACATAGATGGGTGATTCTAGTGCAATGCGTGCAACCTGCTGGGACGTAGCAGACCAGCAGAGGCCAATGCACAAGGCAGCTGTCATGGAGGGGGCTAGTGCAAAAATAATACAATTTGGATTGACTTATGTTGTCAGTGATGGTGGTAGGAAGAGAACATTGGTATGCAATGTCTGCATCTCAGTGACACAACAAATACAACATCCAACATTATCCGTCGCTACTAAACCCACACAGAAAGGTATGTGAATGTGTCTTTTTAGCTAATTTATTAGCTGATTGGCTATCATCAGAATTTTACATGACTTTACTGGTTAATTGCTTGCCTTATAGCAGGGACTTGATTTGACTTGTGTAATTGTCACCACAGTAACTTGAGACTTGTTTGTGAGTTACTCCCCCCCCCCCCCCCCCCCCCCTCTGGCTTATGGCTCATCATATATTTGCAGATGTGTCTTGCAGAGTTACAGCAGATGAAAAAAAAATCAACTCATCCTTTCAGATACTTTCTCTTTTACTGACTATAAAGAAAATAAGTGACAGCAAAATGTTTTTATGTGGCTGCTGTGACCAGTGTGTAGTTATCTAACTATTGCATTTTATATTTATTAAAAATATATTTTAGTTTAAAAAAATGTTATGTATTTGATATATACTAATGTATTTGCTTGTTACCTTATGTGAATAAAAGTGAAAACCAGGCTCTTGGGTTCGGTTTTACAGGGTTCTGTCTTGTGTATTGGATACAGTTGTTTGTGTCTGTGCTCTACAGGACAGGCATACAACTGCTCCCGGAGCAGAAAGGCCTACCGCTCAACTGTTTTATAAGCGCAGAAGTCGTTCATTGGCTGGTCAACAATGTGGAGGGTGTGGCCACACAGGGGATGGCTGTGGATGTCATGCAAGTAAGATCTGTGTGTCCCAGCTTTCCCTTAAATTGATGAAAAATGTCATGTGACGTGAGGAAGGAAAGACGTGAGGAAGATTTCAAGAGAAATTAATTGATTTATCACAACTTGGGTCTTAAACATTGTGCTCATTCAGTTTATCACTGCAGCAGCATCACTTTAAAGAACGGCAACAGGTTACGAAGCATGAATATTTAGGTGATCAGAGAGGTTTTAAACAACGCTGCAGGTTGGACAATCAAATTTGAAAGACAAAACGAGGGCAAAGGTGAAATTAATCAAACTGTCCTGGAGTCCTAATGTGACTGTGAGGTTGCATGACAACCAGCAGCTTCTCCAGGAAGTGCAAGAAAGTCCAAGGAAGTCCAGTTCCTAACCCCCATTAAACAACAACATGCTGTTTTTACACTCTGGTTTGTGTTCAGATTAAACAGACAAGACATCATGTGTTCATTCCTGAGCTTTGGAGCTGCTGGTAGGTGGACCTTTGGACAGAATAGCTATTTCTTCCTGTTTCCAGTCTTTATGCTAAATTAAGCAGCTGCTAGCTGTATGAAAATGAGCAAATATTGATTTAAAGACTTTGTTGTGAGCAGTTTCATGGAGGAACTATTTTTTTTTTCTACCTGTCTACACCTGCCCACTGTATCAACACATAGAAGGAAGCGTGCATCTACTGCCAGCTCACTTAGCACCACTGAGCTAGCTAATGTTACAGCTCAGCTGAGGAGGATGCCATTAATGTTTACATCTTGCACTGTCATGAGCACGAGCCTCTCGTCCATGAGTAGATTTTGAGGCTTGTGGTGCTTTTAGAACTGTCCTTTAAGGAAAGGAAAACTGTGGTATTGTGAGTATTGTATCTGCTCAGCCGTCTCTGTGTCTGTCTGTTTGGTTTGTATAGAAAATGCTGGATGAAGGTTTGGTGGCCCACGCTTCCGGAGATGCCATGCGCACCTTCGTCTACGGATTCTACTTCTACAGGATAGTAGGAGAGAAGGATGGTGAATGGATTTAAAATGCACTCAGAGGCCATAGGGGTCACTGTTTTTGTCTCAATATATATCTAGTTTAGCAAATGCCTGAACTTGTATATATCTATAATTAATGTCAGGTAATTAGAACAATCTGTGATTTTTCTTATGTAGAGGTTTTAAGTCGACATTGTCATGACATTTTTGGCTGTCCTGTCCTCTTCAGGCCAGACGTCCCAGCTTCCCACCACGGCGGCTGGAGGCTGGTCTCCTGCAGCCCTGGAGGACTTTGCTCTGTTCCAGAGGAAGTGGTTTGAGGTGGCCTTTGTGCTGGAGGAGCGGAGACCTTGCGACCTCCCAGCGTTCCTCCTGCCTTGGCTGCCCAGCCGGCCAGCCTCCTACGCAAGTAGGCACAGCTCCTTCAGCCGCAGCTTTGGGGGACGCAGCCAGGCCGCGGCACTGCTAGGTACACCCAGCCCGATTCTCCAGGCCCAGCCAACACTGCGGAGGAGCCACAGTCTCCTCCAACATCCAGTTGGATGCAGATCATACACAAGTCCACTTCAGAGGGTTGCCAGTATTTACGCGTCACACAGGGCCAAGAGGGTGCTTTTGTTTAAGGGCTCTTGGTCTGAATTGGCTCTTCTACTGCTGCTCATGATTATTTATGCATACATAAGGACAGTACAGTTTGCCCTGCCCAACATCGGTCCTTCATGTGACCTAGGAAAGCACTAAGCACCCTCAAGTGAGCCCTCAAGCTTCCATATAACATTCATCCACATCAACCTAAGGCTCTTTGTGTTGGTTGCAAATGTTTAGTGTCAAAATGCAAAGTTACATTTTTTAAAGGCTTTTCAGGCTAAACGCTGTCTCAGATTTTCTTTTTATCATTAGCTGTCCATTTCAGTCTTGGATTCAATGAAATATCAGTAAAATGGCAAAATTAGCTCTGACAAATAATTCCAGCCTCACAACAAACAACTTTTCAAGTGATTTTACTATCACAGACAAATTTCCGATCTGTCTTAAGTCAGTTTTTTTCTCCTCTTGCTGTTTCAACAAAATCAGACATGTTTAATATTGTCTCAGGTTTAAGTCTTGGCTCATGCAAATAGTGAAGAATAGCTGCGCTCTCTCCAGCACCAAACAGGAAGCAGCAAACCGGACAGACAGTAAATGTGGAGGGACTCAGAGGAGGCACAAGAACAAGTCTTAATTCTCTTGAACTGCGGAAAAGGAGGAGAAACTGGTGGAGCTGTGAAGTAAACAGGAGTCCGTGGTCTGTGTCTGATCAGCCAACCAGCAATTATTTTAGTGAGAAATCCTAATTTTTGAAAGGGTTCACCACTCATCCCTTCAGTCTTCTCTTACTAAAATAGCACAGCTGAACAACAGAGGCTGGTGGTCAGTTTAGGTAACAAAACTGATAATAGGTAATGGTGTGAGAGTGTCACACTTTGGTCTTTTAAAAGTATTTTCGAAGTCTTCTAGCGTATGGTAGACATAGGCTGCTTCAGTCCATCAAGTTAGTAAAGATTACAATGGTTACATTCCAAAGACAAATGGTGTCTACTCCAATTTTCTATTTAGAATTTCAAAATAAAGACAGATGAACTCCCCAGATTAAAAACAAAATTATGTAAACCAAAAATGAGCCCCACGTGTACAGTACCAACACATCCATACCACTAACCATTCCAACTTTGGTGAAAAAAAATTAATCATTTTCAAGCTAACACAGTGGGAATCTTACTATCACCTCAGACCTGCTTTCATGTAACAGTCAATGATATCATATTCGTCACCAGCCACCATCATCATTCTTTGTTGTGTGACAGAGATACTGGACTCAGCTTTCCTGACAGTGGACTGTAGATCTGCATCGAACAGCTGGTGGTGTGTTCTCCAGTGTGTAGTGCATGACGAATGTGTCCTCTAGCTGTAGTTTCATCTGTCCACAGTGGCTCTGTCTCTGTGTGATGTAGCCACATCGCTGATCATTGTGATCAAATTTTGTTCCACCCTCACCATCCAATCACTGCATGCTGCGTGATTAGTGTGTACCTGATCCAGGAGCAGTTTCAGGTGGTGTGGTGTTTCAGTGCATGCTGTGGTGTTAGTGGCTGTGGTGCAGTAGTGCTGTGGTGTGTGATGTCCTCACCTGTCGCTCTCCTCCTGGCTTTTCAACATAAGGCACTATCACAGCACAGCATGTTGTGACAGTCTTTCTGCCTGATTCTTGCTTCATGCAACCGCTCAAAGCTTCATTTGTCACCTTTGATCTCAACATGTTTAAAAATGCTTGCTTTCCCAGTTTGCTATCTGTCACCTTGGACTGGTTTCCTGGAATACTCTTAATGTGATGCTGAAATCATTCATTAGACACTGACTACATTTGAAGCTTATTAGTTGTTCCAACTGCTCTTTATTATACCAGGAAACCTCTCTTTGAACTGGGATAATGCAGACATTCATGCTGTTTTAACTATGTGGGACTGAAGGTAGTTTAGTCTCAATCCATGCTCACCACCTGCTCTTGCTCCTTCCTCTGCCTGCCCATCATGCCACCCATCTTTCCTTCTTTTGCTTCCTTTGCCTCCTGTCTTCCTGTCTCTCCACCTCTCTCCCTCCCTCTGTCTGTCCCCCAGCGGCTACAGTCCCAGAGCAGAAGACCGTCACTTTGGATGTGGACGTTAACAACCGCAGTGACCGAACCGAGTGGTGCAGCTGTTATTACCACGGAAACTTCTCCCTTAACTCTGCCTTTGAGATCAAGCTGCACTGGATGGCTGTGACTGCTGCAGTGCTCTTTGAGATGGTAACTAGATGCCTTTTTTTGTTGGCTCAATTAACATCTGTCACATGTGAAGAGACACAATATTCAAATAGATTGCAGAACCCCCACACAAATAATGATTTAAAAAACTACCATTCCAGCCTACTTCTCAAGTTTATATTGAAGCCAATTTCCGCAAGTTTGATGGAAAAAAATCCAGTCATATGTCAACAAGCCAAATTATTGCGAGTATCATGATATGAATTTTTAATATGATATTAAAAAATATATCGGTATTATCATGAACAAGATGCAGGAAGCAGAATAGGTAACGGTGGAGCAGTGAGGTGAAGCTCTTGGCTTGAGGTTAAGCCACTGCTGTCGGGCACAGAGCTCTCTGCCTCCCGCCGCAGCTCTGACTGCAGGTCAAAGGCAGCAGTGAAGCCAGATCTGGGTCTGTCTGTGGCGGGCTGTGCTGCTGTCTGATATAGGCATTACTATTAAATTTTTACTGTTTCATAACCAGTTAGAAACTCCTTGTGGTCACGGTAAATAGCAGTCCACTTGCATGTTTTGTTACACCTGGTATTTACACCTGATGGTATTTACACCTTATGTGTACTGGAGTACACATAAACCGTACTTGAAATCACCTTTTCAAATGGACTTGGGCACATATCAGCATACTGTGCCTGCATACGCCAAAGAGACTGAAATTTGCTGTCACGTGTAATCAGATCAAGGCCCAGGTCTCTGATTTGAAAGCCCCATAAGTCGTTATTATTTTGAGAATGTTTCTCATTCTAATGACTTATGAGATATTGTGTTTTTCATCACAGAAGTAGAAATGGGCTTCCACAAGTTCCTGAATAGTGCAGCAGCACTCGGATACTCCCCATTCAGAGTTCTCTGAAAAGACGAAATAAGAAAAAGCTAGTATGGCTTTGGGTGTGAGGGTCTCATTGACACCTCAGGTCTTAAATTAGTACTCCACTGATAAAGCATTGCACTCCTGTAACTCATGTTGTTATGAGGCCGACTCCGAATCAAGTGATATGACTCCAGGCAATTTATCAACTTTTGCGCAGCTCCCCCTGAAGCCACTAAAGACTTTATACAACCGTTTTCACATATGCAGTAGTGCTCCCTAGTAACTGTTACCACACTTGGAAGTGTAAAGTCAGTGGAGTTCCCCTCCCTGCCCAACACCGCCACTATGATACCTCCAGGTCCTGTACTGATCAACAACATCTTTGAAACACACCCAACATTCTCAGTATGCAACACAAGAAGAAACACAGATGCTTTTTAAACTGGAGAAACAACAATGGAACTATTTTGGTTGGTTGGCAGCCAGCGACATAGCACTAAAAGTATTGAGGAAATGAAAAATGGAATCTATTACTCATGTATGAGCAAGAATCAGTAAAGCAACTTGAATTGAAAAGGTTGGATATTACACAAAGAGAATGATTCTAAACACTGTAAAAACCCCAAACAACTAATAGAAGGCCATCACAGCTGCTTTCACAGTGTCTCAACTTAGTATTTGAATCTGTGCTTGTATCTTAAACTGCAGTGCATACAAGATGAAGAAGAATATTTCTGAAATATGTATCTGAAATAGAAACATTCTGCAAGGAAGAAAGGCTGAATATTAGGGATGCGCGATATTGGATTTTTTGCTGATATCTGATATGCCGATATCTAAAAACATATTTGGCTAATAAGTGATACCAATATCGATATATCCACTTTTTTTCCCCACCTAATTTTAATGATCATCATGTCTCTTCTGTAGTGAAATTAACATCATATTATGCATACATTACATCATCTTATCGTGATGGCCAATCAGCAGATGGAGACATGAAATACAGTACTTTTCAATGTATGTTATATGCATTCATCGCGCAAAATAAGAAAAAGCATGTTGGCCGATTCGTATAGTTCATTTTAAAGCTGATATTGAGCGATATCGATTACATGTCGATGTTGTTGCACATCCCTGCTAAATATCCTTAATCAAGAACGATAAGCTAAGACATATTTAGGACTGTGATTTGTCCCACAGGAACTCAGAGACAGGGTGTCTTAACTATTGCACAGACCACATTTACTTTTTCCACTGTGTTAAATACTTAAAATTATATATATTACAATTATTATGATTTGTATTATTTATTAATTGTGCATTAATATTTGTAAGTCTAATATTTCATGGTGTGCTCTCTGAAGAGGTTTTGCTCACTAATATGTTAATGGCCAGGAGCTTGAGATGAATGCAGGTTTTTATTTAATTAACAGTTGAACATTTTAGTGATTTGATGCTAACTCTTAACTGTGTTTTTGTCTGTTTCTAACCTCTGTGCCACAGAGACATAGACAGCAATGATAACAGCTAGGACACTGGCAGTGATTGCCTCAGCTTGTCAAGGCACAAAAGAACACCTTGCTGACAGTTTAAAACACTTATTATCTGTCAGGTTCAAGGGTGGCACCGGAAAGCAGCATCCTGCGGCTTCTTGCTGGTCCCTGTGCTGGAGGTTCCTTTTGCGCTGACCTCGTACCTGTATGGAGATCCACTGAGAGCCCAGCTCTTCATCCCTCTGAACATCCACTGTCTGCTGAAGAACAGCAGCGACAACCTTTTTGAAGGTATAGAAGCCACCTGACTGTCTGACTGACTGACTGACTGCTGTGTCCATGTGTGTGATGTGTAGCTCAGTCACAACATCTGTCTGCTTTAATTCATCAAACAGGTTTTGAACCAGAGACATACTGGGACAGGATGCAACTCTTTCAGGAAGCTATACTCTACAGGTTGTTTTTTTATATCATAACATATGTTACATTTGTGCCTCACTCCTCACAACATGATGGGACATTACATGTTAGGTAGCTAGTTAATTTCTGCAGGAAAAGCAGTAGCTAAGCTAGCTGTCAGCTGTCTAACCTGATAATTACCAGTTACACAAGCCAAGGCATTATGATCATGTAGCTAGTTCGGTTACAAATATGGAACTTAAACGAGCTGTGCCTCTGTTTAAATGCAAGTAATGTGGACTCTAATTTATATAGCTGACTAGCGTACTAAATACCACTAACCACCCTATACTAGGGTTGGACGATGTGGAGAAAAGCACATTTTACATTATTTTTGACCACTTACCTCCATATTGATATTGTGACAATATTGAAGGGTTGGTTGAACTATTGGTGCTTTCACAAAATATTTACACAAAGAGATTTTTGATAACTAATCATCAGTAATGTGGATATAATGAATAAATGAGTAAAAGCAAATAATAGAACAGCTAGAACAGACGAGGGAGTTCAGAAAATGACATCACTTTGTAATTGTAATGGTAATAATGGAGCCTTTGAAACCAGGAAAAGACAACTCTTACAATATTACAGTTTCTGAAATGTAAGATGATATCTACTATATCTAGCCTCATATCACAATATTGATATGATATCAATATACTGCCCAACCCTACCTTAGAGCATGCTTTTAAATGAAATGTATTACACCCTGTTCAAGAAAATAGTATCTTATATCTATTTAAATGTACAGGTACTATAAGAGGTGGGGGAAAATCAATACAGCGTATCGCGATATTTTGCGTGGCGATAATGTATCAATACATGGATGCTTTTATTCTAGAAATTATAAATGTTGCAAATATGAATTAAACTTTTGGTAGCCTACTAAAATAACAAAATCAATTGCTTTTTCAGTCCACTTGGTACACATTGGTGCAATAAAAATGATTTAAGTGAGATGAACAGACTGAAAACTATATTTTATTAGATAAAAAAAAAGATGTTGACAATATTTTTTTTATTAACAGTTGAAAAAAAGGTAACAAATCCCAATATATTGCAATATATGTTTTCACAATACTCAGCATATTAAAAAAGATTTAAAATCACTATAATATTGTATCGTGAGGTAGGTATTGCAGTATTATCGTATCTGGGGCCTCTGGAGATTCCCACCTCAAGGTACTATTAAAGCTTGTTTTATTTAAGGGAACTACATTAATGATTCTATTGCCTCAGCTGTGTAGCTACAATCATCAAGTTATCCAACTAGCTCAAATTAACTCATTAAAAATTTAGGTACACCTTTGTTTTTGCCCCCATTTTTCACGTGTAAGTTAAAGATCTAAAACATTTTTTATGCACTCAATAGATTTCTTTCAAATTTTGGTCATGAAAATCTGTGTTAGTGGACACTTTTCCAAGATAATCCATCCACCCAACAGGTGTGGCATATCAAGATGCTGATGAAACAGCATCAGTACTACACAGGTGTGTCTGGGGATGGATGCAAAATTGTTTTCTGTGCCTAAAATCCCATGCTCAGAATGAGGCACCAGTATTTGCCTTAGTAATTCTTACATTTAGGATGTGAATTACAAAGTTCCATGTCCTGACCACATGTTTTGTCTGTAAATATTTGCTCTTCCTACCAGATTCGGCTTTGTGCATGACAAGTTTTCTGCTTCAGCTTTTAATTTCCCCTCTGAGAACAAGCCCCAGTACATCCACGTTACAGGTTTGTCTCACCACAGCATAAAAACATACAAACTTCTGTTTCCTGGAAGCCCATGAGCCTCAGTCTGCTTGTTTCCTGTCAGGCACCGTGTTCCTGCAGCTGCCATACTCCAAAAGGAAGTACTCAAGCGGGCAGCAGCGCAGACGCAGAAACTCCACCACCTCCAACAGCCAGGGGCCTTTCGGTGGCGAGGAGCGGGTCGGATACTACTGGGCCTACAACACCATGCTGACCAAGGCCTGGAGGACAGGCGTGCTGGGGGACGAGAGGCTCGCCGATCGGCTGCTCAGGGACTTCACAGACTTCTGTGCCAACAAGGACAACAGACTGCTCAACCTCTGGGACAGCTGCCAGGAGAAAATGAATGCCAGTGCTCCCTGACAGGAGAGATGAGTGCAGGAAAACAAAATGTAGACGGAAACTGTTTTTGCTCTTTATTTATCCAGCTACTTGTTGGACTCAGAGTTCCACACTGTTGTTGCTGTTCAGGGGCAAACAGGTGACTTTGACAGGCCTGCTGCTATAACTGACCCGATAAGAATGTTCTCTTTGGATGTTAACAGTATTAAATACTTGGACTCTGCATTTTAAAAATCATGCCTTAATGTTGTGTTTCATTGATTTTGTTTATTTACACAATATAAATAATATTCATTCATTTTAAAAATGAAAAAAATCATTTTAAACTTTTGTTTTTGGACCAGTGAAACAAGGAACTCTGCCTGTCTGTTAAGCACCAGACAGTTTTAGAATTCCACTGGTTTTCATGTCACATCCACCTGACACCCTCCAACTATTGAAGTTTTATGTTGCATCCAATAAGCAACCACTTCCTGTCATCTTCAGATTAGTCACAAGCAGTGTTATAATGGGACAGGATAGATCTGTAGCTGAATCATCTGAGTAGGCTGTTTGTTTTTTTAAGTATCATCCACAAAGCACTGTTCACTTGTCTTGTTAACACAGGCAGGGGGTGTCTGTTCATCTGTGTCATTTTCTGACCTGAAACCATTGGCGGCACCAAGAGGTGGCCCCCCTTAAAGATCTGACTGAGAAGCTGAGGACACCATCGGCAGACACCCTGTTTCTAATTAATTAAAAATAAAAAAATTAATTAAAATAATTATGCGTCACTTTAAGCTTTAATAAAATGTAAATGGGTGAAAAATTTCAGTATGAGATTCCTTAACTCTCCATGTTGACATAGTTTTCAACTACCCTATATACTACAACAGCCGAATCGAGTCCCTGGAATTCAGTTATAACTTTTGGTTTTGGTGTGCTACCCTAAAATTTTCAGTGGCCCAATCTGACTGTCACTTTGAAAATTTTCTGGGGCGCCACTGCCCAAAACATTGCAATAAATGCTTCCATTGGGGCGCCGGCACTATCCACTACGCTACCGACGCCCCAATGGAAGCATTTATTGCAATGTTTTGTGTACAGAGGCAATGCCTCGCTGCAGCGGTCTGAGGCTCGACTCCGGCTTGCAACCATCCGCTGCATGTCACCCCCCACTCTCTCTCTCACCCCATTTCACTCTAGCCTGTACATTAAAGGCAAAAAAAAGCCCAAAAAAATAATCTTTAAAAACAGACAATCTCACCACACAGTCCATTAAGTGGCCAGTTGAGAACGAATTTGCCCATTTGTCATGGAATAGTACAACACTTTAAGGACCTCTCGTCCATGTTTGCACAAAATGTTTTTAACTTTTTTCTAAATTTGTGTTAATTTTTCTTCTCACAATGTGACCATGCTGTTATGGGCTTCACTATACTCTGTAAAACTAAGTAAATGAGTAACCATTAAGAACTCAAATCAAATGCAGACACATTTCGAGTTGCACCTTATGAAACTTGTTTTAATGAGTGTCTCTTTATAAAACAACCCCGAACACATGTAGAATCACAGAAGTCTCCAGGCAACAAAGACATAAAAAGGAAGTAAAAACATAAATATAAACAGGGATCAGGATGAGAGATTATCACGCAAGTCACAGAGAGCTTTGGCACAGGGCTGGCTGGACATGACAAACACTTTACTCAACTGGAACTGAACACAGATTTTCCCACAGCTCCCAGTCAAACACCAGTGCCTGTTTCAATCATTTATCAGTATACTTCCCTTATATTGGTATTCTTACATTATATGAATACACATAGCATTGATCCCTTTAAGTTATTTTACATCAAATATATTTCTACTATTCAAGTGTCTTTTGATTACATAAAATTATTTATTTTAATGTTCCATTTGGTCCGTGATAGAGTTGCCCCAGTAATGGGTGCTAAAACCTGGAACTGAGTTAGCATTTTGGCACTGATGGTTCCCTCGTCTCATAGTTAATGGGCTTTTTGAATGAATTTGTGGTTGGATGATTGATATAAGGTGTGTAGTTCACACAAGCCTAAAAGACTTTGATCTCTTGCTCTACAACATAAAATAGGTCTGTAAATGTCCCACTCATAAATTTTTGAAAAAGACGGTTGTTAACAAGTGGCAAAATGAGATGACGGAAGTCATCATGCCTACACAGCTTTACGGCTTCATCGTGGTAGGGATGTTAAATCATGTGACAGTGGTGTAGTTTATTTATAGCTTAATGTTAGCTTTTTACTTCTGGTGATTGCATTTAATTTTTCATAATCATGAAAGTGGTGTTCATTTGTGAAGATTATCTTGCTGAACAAAACGTGTATCAAAAACATTTGTTTGCCAGAGTTTATTTTCTGCAATAATCCAAACTCCAATGGAAAAATCCCATAGACTTTGACAAGGGAACCAGTGCGATGCTAACTTCCAAGTTGGCCTACTGAAAAACATTATCCCTGGAGCACTTTATTGTGAAAAGAGAAAACACTGTACAAAGAAAAATGATTCAAATAGAAATATGATCATATCATAATGAGTTGCTCCATATGGCTCACATACAAGTTATGTGTATGATGTCAAATGAGACAACAGGCAGTACAGTAATGCCTCCCTATCTGCTGAACGTAGGAAAAAGTTAACTTATTCTCAGGTAGGAATGGGACGATATCATAGAGTGTATAAAATAATGGACATAGCCACCACAACGTCACATCCCCCATTGGTTTGTGGACCAGACTTTGGCATTTTGACTTGTAGTTTAGGAGCCAGAAGTGACCATATTTGACCAAGAGGGTGGCCCTTACCCTAATGCTAGCTGCTAGCATGATTTGCACAAAGCATTTACAGCTATGGTTAAGTGTAACAATGCTAATTTTTGCTAGAGAAAGACAGGCTCAAAAGCATTAAAATAAAATGTACTTATCAGAAAGACTGAATATCCGACTTATTGGAGGGGTTTTTTTGTGTTTTTTTTTTTTTTAGCAAGACTTTTTTAGACAATCGAAACATTACACTCAACATTCATGGACTGAAAACCCAATGCAATGGCGACGGCAACGCCTACGCCAATTACTCTGTGGATCTAGGGTTACGCCATGATTATGTTATCTCACCAATGTTGTCGCTGTGGCAGCGATTTGTCAACAGACAGCAACTGTAACAAAGTGGCCACGCCCTTAATTATGTATAGCTTTAATGCGTACTAACATTTAAACTTCACACACGGTACAGCTATGAATGTTGAAATTAGCTATAGAGACCAAAACTGTTTTTGGACCTGCCTGTAAACATGTTCATTTCTGCTGTAAAATTGGGCATTTTAGCATGAGTGTCTATGAGGATTGACTTGCTCTCGGAGCCAGCCTCAAGTGGACATTAAAGGAACTGCAGCTTTTGGTCAGCCTGCGAGGTTGCTGCTTGGAGGATATACGAATTTATTGCGGATCGCATTAAAATCACAGTAAGTTGATCACGGTGAATTTCCATTATCGGGGAAAATAACGAACAGCAGCAACCGTTAGCAGCAGCCGTTATTGTTGGTTGCCCAGCAGACTGCCGGGCAACCAACCGCATGGGTACCTTATTGTTGGTTGCCCAGCAGACTGCTGGGCAACCAACAATAAAAGAGACTCTGCAGAAACAAACTGCGTACGCACCAACCTTTAAAAAAAAAAAAACCAAAAAAAAAAAAAACAGATGATCCTTATCGAGCACATTTCATATTAAAATATATAATGCTGTTTCAAATAATTAAGAATCTTGGCTTTTCAAGATAGTTTGTTTTTCACTTAAAAGGATGTTCACTAAAAGAAGTGTGTCCTATCTGAAGTAATAAAAATGTATGTTTCTTAACAAAATGTAAGGTAAAGTGATTCCAGTATGTTTTAGTGCCATTTTAGAGTTTTAAGCATACTTTGATGATTTTCTGTAAAATATTGGCCAGCACAAACTTGACATGAAATATTCATATCGTCCCATACCTATTCTGAGGTTGCGTTTGCTGCTGCAGTAACATTCAAGTGACATTGTTGAACTTTTTGTTAAAGGCCTTAATTCTCGTCTTCATGACTGTCTGTATTTCTGACTCAGTTTTCATGTTTCCAGTGACAGTCTGTGTAAATGTAGTGGCTTTTTACTGTGTCCTACTTGTGGAGGAAATATAGTGTAATGATCTCTTAATTAACCACCCCATTTAGAATCTCAGGAATGATTTTGGAATGTAGTTATGTGTCATATCAGCAGCAAGTACTGACTGGATTTAAAATGCTCCCTGCTTCTTCTTTGGTGTTTGAGCTTAATCACTTGAATACATCTCACACTATAGCTGGTTTTCCTCACCATCCTGTAGACTCTGATGTCCGTTTGTGCAGCCACAGGATAGCAGTTCCCTTTTGAAGTGATCCACTTTAGATGAGCTAAAGCCTGCAGTCAGGTGAGGTATCTGCCAGGAACAGGTCAGTCTGTTCCCAGTGTTTCCTCGTATTTCTCCGCAGACATGCTGTTGACACTGGATCTTGTTTTCCCATCATTTTCCAAAGTTGTGTATAATTGTTTACAGCTGTAGCTGATGTCGTACCATGGAAAATCATGAAGCAAAATCAACCCGTAAAGCATCCAAAGCATGTTCCTGCTCACAGTTCTGTGGTCACAATACTGTGTAAAGAATCTATACAATCAATGACCTATTATTCTTCATTCCACTCCAGCTATATCTGCGGGCCTGTATAGATGTTAGCTATCATGTAGCTGTTTTGTGTGTTGGTTGGGTTCTGTGATAGGATTCTACAACTGAATATGTGACAAAGAATGTGTAAAATACGGAAAATATTAAGATTGGAATGAATGTGTATCAAAATATAGTAATGCATGGACCAACATTATGGATGAGAGCTGAAGACATGCTTCATTCATGCTCCATGCTCAGTCATCAGCTGCTGGCCTACCTGCTGATTAGTAACAGCCAATCATATTTATACAGCATGGTTATACTAATCTGGCCCTTCTTACTATCACTGCCGATAAATTCATACCAGCGCTGTTGACTTAACACAGTACTGTGTGTTCAGAATCAGACAGAACACTAAGTGAATTTTAGAGGCAACGCAATTGCATATTCAAAAAATGGTTAGATGCAATTTATAAGGAATTAGTCCAGGGTGGCACAAATTGACGACGACGCATCCCCACGAAAAAACGTGAAAATCCATCAATTAAGGTGGAGTCAGGACAGCTACTGCCTGTCGAATTATTCATGTCACTACAATAAAATGAACCTATAATAACCTGATTTTTGTAATTACCGTGCTGCAATATAAAAATTCTTGGAAAACGGTTGGAAAACAAGATCTAGTTTTGAAAATGGCCAGAATTGTCAGTAAGGCATGAAATAAAAAATCTCCCTATCAGTTCCTCTGGTTTCCCTGCTCACTCCTGTAACTTGATCAGAAGTGCTAAATGTGCCACATAAAGTGCACCAGTCGAGCAGCCAGTCAGGGATCCCCCCCTGCTGCTCTTCCCTGAAAAACTAGAGATGAATCTTAAAAAGAAACAAAAGTGAAAGCACTTCCTGTCCAGCTGAGACTGGCCCAGGATTTGTGTTTCCTTGATGTACCCTGCGGTGTCAGTTGGCGGGAAGGTGGGGGAGGGATTGTTAGTTGACTCTGGCTGCATCATCAGAGATGACTGTCAGACCACCTAGACACACACACACACACACAGAGGAAGGTAGTAGTTGAGCTGTGAACCAGAACTAAAAAGTAAAGGAGGAGCTTTAATAAGTTAGGCTAAAAGCTATGCAGATATATACAGTACTACACATATACTTGTATATACTCACGTGGTCTGATCTGTATTGGCCAGATGAGGATGGAGCAGAGCGTTAAAGCTGCAACAACTGCCACGCCTCCTGTTACTATGACCATGACGTAGTGATAGAACCACACACAGGCAGGACAGCACACCACAGTACTGAGAGAGACAACAAAGTCATGTCACAGTCTGAGACAGAACCAGCAGATCACTGAAACTACTCCTTTAAACTCTCACTCCTCTTTTTCTGCTCTTTTCTTCTTACATTTCTGTGTTGAATCATATCCCATCTTAACATGCATATACTTTGGCTTTTTATTTTAATCATTCATTTGTAAAATTGTCCTTTTTTCATTATAGTATGAATTGTTGTATAGTAATTATTGTAGCATTAGTCTTGTAGCTTAAATGCTGTTCAACATGTGCCTGGCAATATTGTACTTCAAGGAACAGTTCATCCCCAAATCAAAACTACCTATTTTTCCTCTTACTTGTAGTGCTGTTTATCAGTCTAGATAGTTTTGGTGTGAGCTCCAGAGTGTTGGAGATATTGGCTGCAGAGATGTCTGCCTTCTCTCCCATATAATGGAACTAGATGGCACTCAGCTTGTGGTACTCAGAATGCCAAACAACAACATCTCTTTCCAGAGATCACAACCCAGTTACTCAAGATAATCCAAAGACCTTGTTGTGAGCAGTTTCATGCAGGAACTATTTTCTTTCTATCAAACTACACCTGCCAAATCACCATGCTGAAGGAAGCGTGCATCAACTGGTAGGTCACTAGCACCACTTGAGCTAGCTAACATAATGGAGTAGGGCATTGTTATTGTTTACATGTCACTCTCATGCATGCTTCCCTCTGTGTAGTGATTCGGGTGTAGTTTGGTAGAAAGAAAATAGTTCCTACATGAAACTGCTCACAACAAAGTCAGTGGAATGTCTTGAGCAACCAGGTCATGATTTCTGGTGCTTCTGAGTGCCATCTAGTTCCATTAAATTGGAGAGAAGACAGATATCTCTGCAGCCAATATCTCTAACACTCAGCAACTCACACCTAAACTGTCTGGAATGATGAACAGTAAAACAGGTAAGAGGAAAAATATGCATTTTTAGGGTGAACTGTCCCTTGAAAGGAGTACTCCACTGATTTAGTATTGCACTTCCATAAAAGTTGAGGGACTTGTTAGGGACAGATTAAAAAGGCATTGTAACAAAAAAATAATCAAAGGGTGGCAGGGTGGTTAGCTTTGTTGCCTCACAGCAAGAGGGTTCCTGGTTTGGACCCAAGGTGGGGAGTTTGAACCCCAGGGTGGGGGTGCCCTTTTGTGCGGAGTTTGCATGTTCTCCCCATGTCAGCGTGGATTTTCTCCAGGTACTCCTGCTTCCTCCCACAGTCCAAAGACATTCAGGTTAATTGGTGACCCTAAATTGTCCGTAGGTGTGAATGTGAGCGTGAATGTTTATCTGTCTCTATGTGTCATCCCTGTGATAGTCTGGCAAGTGGCAACCTGTCCAGGGTTTACCCTGCCTCTCGCCCAATGTCAGCTGGGATAGGCTACTTTTGTCCAACACTTTGGTTTACGACCAAATACCTGCAAAATTAATAACATTTCCATCAGCCTCAATTGTACTTTGAGCTTTTTGATAGTCAACAAATGTAGCACGCTAACAGATAAAACCAGATCCCCAGGAACACTGCTCAGCTTTGCAGCCATTTTTTCCCAGTGGCCACTCGCAGTATTGCAGTGAAAAAAATCCCCTGCAGCTCAAAAAAGCATTTTCCCCATAGGCCACCATTATAAAAGAGACGTCCGTAAAACTGTTGAAAGGACACCCCGAACTGTAAAAAAGGTCAATTATGACATGAATTTTTTTTTATCCATGTTTGTTAAACTTTTCTGGAAAGCCGAGAAAAACTACTTAAAAATCTGTGACATCAACATCATTGCGGTCTTGTTACAGGCTGTGCAGAACTAATCAGGAGTAGTAAACTATCACTAAACTAGTGATACGACAATAGAGAAAATTTGAGTTTGAATTATGTAGTAGTGGGTCATCACTTAACGCAAGAGGAGGTCCTGTAGTGTACATACATACATAATGTGTGTGTAACAGTAAACAATGAGTGAATTTGTGTGTGTGTGTTTGTACTAACTGGCAGGGATGCAGAGTCTGAATGATCATCACAGCCACTCCATTAGCCACTTTATCAGTGAAACTCATGGCTCCGTACACAAATGCTCCACTTTGCTGCAGAGATGGAGATACAGTTAGTGGATGGTATAATACTTAACACATCTCTCTGTCTGTCTGTCTGTCTGTCACTCACTCAGTCACTCACTCAGTCACTCAGTCACTCAGTCACTCACTCACACACACAATTCTTACTGTCTGATTGCCGATGAGCTCAGCAGTCATGGAGAGCGATATGACCAGGATGGTGGCGGACCCCGCCCCCAGCAGCACAGCAGGCCCATACACCCACTGGCCCATCTTATCATCCAATAGCACCCAGTAGGAGAAGGCCATGATCAGCAAGAGGCCTATGAAGTAGGTGAGCTGGACCAATCAGAAGAGAGACACACAGTGTTTGACAGGTGAGTCAGCATAAACTTCTGGCTTGAACACTTCCTCTTCCTATCAGCATAGATACAGAATCAGATCTCCTATTCAACTCACTAAAGTACTAAGATTCACTGACACTTTACAGAAGAATGTGATGAGGAAGTATTGAAACACCAGAGAACCAGTTCGGCAACTTTTTGGCTCAGCTTTTGTATTCAGAGCTCTCAACTCAATTCATATATCCTTGATCATGTATTAGGTTATAGTTAGTGTTTATGTTGTAGAGGACTGCATTATACTGAAAAGGGTTTCTAATATTTTGTACCCTGATGAATGTAAATGGAAAGGATTACACTATTAACAGTTTCTCCTGCCTTACCTTTTTCTAACTTTTTGCTCTTTTTTAACTTCCTTTATCAAAACCCCTGAAGACCTGATTTGAAATTTTAACTTTTTCTATGTAAGATTACATTTTCACGATTAAATAAGGAGCAATGACAAAAACCTACTTAGGTATTATTGATGTGAACACTCAAAAACTGAGTGACTGTGAGGACTCAGGAATGTATTGGTGTGATTTGATTTAATTAACAGGAGCGAACATAATGTGCCTGTCTGTTCTTAGGTTTTGAACCTGTAGCAAGTATCTGTAAACGAATAGAGAGAGGTGAGTGTCAGTGTTTAAGGAATAAAAGAACTGTGTTGATGAGACATTCTAGTTTCAAAAATTAGACTTTCATCTTCTTATTAGAGTCAGTCACTTAGCTACACTTCAGCCCTATTTTTTAGCCTATGTTTGTTTAAATATTTGCAGATCATCACCATAAAAAGCCATGCTGCATTAGCTGCAAGCATTTCCTGTTTGCATTGTAACCATGGATACAGATAGCAATCACTGGACTTCAGGGCTGAAGAAAAAAAATCTTTTATAGGACAGGTTCTTAGATTTTTTTCCTATGATTTCTAAGCGGATTTATGGACATTTTTTCTCAATGGACATCACAGATCCTGAGGTCACTGGAAAGGGTTGATTCCAGGAGTGTGTGTGAGACATCTACGTGATATCTGTATAAGACTGAAAAAAAGGGTGTGATTTTTTTTTTTTACATCAGTTGGGATCAAAGGTTTAAAGCTTTAATATGTAACATTTCCACATTAAAATGTCTAAAACCAGACCTATCTTATATATTTTGATGAGCTGTGTACTTACATTATCCCAAATGTTTCCCCCAATGTTCAAACCCAGAGAAATCTGTAATTTCATTCAAGGTACAGTGTTTTTCATTTGGTTGCCTGTCACTAGCGTCATATCCCCTTACCCCTCTAGTTGCTCTAACTTCTGGGGAAACACAGGAAACACCAGATGGATCAGAGAGTAAAGAAGGACATCACTGAGCCAATCTATTTTTTGCGTTCAAGCTAATGAGTTTGGGTTGTTTTGACCACAGATAACACGCCGGGCTATCACATGATTGAATTTTCCTCAGTGTTAACTGCAGTGGCTGTATAGATGATCAGCTCATCCAATGCTAGTGATAAGTCTGTGGAATATCTTTTGTAACCAGATGATTTCTATAGAGACATTGCTGTTGAGTTTTTCAAATGTATTTTTTGGTGCTTTGAGCACCACAAGCTAAGTGCCATCTAGTTACATTATACTGGAGAGAAGGCAGACATCTCTATTGTTGATATCTCCAACACTCAGCAACTTGGCAGCGAAAAATATGTATTTCTGGGGCCATATTCACAAACATTCTGTGAATATTCTTGGGGAGCTCCTAACTTAGCCCAAAAGTTTTTTGTAAGGAGTCCGAGCATGGGAGTGATTTAGGAAAGTTCTCAGAGCAGCTTTGAACAAGGACGGGACAGAAACTTTTACCTCAGTGAGGAGGTGTGGTTGACCCCATTGCTAGGTATGATGCATCCTCTTAACAGATGTGATTGGTTGTCAGAGACACGCCCATTGTGATCCTGCAAGGTGTGGACACCCAGTGGAAGTGAAATGCACTACTGACTGTTAAAGTGCTCTCTTTGTTAGTGTGATCACTCTGTTGAAGTAAGGCTGGGACAGACCCAAGTCATCACTGCTGCACTCTTGCATTTTTCCAGTTATTCAAAAATCTTAGTGTTGTAATCATTTTATTTCTGGCGTTATAGTGTTAGGTGAGACGTGTGTATCTCTAATGACATCAACCAGCATTTCATTAACTCACTGTCATCCAGCGTTTGGAGGATATTTCTCTGACCTCTTTGTGTTTCCACCATTTTCTCCTCTGCTTAAGAGCCTCTTAAAAGTCCTCCTCCATGCTCCTAACAGTTTTTCACCTTTGGAGCTCTTTTAAGATCTAAGATGCTCTGTGAATAACTTTTATCTTTACAAGGACCTAATCTTAACTTTAAGGGAAAATTCTAAGAAAATGTCACAATTCTAAGAATTTTTTTTAGAGTTTCGTCACTCAGAGCAACTCTTACTTGCTCGTACTAGGACGCTTTGTGAATATGGCCCCTGATCTGAGGTGAACTATTGCTTTAATGGTGAAAGTAGCCTGATAATCAGACTACATTTTCATTTTGTTTCCATAGGAAAGGAATTATGTGTCTAGTGTGTGTACTTACACATTTTCCAATAAGCTTACTGACAGGCTTCATGATGAAGGAGGACAGGAAGCCACTCACTTACATCACTAATGGGATGGTTGCAATGAACTTCTATTGGAGGGAGAAAGAGAAATGGAATGAACAAACACTGAGGAATGAGTAGTCCTTTTAGCTTTGATACAGAATAACACTAATGGTGTGGTCACTATGAACTGATAATGCATATACACGTATGAAAAAGATTAATTCTGGTGATCTTGTGTTACCTTGGGCAGCCCCAGAGTGTTGATGAGATACATTGAGATGTATGTCTGAGACAGATTGACCATTAACCTGGTTGACATGTAGAGTAAGGCCACCTACAGAGATACACAGTAACACACAGATCTGTCAGCCAGGTTTGCTGCAGGCAGTGAAAAACATTTGACACCAGACAACATGTGGCAACTGTCAAGATGTTGAAAGCGGAAAAGCTGATTGCAAAAAAAAAGCTTTTTCTGTGCCGATCTGTCAGTTCAGTAGGTTCAAGTGAAGTTCAGGTCAGACTTCAGTGTGTTTGTTCTGATACTAAGAGAGTCACATCTGCTTTTACCTGTACAATCTTCCTACCTGGTAAAAAGAGGGCTGCTGCAGCCAACATTTCCACTGCAGAGGAGACGCGGAGGTTTTATGGCGAGGAAGCAGAGGCCTCCGCTCCCCCTCCTCCTCCATCCTCTCCCTACTCCTCCCCTCCTCTTCTCTAGCCTCTCCTCCTGCTCCAGCACTCCTCTCTTTGATTCCCAGGTGGAAGAGGAGGGAGAAGAGAGCACCAATGCCCAGCACAATCAGCGCCAGATTCTGTAATCAAACACAGCAAAACACAAGTTAAGGTTTATTATAAACTGTTTTCAAACTCTGTCAGACTTGCCTCATGCAGAGCCCATAAGTGTAAATATAGCACCTCAGTTTTAGCATGACTTTGGTCATGGTTTGTTTTGTAATGGTTTTTAATCGTTTAATCTTGTTTTATCCTTTATATTTGGGATTTTATTTACTTTATAGCTTTTCTTTTTTACCCAAAAAGCAGTTCGTAACTTTGTTTTTGACAGGTGCTATATAAATACAGTTATATTGATAATAATTATAATTATTATTATTATTATTATTATTATTATTATTATTAATGCTCTCACCCTACTGAAAATCACATTCAATTTCATGTTCTATTTTGCATCTTTAAGAAAACTGTCCTTTACCGACACTTCTAACACAATCAACAGCAGAATAAAATCATCACTAAGGCACTAGCTAAACAATATAAACTCCACAGCAGCTGCAGCCACAAACACATTACAGCAAAGGAGAGACTGCACAGTTTTTATACACCACATAGCAGGCAGGCACACATAAAGTTGCTCGGCAGCACAGTTGCTGTTGACATTTTTATCTAGAGAATGAGTTCAGAGTTTGTTGTCACCTGTCTGAATGTCACTCTGTGAGCCTTGAGCACAGCAAAGTCCCCCTCGATCTGCTCTACATTTAACCTCTCTGCTTGTTCATTCTTAAAGCATTACGTTAATATAACCAGCCTACTCAGCATCTCTGTCCTGCTGTAACCAGTCTACTCAGCCTGTCTAGCAGATGCACATGAGCACTGTAGCATGTCAGCCTGACCCAGCATGTGCCTGCATCATGCAACATCGTAGGTGTGTTTGACTTGGGACACTGAGTGTGCTCACAGGGTGGAGCATTGTATGATTGTTTAAGTTGAATACCACCTGTTTTTTGTAACTATATCAGCGTATAGTAATGCCAACCATAACCCACAAGGACATGATCCTTAATTTGATGGCATTTGTTGTACATTTGAACTGTTCACTAACTGCTAGCCACAGCTCAGGTGTGACCGCCATTCCGTATCCTGCCCACATCCTGACACTCGGCTGGTGAGTGTAAACATTTACAACATGCATCTCTACCTGAGTGTCAGCTGAGTGCAGACTGTCACCTCAGTCAAGCTCTGCCCTCCTGCAGCTACACACACACCTGCAGCTGCAGATTTATTTCCTGTCTTTAGTTTCATTGTGCTGATAAATTACTTAATGGAGCAACAGTGTGTGGATCTTTCTTTATTGCTTTCCTTGTTCCTCCTTTACTTCATTCACAACAGTTTTCATGACTGATTCCTGTGACTTTGCAACTTGAAACCATTGCAACTTGAAAAGTAGCAAAGTACAATACTTGTGATAAAAAGTACTTAAGTACAAGTAAAATTACCAATTATAAAAAAAAAAAATACTCAAAAAGTCCAAGTAAATCTATATTTTTTACAGTAACGAGAGTAAACATAAGTCATTATTTTCACCCCTGATTAGGGCCCTCAGTGTTCTGTTCAAAGGGCACTGGTATGCTAAATGGTACTGTTCACTGTCAATGTCATGTGGTGATTTTCAGTGGCTCTGCCCACTCTTAAACACAGTTGATTAGAAGCCCTCCTCACCCTGAAGACGGGGATATCGACTGGTCCAAGTGCATCACTGAGCGGATCTTCGTCCCCTCCGGCCTGCACGTGGAACAGCAGGTAAGCCACTGCATACACTGTGATGTTGGCTATCACTGTGAATGCGTACCTGCACACACACAAACAAGGGAGGCTGTGTATTCAAGATCTGTAGATTATCTTGCTGTCTGTACTGTCTGTGTGAATAAAACGTACCGGTATGCAGTGAGTTCTACTTTAGCGTGCTCACAGGAGACTAGCTCTGGAATGAGAGACAAGTGGGAGATCTGGGTGGCGGCCCAGCCGAACTGAAAGATGATGATGAACGGGATGAAGTAGATCAAACTGGCCCACTGGGGGGTGAATGAGCTACAGCCCAGACACTGGTTGAAGATGAAAGCAAAGGACAGCACCACGCTCAGTGTACCTGGATAACACACACACACACAGAGGGCACAAACAATGACTTTCAGTATACTGTTAGTAAAAATACACCTATCATTCTGCGTCAGTCTTATTCACACACATGAAAGTGATGAAGTGATGTGTAAGAAAAATTCACAACTTTTGCCCCAAAACAAATTTGGAACACACCAATGCTGGCAGGACACCTTCACCATCTGAGCATTTTGTCTTTATTTGACAGCACAGCGAAGGTTCCCCTGCTTGTGGAGCCAATAGCAGCCCCAAAACACCACTGGGATAACTTTGGCACCTAAATTTGTTATCCTCATTGAAGACCACCTTTCAAAAATGTGTTTTTCTTATTGTTCCTTCACTTGGATTTTTAAGCTTCACTGTGCAGAATGATGTATGTGCAGAGTTTGTTCTCTCATTCATCTGCTAAGGAGCCTTGATGTTGGCATTCTGGCCATCACCATATTGAATTTTTGGAACAAGAAGTGACCATATTTTGACAAGAGGGTAAAGTTAACTCTATTGCTAGCTACTAGCTCGGTTAACACAATGCATTTACAGCTATGATTAAAGGAACAGTGTGTAGGATTTAGTGGCATCTAACGGTGAGGACTGCAGTTTGCAACCAGCTAAAACTTCTCTCATGTGCCAAGCACGAATTCCCTGTTCGAAATCCCACTGTGTTCATTGTTCAGGAGGTTTTTCCCACAGGCTGAATCATCCACTGAGGTCTCTTCTTCCCCATACCAAACAGTCCTGGCAATTTAAACCAGTAAAAACACTGAATAAAGCAGTTTTATATTCAAAAAATCTGAGTTCTTCCAACACTGCTCATCGTGGAGAGGGTACTAACTAACTATGGTGGCCGACAGGAAAATGTGAATGGCCCTATCTACAGCCAAGTGTTTTGTTTGTCTATTCTGGGCTACTGTCGATCAACATGATGGACTCCAGGGACGAGGACCCGCTCCCAATGTACATATAAATGCCCCATTCTAGCGTAAAGAAAATCCAATGATTCATATTTTCAGGAGATTATACACAAAAGAAAACACACTTATTATGTTATATTCCATTTCTGCTAATATATCGTCCTAAATCCTATAGCCTGGTTAGACTATGCTCATGATGTGAGCTCAACATTCTGTTTCGCTCTCCGTATCAGTCATGACTTTCCAGAAATTAAAATCCAGTTGGGGCCAATCAGGGATCTGCAAAGGCGAGTACCCACACCCATTGACAGTGGAGTAGCACCAAGTCCAGACTGATACAGAGAGTAAAACAGAATGTTGAGCTCACGCCATTAGGATGGTCTTACCAGGCTATAAATCCTACACGCTGGACCTTTGTCTGAGATTATGCTAATTGTAATGCTAATTTTCACTAGCAAAAAACAGGCTTAAAACCATTAAAGAAAAATGTATTTACCAAAAAAACCTCAATATCCAGCTCCTCCTAAGATGGCCTTTAAGTACAACCATACACTGAACAAGACTTTTTAACTGTTACAGTTAACTTTCATAAACTGAAAACACACTGAAAAAGCAGCAGCTAGTGAATCTGCAGTTATGCCATGGATACATTACCTAACCAACGTTAACACCATGGTAGCGACTTGTTGACAGACGGTACCTACCTGTCACTCAAAACAGCCACGCCCTTAATTATAATTAACTTTAGGCCTTAAAGACATGCAAATGGTGAGTTATGAAATCCACCCTCCGAACGGTTGTCATTAACAGGGAAATAGAGTTCAGCAGAAATTAGTCCTAAAACCTGGAAATGAGTTAGAATTTTATCACTCACATTTCCCTTGTCTCAAAGTCAATGGGTTTTTCTGATTGGGATTTTGGTTCGACGCCTCTTATAAGGTCTGTGGTTCACACAAGCTTAAGAGACTTTCACGTTTTGTTCTACAACATAAAGTACGTTAGTAAATACCCCACTCATGAACTCTGAAACTGCTAAACCAGCACGTGGCTAAATGAGACCACAAAACATCTAGACTCTGAGCCACACCGAACATGGCTTTATGGTCTTGTTATGATGGCGGTGATAGGTCATGTGACCATAGTGTAGTTCACTTACAGCCTAAAATTTGCTTTTTAATTCTGGCAATTGCAATTAGGCTTCAATAATCATGAAAGCGGTGTTCATTTTTGAAGATTATCTTGCTGAACAAGTGAACAATACATATCAGTACCTTAAACATTTGTTTGCCACAGAGCTTATTCTTTGCAATAATCCAAAATCCAGTGGAAAAATCATATAGGCTTTTTGACGAGGGAGCCAGGGCAAAGCTAACTTCCATGTCAGCTTACAGAAAAATGTCATCCCTAAAGCACTCTATTAACTATAGAGACAAAAAACATTTTTTTGTACCAGGTAATAAACATGTTTATTTCTGCTGTAAAGTTAGGCATTTTAACATGGGCGTCTTTGGGATTAACTCCTTCATGGAACTAGCCTCAAGTGGCCATTATAGGAACTGCAGTTTTTGGCACTTTCTGTGTTGTCTTCATTTTCCAGCCCCAGCAGTTGCTGCTTGGTGCTCATCATATATCTCATACATCACTAGTTTGAAGCCAAGCATGGTCCAGTATAAAACTTAGATAAGTGTGATGTGGAAACTGGAAACCTCAAGGTCACATATACTGAGAACTGAATCTTTACATTAAAAATCGAGACATCTTGTTTTTCATAGAGCAGGACACACCTTTATAGCCTAGTGGGTTAGGGTTAGGGTTGTTGTTAGGGTTAGGGTCTAGTGTGTTTTGATTTGTTCTTTGCTTTCACTGTTTCCTCTTCCTTCTGACTTTTATTGTCAGTATTATTGCATTATATTCCATTGTATTCCTTGTAATGCTATAAATATTAAGTTTGATTGAGTCTGAACATGTGTTTTTTAGAATATTTAACCAGGTAATTTAAGTAGAAAAAGCATTTTAGACAGAACTTCTTCAAAGTAGAGCGTGTCTTACAACAGTGGTTCCTAACTGGCCCAGCCACAGGGACCAAATTTCTCCTAAATCATCAGTTCAAGGTCCACACAGTTTAATATATTCAGCATCATACTTGGGTTTGGCTATGTCGTCAAGCTAGTTTGCAGTCTTTGCCAAGTAGCTGTTGCTTAGTCACTCACTTTACAGCAGGAAATTGCAATTGTGCTGCAAATTCACTTTACTTCAAAATAAAGTGTGTTTTTTACAAACTTGACACATTCGAGTCACTTGCGGTCCATTCAGAATGGACTTGCGACCCACTTTTGGACTGCGACCCACCACTTGGGAACTACTGTCTTATAACATGTCTTGAGGGGATCTTTATTGGTTTTATGGTTTAGGTAGAATAAAAATGTAATTTTTTTTGATGGTCTATCCATTGTATATATTTAGATCTACTTTCACGCGTCTCTATTTACATTCAACAATTTGGCTGTTTGGCTGTTATGTTACTCTTGCTAAGAAGTGCTGTCTGACCGCTGTGAGGCAAAAGCTCTTGCCTAACCTAATATGACTTCGTAGACGATTTATGATGAGGCTTTCCTCGTCGTGTGTGTGTCATGTGGATACTTGCAGTTGTCAAGTCATTCCTCTGTGATTGAAGAATAACCTCAGTATCAGTCTGTATCCTCCTCTGACCACTGTCATTAAAGAGTCTCATAAAACACTCTGTCACTTAAATGGATCAATAAAACATATGTTTGGGGTGCAGTATGAGAGCATAGTCCAAACACCAGTTTCATTAAAAGTTACATGTTTATGGCATCATGTACATAACAGCTGACTGTCAGAAACAAGGAGCCGCTTCAGGACGAGACAACATGGCTGCTTTCTTCCCAGTTAACCTTTTACCACCCAGGATACTAACACTATGTAGAGCAGGTAGTGACTCATAAGTTACATAAATGTAAGCATGTAGTATGTATCAATTTCATTATGTATCAATTTATCAATTGTTTAGACTCTGCATTTTGCCCAATGTGGTCATTTTCAAAAACAAAACACACTGACATAAATATGACAGATGTCTCCCTTTCTTGAACCTGAAAATTAATTTTAATTTGGGAGTTTTGTATTCAAGACCACCTAAACAGAGACCAAGTCATGACCAAGAACAGAGTTTATCAGGACAGCGAATAGACCAAGACTTTAAGGGGTCAAGACCAAGGCAGGCCCACACTGCATGATGCACTTACTTGCCATGTACTGTATGTATATGTGTTTGTTTAAGTGTACTATGAGAAATGTGGACATAAAATTATCAAAAGGCATTGCAGAGGTAAAGTTTATATGTGGCATTTTTACAAACACTAATGAGCTCAAATCAACGTAACCATCTTTATTCAACACTCCTTTTTACACAGGCAATTTTGTGATATTCCCGTAGAGGTAGTTTTGACCAGTGTTAAAATAAAATCCCAAGTCATGACGTAGACAAAACTGAGTAAAAATGAGGTCGAGTCCAAGACGAGGCTGAGACCTCCAAAAAGTGGTCTTCAGACCAAGACCGATCTTGGGTATTATAACACTGCAGTGTAACTTGTAAAAGATAGCTGAATGTGGATTACAAATTCTGTCTGTGTATCTTTCAGACTTACCCACTAAATGCCATGTCTTCCTTTTGCCATAGTTGCCACAGCCGGGGGTTCGGTCAGACTCATAGCCAATGAGAGGCGTACAGATGCCATCAGCTATCTGCCCAACCAGCAGCAACACACCTGCACCACAAGGAGACAGTCACCATTGAGTAATTTACAATAATAATTAATATGTGACAACAGACCAAGAAGATAGATGCATGACGAAGGTAGACACTCACTGTACGAATTCAGTATATACTTTAAATTATATTTTTCATTAGTTTTTATTTTGTTGTTTTCAATGGAGTTTAGAGGTGGGGAAGGTGGTGTTGCACATTTTAGTTTTTATTTGTAAAAAAATTTAAGTTTTGGTTTTGTTTTCATTACTTTCACTACTTACTATTAGTTTTACGTTTTTGTATAATATGGGCAGGGGGGAGGGTGCACCTGTGCCTCCTCATGCCTGTTGTGCTGATACATTTCACCAAACAGAAAACTTTTGACTAAAGACATTTTCTACTAATTTTCGCTATATTGTATTTCGTTTCATGATAATTCACCGTTGTTTAGTTAGTTTTCATTTATTTCGTGACTCTATTTTCCATTTTTATTTCAGTTAACTAAAATTTTTTTGTTCTGCAACTAGTTTTAGTTTTTAATTTGGTTCAAGTTAATTTTAATAACTTTCATGCAGTCTCCGTAAAAAAAACCCCAACAAAAAAACATTTATAAGCCTTACAAAGATTTACGACAGGGTCATTGTATGTGTGCCTGTACTGTGCAGATGTTTTCACAAATATACAACATGTGTATACTTGTATAAACAGACAGATACACAGACTGATTGATAGACAGACAGACAGACAGAAAGACAGAGAACAATCTCTCTCACACAAACACACACACACACACTTTTTTGACACTTGATACCTACGATTTCGTATAAATACTTTTTTTTTATTAGTTTCTTTACTGAGCCTAAACAAACTTGAATTACTTATACAGCAGATCTACCAGTTGTAAAGTTTATTCACTGTCTTGTATTTATGCTTTGGCAACACTTGTTAAATGTGCAAATAAAGCATGTTGAATTTAATTGAAATGAACTGAAATAGACAGACAAACAGACAGACTAACCTGCATATGTGTTTTTGAATCCCAGTACTGAGTGGTAGAACACCAGCAGGTATGTGAACCACATAGAAGCACACAGGTCGTTGAGAAAGTGTCCCACCGCATAGCAGAGCCTCCTGAGGGCTGGCAGAGACCTCTCTGTGTCCGACATGGTGGCTCGCGAGACACAAAGCAGTTCAAAGGAAAGTGTCGGCACCACACGCCTCAATCAGCTCTCGACAGGGGTAAGATATAGTTGAATACACTACCGGTATAACTAGACAAACTTTTTCCACTCTGGGAGTTGCTGAACACAGCTGAATGACGACAGACCAGTTTTCGGTTCCCTTTTTAACATGTTACTGTCTTTTTATAAACTTATCATGAAGCGTTTCCGCTCAGTAAGTTAAATGTTGCCCGCGTAGAAGGTAGGACAAAAAGAAATTCCCTCTTCTTCTCGGTGTCAGATTCCCTGTAATCAGGTGACAGTTGAGAGATGTGTCAAAGCCAGGAGGAGCATCTGGGGATAAATGAAAACCGAAACAGAACCACAGCACAGGACAAAAAACGGGTTTCATCGCCGCATTTCTCCACTTCATCACATCACATTTGGATACCTAATTAGCTACTCTGAAACGTAAGCGAGGTGTTCTATCTCAGCTTTCTGTCAAGTCTAATTCAATTACTTTGCTGAGTCAAAATCCCATTAAAAATGTACCCCATAATAAAACAGAAACCCCTCGAGTGCCTGTTCTTCTTCGCACATTTCTCCCTCCAGCAGCAGCGTGTAGAGTTTTAGATCCACCTCGGTACGGAAAACACCGAACCGCTGCCTCATTAACCTTTAGCTTGCTAGCAACAAGCGTACGACACATCTGGTGAGGAAAACACATAACAGATGTAAACAGCTAAGCAGACCGGCGATGATGAGGTAAGCAAAAAAGCGAGAGGGATTGACCAATAAAGATCCTTCTTGCTCCTCTCAGCCAATTGCGAAAGCCTCGTGGGATCAACTTTGTCATGTGACGGCAGACTGACAGCCAATGGTTGTGTATGTAACAGAGTGACCAATTGACTTCCGCCGTTACGTAGTGGACAAAGGATGTTACATATTACAAGTTTATATGCATATATTACTGCAAATTTGGCCACAGCTTTTTCATTAAATAATTTTCGAAATTGTGATTTCATATAGGCCTACAACAAAGCAGAGTTTAGTCATCCCAACAAAGCACAGCACTTGCTATGTCCCCTATGTTACACAATGGTTTTGCCATTGTATAAATGTCAAAGCACAAGTTCACACCCATTTCCAGTTCCCATTAACCAGTTTGACATCCAGTGCCTTGCTAAGGGGCACAAGTGTAAAGTTATTAGAAGGCTACCCTACAGGGCAACAGCTGGAAATAGTGCTGAGATACATGTAGACAGGGCATTCAATATGTATTTTTCAGCACTGGAAATACAAGAAAAAAATGTAGGTAAGAAGATAAAATAACTGTACCTCAACACAGCCTTGTAGGTTTACTGGATTATTTAGATGACTGTGACAAAAGAGTCATGACAAGAAACAAGTCCCAGAAGTACACAGATATCTGGACTGACCTTGCAGTTGTGTTCTTCCACCAGTCAGTCAAGTTGCAGTTTACATCCATGTCTGTCCAGACTCATATGTAGCCATGACAGTAAATTATGCTTCATATATAGACGTTGCTGCAAGAAGCTATAGATTCTAAAACATGGATGCTTCGCACACATCTTCCGCAACACAGACAATCTATACAATCAGCACAGTTTCAAGGTGGACACCCAAGATTAGTGTCACCAATTCAGTATCTGACCAAATGTCTCCCCTTCTGTTCCTGAGATATGACATTAAATAATGGCCAGACAAAATTGTAATGTCACAGTGAAGTTGACCATTGACCTTTTGGATATAAAATGTCATCAGATCAAAAAAGTGACTTTTGACCTCAAAAATCTAAACAGTTCATCTCTGCATCCATGTGGATGTTTGTGCCAGATGTAATGAAATTCCCTTCAGGTATTCCTGAGATATCTCATTCACAGGAATAGGGAGGACCTGAGGTCACAGTAACCTTGACATTTGACCACCAAATGCTAATCATCTTTGAGTCCAAGGGGTTGTTTGTGCCAAATTTAAGGGATTTCCCTCAAGGCGTTCTTAAGATATTGCGTTCACAAGAATAGGACGGATGTGATCACAGTGACCTTGACCTCTGACCACCAAATTCTAATCAGTTCATCCTTGAGTTCAAGGCAATGTTTCCACCAAATTTAAGGAAGAATCCCTCAAGGCATTCGTGAGATACCTCGTTGACAAGGGAGGACTGGACAGACAACCTGAAAACATACAGTAATGCCTCTGGCCACGACTGTTGAATGGGCATACAAAGGTTGAGGCATAAAAATCAAACTCATCTGGGAAGGTTGAGTCTGGATTATATTGAAGATATTTAGATATTTCCTACATTTGACACCATCTTTGTTGAGAAGGGCAACACCTCACTTTTTTTCACTAATTGTTCATTACTTTTCTCTTCATAGATGCTTCCCTGAACTCTCAGCCACTTTCTAACTTCTCTTCATTATTATGCCAGTGATATTTGGTTACAGCATATCCAGTTCAATTGGGCATCAAATTTAGGACGTCCCAAATTTAATAAGAGGAAGTCTGAGAGTGTCCATGAAATCTCTTTTCTATCCTGTGCTTGGGTATCTATATTAAATAAGAAATGCCACAATTTTTCCTGCAAATACATCAAAATTAGGTTTGTCTCCTACTGACCTGGCTGTTATTCACACTCATTAGTAACTCCTCTCACATGGTTTGCGACTCTTTTTTTCCTCTATATCAAAGCTCACATCTACCATTAACATCCAGTAGCTGCAAAATGTAGCTGCCAGAAACAAAGATCACAGAAAGAAACACTCAACTTTTGCTTGACCCTCCTTGCACTGATAGCCTCTTTATATTAATATTACACTGGTAATTTGGCAGTACATTAACACCTTTAATGTCTAAGTGGTCCAGAGTATAAAATAAGATTATCAGCACTGGATTTGGGGACACCTTAAAATATTTAAAAGCTCAAAATGTGAAGATAAGGCCAGGAGCACCTGCATCTTCCACATCTCCTGGTATTTTATCACACTTAACAAAACTTATTTACATTTATAAATCCTATAAAAGAAATATAAAGATATATAATGTTTTTGTAATTGCACTCCATAAAGGACATTTTTACAAACAGCCCTCTTATTTGCAGCTTGTGTCGTTTTCAGCCCCACTAGCTGCAGGGCTCTAGATGGCAGTGTCAGTCAGTCGGTCCAGAATGAAACATCTGGACAACCACTGGATGAATGGATTCAATTTTTTTTAATTCCCTTTTCTGTCAGTTCAAGACATTAATGCCTTCTCATAAGTTGATGTTTCATTATATATTTGATGAAGCACTCACTCTTAGCCATTTTGAAAAAGGGCTGATGTGTAATATTACTTAAAGGGACACCTCAGATTTTCAGTCAGTGTATTACCTGCAGTGGATGGCGGTCGGCACACCCCCAGTTTGGAGAAGCAGGCAGCTAGGCAATGTGCTGCTGTCGATGGGGGCTGCAGCAAAACCACCATAAAAAAATCAGCATCATTTGAACTGTACGCCATATTTAGAATACTTACAGTGCTTCACTCGCTCGCCTGGTGTAGCACCCACTGCTCCTTCATGTCAAAAGGGGTCAGTTGAGGTGGTTCAGGCATCTGACCAGGATGCTTCCTGGACACCCCCCTTTAGAGGTGTTCTGGGCATATCCAACTGGTAGGAGACCCCGAGGTAGACCTAAAACACGCTGGAGGGATTACATATCTCATATCTGGCCTGGGAACACCTCAGGGTCCCCCAGGAGGAGCTGGAAAGCATTGCTGGATTGAAGGACGTCTAGGGTGCTTTTATTGGCCTGCTGCCTCCACAACCCCGCCTCAAAGCGAATGAAACTGGACGTATGGATCAGCACTGCGCATTGCCATCAGGCAGCCCTTTCTGATGGGGAACTGAAGCAGTTATCCATGTTTCCCTGAAAGGCAGAGACCACTGACAAAAACAGCAATTTTACTTTGCAGAACACAGGAGCTGATGGTTTGCTGCAGCCTTGATTGTTTGTGATATTGTGTGACTTTGGTGATTTAGAGGCATAGTTAGGATTCACCAGTCACAATAACATGAACTAACTGATCGAGGCAGCAGTAAACCAGCAGCTCCTGTTTTCTGTGAGGTTAAAATTACTGTTTTTGTCAAAGCAGTTTGGTGGCTTTGAAGAGAGTGAAAGAACTGCTCCATTTCCCCATGTTGGAAGGGGTTGTCTGGTGATAATATACAGCAGTGAAAATACTCTAAATGTAGTGTACACTTAAACTAATATTTTTTAAGGAGGCTAAAATGTGTTTTACTGCTGCCCTGTCCACAGCAGCACATAGCTTAGCTTGCTTGGTGGTATTATTGCCTGCTTTTCCAAACTGGGGGCATGCCAACTGACATCTACTGTACGTAATATGGTGAATATGGTTAGGTAACTCATACAGCCCTACTTTGAACTATCCGAACTATCCATTTAAGCTCAACACACTTCAGCATACAAACACCGACCAAGGTACTGGCAATTTCCCAACAGATGTGTACTCTATTTTATCCATTTTTTTCCCTCAAGTGTGGCAGTTTGCACTTTATGTGGAAACCACAGTCAAATGATGGACTGACAAAACTGTTCTGATAAAGAATCATGCTTCAGTTCAGATTCTCCAGACCAATGTACTGACCTGACTTTATGATCCTACTGTATCTGCAATGATGACTCACTGAAACACTGGCAAAATATCCTTCAAACTGAAAAAAATGTTTGGTTCATGATTCCCTTAAATAAAGATCAGCTTTTATTTTGTTTGGTTGTTTTTTTAATGGAGTTATCCGACTTTCCATCCTCCAACCCAGAGAGAAAGAGGGAAAAAAAACAAAAAACGGGAAAATTAAAAATACAAGTTAAAAAAAATACATTTTGAGGAACACACTTCAAGCTACAAAACACAAACTTTTGGAACTCAAAAAAAAAAAAGGAAAAAGAAAAAAAAAACACAGGTTCCAAACTGTAGACAGTCTTTTTTAGTTAGAAATTAAAACAGGAAAAGCATAATTTTCACATAAACATCTTTTTCAACTTCCTATTCTGGTGGTTGTGAGGTTTTTCCTCTGAGGGTGAATGTGTCTGAGTAGTACACCAAGCCCAATCCGTTGCAGGAAATAGACCAAGCCGCTCATGGTATACTGCCTTTGACCCTAGGGAATAAAAACTTTATAGAGTATGTGCAAGAGCTGCATCTTTATGTCCATGAAGTCTCTTTATGATGAACTTGAGAAAATGTGCAGCGTGTTTGTACAAGTGTATGTTTTGTGTACGTGTGGTCCGACAGTCTCGTTACTTCCCATCCTTTGTTCTCCTTTCTTCTGTATATCCTCGGAAACACACTTCTCTCTCCTCTGAACCAGTCAGTAAGGAAGAAAAAAACAAAAACAAAAAAATAGAGAACCAGCCAGTCTGCCAGTAATCTAGCTGAATCCAGTCTTTCAGCCAATCAGCTTGCCTTTTACAGTCTATCAGCTGTTTGTTCGTGGTCACTTGTTTCCAACAGCAGTTTGTGTTTATCCAGTTTCAGTTCAGTTTGTGACCATAAATACGTGAAGACTCCTCTGCTGGTACATCTAGTCCACAGTTAAAGCTCCGAGGTGGAACGGCAAACATGTTACTCTGTCTGTCCAGTTGTTCCAGAGCAGCAGAAACCAGTAGATCAGCTTAGCAAACATATTGTGCTGCCCGGTGGTCCGGCCAGTCCAGTCGACCCAAGGTAAACTACAGGACCCCCAACAGCAGAGGAGGAGGGTCAGAGGGGGACTGAGTGGGTAGGAAAGAGAGGGCTATATGAAGAGGGCTAGAGAAAAAAAGAGAGAAAAACAAAAGGAGACCAGGGTTTCTCTCTCATTTTCATTTGTGTCTCTGGAGGGCTTTCCTCTTCCTCCTCTTGAAGAAACAGCAGCACCTGCAACACACAAACCGTCATAAACAGATTTCAGATACAGCTTTGCTCGTTCAAATAGTATTCATTTATTATCATTAATATTTATTTTAACTAGCAATGAACTCTGAACTAAACATGTCAACCCCACTATGAGCACTACGAGCTCTTGTACATGTAACAAGTAACAAATACAGTAGATTGTTGAGATGTAAAACTGCATCAGTCTGGACTGATATATGGATTCTGTGATAAGCAATCCTATATCATTGATGCAAAGTGAAAGCACTGATACATATAATCATATTTAAGGTATGCCTTTATTTTGAAATTCCCAAGGCATGTCTGTGTTACCATTTCTGTCCGAGCACACCTCCCTCCTCAACATTCAATCACTGCTCGCCCCACGCAGATAATGGTAAGTAGCCAAGAAAAAGACAATGAGGATATTTACTGATATTGTCACATATCGATCTCAGGCCCCTGAATTGAACTGAATCAAAAGCATACTGTGGCAGACTTTGTGATATGAACAAGGTTGTATCCTTGTCCAAGGAATCAATACAACATTGTGATGAAACTTGTGATTTACACCTCTTGTAGACAGCTACATGTATATTTTTTAGATCAGCTTTTTATAGTAGGGGTGATGGTCACTTACCTACCTCTACCCCTATCTCAAATGGTCATAACAGAAAATAATTATAAATGTAAAATAAAAGCAGAAGAGAAAACAGCTTCTGAAGAATGAAAGTGTGAGAGAAAGTGAGAGAACAAGCAGACTTTTTGCACTGTCAGCATCTTATTTGTGCAAAGTCTACACTTCCTGAAGCACTGCTTTGTAGCAGTCATTCTTTACGAATGACCAATCTACAGGAAGTGAGATTATTTGCTGCAAAATTCAGCATTTTTAATATTATTGAAATCATTATTTTTTGATATGATAGCCGATAAAATAAATTAATTGAAAAAAGCTTTACTTGGCTCTAATGCAGCCACTTGGCTGACTGCAGTCACTTCTCCATGGCATCGCTCAATGTCACAACTGCAGCACTATGTGATTGGTTACATGTTAAGAGTAACGGCCTATAAATATTGAAGGCTGACGTGCCACAGAGGCAGACAAACACAGACTGGAGCTCCTCTGATCAGTAGGGGTGTAACGATCCATCGATCTGGATCAATATATTTAATGATCAATGATTCAATCACATCAATGCAGAGTGAAAACATCAATCCATATCGTTATCTTTAGCATAGGCTTTTATTATGAAGTGGCAGGCAGGTGGCAAGCAGCCAAGAGAAAGACGATGAGGATAACTTTATTTACTCGGGAATTAATCAGAAGAGTGGAAATATTTTGGGTTTCAGAGAAAATAAAGGACAACAGACAGCACACATGGTGTGTGTAGATTTGCTGTTATGAGATAAAAACACAATGTAACGTTACCTGCCCGTACGAGCGTCTCACTCTGCTAGCTTCTTGCTTTAGCAACATTAGCTGCTCTGTTTTAACAATTTTCAGCTGAAAAACCATGCATGCAGGCTGATATTTAACCAAGCTGTTCAGTCAGGAGATGCAGTAACTTTAACCACTGGTGAGTAAGAAAAATAATAACGTTACATGTAATTTGTTAAGCTATGGGTAGAGGAAAAATGTCCGCTAGCCGCTAGGTTAATTTATGCAATGTAAACATGCTTAAGCTAATAATGAGTGATTAGCAAAAATCAATTGTTTTGTCTCTGAACCTCAACAGTTATTACTGAGCTGAATGTTATACTTTTGTTGAATGATCTTTTGTACATCTGTAATTTATGGCTGTTTGGAGAAGTTTGTCTTCAGGGCTTTAAACCACATGGACCTCAAGTTTTATGAAAAAGATGATGGTTTGGATTAAAATGAAAAGATTTCTTCCAGAAAGGTCTCTGACAGAAAGCCCTGAAGGTAAACTTATCCCATTTGCTGTTTTATTTGTGTTAGTGGAGTCAGTTTAATATCTTGTTTTTAAAGTAGCATAAGTTGGTCTAAATCTAAACTTGGATATTTCTGCCTCTATTGCAGATGGCAAAAGGAAAAGTTGCAGGTGTTGACTTATTCTACACATACTTCATATGCTACTATAACTTGCGTGTGTATGTCCTTACTTGGTATCATCAGCCACTTCCACCTCTGCATTGGCCGTGATTGGTGCATTGGAGTGCCCTGCTGTGGGGTCGTCTGTATTCAGTTCTCCATTGGTTGAACTCATCACCTGGAGGTAAGAAATGGAAGACACAGAGAGGTGAGTGCCGCTGTGCCAACACCCGATCTTGGCAGACAAAATTAAAGACTTGCGTTATGTCCACACTAAAGCTGATAAAACTGAAAATGCTGTTTATGTGTGAAAGCAACATGCTTCTACACTAGTGTTTTCAGGTCATTTTTGAGACGTTCTTTTTCTACACCAACACACCAAACCAATAGAAAAACAGATCAAAGTCATCATCTTCTTCTTTTCACTTGGCACAAATGTGCCTACGAGCCAAACAGCAGAGTGACAAGCATCCACCTGTGTCCTGCTCTCCAGCTTCACCAGAGAAAAGACTGTTTTCAAATGTAGCCAGCTTAATGTGGACATGGTCTAACAGTCCATGAGAGGTGTGACATCAAGGGAAGCTTCTCACATGTATGGATACAGGCATTATCAACATTCATTTTGCTGCCATGCAAAGTAGCGGCACCTCTGCTTAATGACTCACAATGAGAAGCAATGACTACTTTGTGGCCTTGAATTTGTTCTTACTTCACGCTTAACAGAGACAACTCTAACATCACATACCTGCTTATACAGTTTTGCTGCAGCTGTGTTTAGTTCCCTTAATTATTTCACCCATTGTTCCTTTGTCTTTTAAATATTCCCCAGCCCTTCAGTGTCCAAGCCATGACTGAACTGTGTTTTTTTAATCAGCTAGAATCAACTGCTAGCTCATCCAGCACCACCTCAGCCAAGGAGGATGCCATTAATGTTTACATCTTGCAATGTCACAAGCATGAGCGTCTTGTCCATGAGTAGATGCACACTTCCTTCTGCTCAGTGATGCAGTTGGCGGGTGTAATTCGGTATAAAGACAATAGTTCCTACAGGAAAGTGCTCACAACAAGGTCTGTGGATTATCTTAGTAACCGGGTCATGATCTCTGGAAAGAGACATTGCTGTTCAGTTTTTCAAATGTATTTTTTGGCGCTTTGAGCACTACAAGCTAAGTGTCACCTAGTGTGCCCTCCTTGCCCTCGCAAACGAAGAGGCCATAAACGGTGAAGGATGGGCCAACTTATGAGAGAACTGCCAAAGGACTGACCAGCCGCGGCTTCCCTCCCACGTCACTGATTACGTCACACGCTGAGCTACATGTTTTGTTACTTGCTCACGCCCCCCATTGCCCCGAAAAAGACACATTCTGTATGAACAAAAGTAGGCAGACGGCATTTCGCTGCACTCCCCAATTTTGTTTTTATACTGCCAATGCTGAACGAAGACTGATTAGGCTTTCCTGCAAATTTGCACAATTCCTATTTAAAAAGGGCTTTAGAGAAACATTGTGCAGTAGTTCGACTCACAACCTCTCCCTTCCCCTCTCTCTGTCTCTTTCGCACAGCCAGCAGCTTTATCATCAGCGCTGCCACAACTCATCAAGGCTTTATTAAACATTTGACCAGGAATATCTGTAAAAGTCTGACATGTTAAAATCTCTCTTGTCATAATGTCCAATAAGAATATTTCTTACTGGAACAGTTTGTATGATGTCTGACGAATTAGCACCCCAGAAATGACGTTATGTTCTTAACATACAGTTACGTTATGTAACTTGAAGTTACTGTGGTTAGGTTTAGGAAGAGAAACATTGTGAGGATGTACCTTAAAATGACTCAAAGTTCACTTAAAGTTCACATGGTTCTGAACAGGTGACTCCAGGGGAAAATCCGGAGCTAAAGACCGTGTTTTTGTGACCCATGCACCACCGCAACCTGCCTTATTACGGACCACTAGGGACTTATTTATTTCAGTCATCACATTGGTCACATGATCACAGCCTTTCAAAATATGTGGTAAATGTATGAAGTTGGGTGCATTATTTTTCATAGGAAAACATACTAGCAGTTTGTGAGAACAGCCTGTCTTCCATGTAAACAAACCATGTTGGATATCAACTGTGCGCTCGAGATCATACTGGAGATGTTACCACTTAAAAGATGGGTGAATACTTGCTGTCTTTCTCCGTTTTTACTTTTTAAATGAGAAAATACATTTTAAATTGTGATATTTACTGGGAATTACATACAATAAAGCCCACAGCACGTAGGTTGTTGTTAGCATTGGTCATTATCAGAAACTTTCAGCTTTGGTTTGCAGGTAGGGTTCAGGTCATTGATTCATGCTTATGTTCATGGGTCAGGCTGGACGGACTTGTTCTCATAATGGACTGGGTTGGTGCAGGCTTTAAAAAACCCTGACCTGCCCATCACTAGTAGCTACAAACACTTAAGAAACCCAGCCTCTTCCACCTTATCAGCTTACAAAAAGCAGTCTACATCATGTGGTCTTTACACTCTATGCTATGTCAATAGAGAAGCAACGTTCTGTCTCCTCGCAGAAAGTCTCCATTATTTTAATGTGGAAAAAGGGGATGGTAGTATTAAAATACGTATAATATACTCTAACATATGATGTATAAACCTAACATGGATGCATAAAGGTTTTAAAATAAAATTTCTATTATAGTCGACCCATGTGAGGGAATAACTGAGGTTGTGAAGAAACAGCCCTGCTGCAAAGACAGAGAAGATCATGCAGGCAGACAGATAGACAGGTAGGCAGACAAACAAGCCAGAAGAGCTAACCCTTCCTCCCAGTACCTGGACAGACCCGCCCAGCCTATCAGCAGTGAGATGGGAGCCCAGCAGCTCTCGATTGGTCACTGGAGTGGGCTGCGACTCACTGCCTTTCCCCTCTGGAGACTAGAGGAGACGGGAAGCCGATCGCAGGATAAACGAGAAGGGGTGAAGGATGAGGGGAAAGAGGTGGTGGCGGTGGAGAGAGGAAAGGCAAAGAGAACAGGTGAGATGAAAGACGGGGCTCGCAATGGAAGGAAGAAGAGACAGGGTGGAACAGAGAAAAAGAAGAAGGAAAAGCAGTAAGGCGAGGGAGAAGTGGGAAGACGAGCAGATGGAGGAGAGAAGTGGCGGGTGAGGAGACATAAGAATGAGGAGAGAGTGAAGAAGGAAAGAGAAAAGAAATAGTGAGTTCAGAATCAGTATTTGGTGGAGGAGCAACAGGAGGGTAGGTACTCAAGTGTGCAGTACAGTGTGTGTGCACAGGAGAGTGCGCACTGCGGAAACCCCATGCAAAAGGGGAAGGACGAGGTTTATATTCTGTGTTGCCTCAACCTCACCTGCCTCACACCTGTTTTTTGGAATTAAGAGTGAAACAGAACTAAAGTGTATTTGTGTTTGTGATTGTAAAAGAAGGGGTGGACTGGAAAACCAGTGCAACCACTCACTGTAAAATATGCAAAGATATTGACTTTGAAACACCATTTGATGTAGTATAAAGCAGGACGTGAACTGCAAGTGTCAGGTCACAAAGTATTTTAAAAATGTCACAGTCGAACACTAAGAAGAGGCAGGGGAAGACTTGAACACAGACCATGCTACCAAGTCAGAACAAAAAGGAGACTGTTGTAAAAAGGTGCTTATCCACTAAAACGTGTCTGTCCAGCATAATATTAATCTGCAGAGTGTGCAGGGTGTTGCCATGCTGAAAATATTCCATCCTCAACAAAATGTAGCGGTTGGCATGTGGTTTAAAGTAATTTAAGTTTAAAGCAGCACACCACAAAGCTTGTGCAATCATGTTTTTATCATCTTACCAATATTTCAAAAATACAATCTATCTTAACTGTTAAAGACACAAAGAATTTTACATGCCTTCATCTCATCATGCTACTGCAATTGCCTCTTTATCTGCCTGAATCAGAACACTATGGATCCACTCCAGACTGTACAGAACTCAGTTTCCAGGCTTTTAACCAGAACCAAGACACATGATCACATCAGCCCTCTTTACACTGGCTGCCAGTATGTTTTAGAAAAGAGTTCAGGATTTTAGTAACACTTAGTATGCTATTTACAGAGATAGCACTGGCGATTTGAAACAGTCAGTGGCGAAAAAAAGCACTTTTAATGCACAAACTTATATGGGACGCATTTGCCCCCGTTACCGTTTTAGCTCGTTTCACGGCTAATTTTAGAACGAGTTGTACCTATGAATCATACGCACACATACACATGGGGAAATAGGGCCCAGGTTGAAAAATACCGAAGTTATCCTTAAAAGGCCCAGACGCAGTAAACCGACATCAATGGCGACTAAGGTCGCCTGTTGTGATTAGGGATAGACCGATATGGATTTTTTAGGGCCGATGCGGATACCGATTTTTTTCCATCACCCTTAGCCGATGACCTATTATGGACTGCCGATTTTCTTGAGCCGATATTTGGGGCCGATTCTGCTTTTGCTCCCTCAATTTACATAAAAAAAATGACACAATGATAACAAATATGACAGGTCTCAAGTTTAAAATAAGAAACATTTATTGAACAGTAAAAAATACTAAAACAAGATGGAAAGTTGAGGTAGAACAGGTAGAATATTATTATTATTATTATTATTATACATTCAAATAAAAAAAAAGAGTTCAGCGCTCTTAAATCTTCCAGTAATGTCTTTATAAAATAAACAAATATTTAAGCTGAAGCATAAATAAAACAACAACTACTGTACACAGTAGGATTCAACAGCTTTGTTCAACTTAACCACATACTTTCAAATGAAAAAAGTGCCAGGGAAAAATAAATCCGCGAACCCACGCTCGTATCGGCCGATGCCGATACAAGTAAAAAACTCAAATATCGGCCCGATATATCGGCTGGCCGATGTATCGGTCTATCCTTATTTGTGATGCCTCACTTTGCCTGTATCTCAGACAAAACTTGTACTTAAACACATCAAAGACTAAAGCCAATGGCTGACTAGCATGTATGTCCTACACCTGTGTGCGAGGAATGATCTCTCCACACCAGCAAGTGGTGGTAGTCTGTATTCGTCATTCAAAAAGGGACACCAGAAGACCGACAGGAAGCATTCAAGATGCTTGTTAGCCAGTTAGCACATTAATAACATAACCTGATGCTGAAGGAGCAAATGATATTTACCGTGCCCTAGCAAACAATGACACAAACAACCACGAACCGTTTCTGCAAAAGAGCTCAATGACTGAAAACATAATCTTACCCGATATAACAAGTTTGTTTTAATCTCATTCCCTCTTGACTTTAGCTGTTTGTTTAGTTTCCTCTCTTCTGTTTCTCTTCTCGTGTGCTGAGCTGAACCGCAAATCAGAGTGATTTCACCCACCAATGGGCTCCACCTTCTCTGATGCCGATTCAACATGCTGAATCGGCCCAAAAAAAGCCAATAAGGGCCGACTAGTACCAACAGTGCAGGGCAGACAGCAAAAACAAGACCAACAGATGCTCAACCGACAGCCCGACGTTGACTGATGGTCGTCAGCTTGGTGTGTCAGGGCCCTTTGGTTCTTGGGCTGAGGTATTTTGTCTGTTCCAGTGGCCCCAAAGCTCTGGACCCATCTACCCGAGGAAATCAGGTCTGCTGAGTCAGTAATCTCCTTTTAAGTCCATTCTCAAAACATACTTTTATCAGAGCCTTTCCTAATTTTACTTGAGTTTTAATTTTCTTTTGAATTGTCTTTTATTTACTTTAGAAAATGTTTTCTATTACTATCATTATGTTTTCTTGTACTGTATTGATTTTAATACACCAAATTGTTTTTTAATTTGTTTTTTAATATTTTTAAACCTGATTTTGTGACATGTCTGTTTTATTTTGCTGCCTTTGTGAAGCACTGTGCTCTGTAAACTATAAATTAAGACATCATTATTATTATTAGCAGCAGCTGTAGTGTGAAAAGTGGAACAAATGGAACACGCACACACGCCTTATCTTGCACACAGGGCCAACTGTACAGTGTGTTAACATTTTAACTATCAATTATAGACATAGAATGACTTTAAACAGCCGTTCCCGTTCAAATGGATGTAGCAGGATGATCAGAGTGCAATTGCCATTGCAGAGAACTATGACCTTTGGAGCACGCTTACTTCCATTTAACTTCCATAAACTAACTTGCAGCAATTCACACTCACTGAGGTGAGGTTTTGCAGTAACAACCAAACAAGCTGGGAGTAGGAGGTCTTTTGTGCATTGCTGTTGCACAGGAATGGAGGATTTATTTTTCTATTGGTTAATCATCTAATTCTTTTAATATCTCAAACTAGCAAGTGTGACACACTTTACAGCCCCACTGATGTGTGATTTCATGATGACAAACAACATCTGTTTTCTTTTGAATTAGTCTAATGACCACAGCAAACCATTTAATGTTCGCTCTACTCTCATTCTATTTCTACGCTACCAACTCAGTGTAATGTATCAATGCCAGGCAATGAATAATTATTATTCCAGAATCCTGCACTGCATTTCAATTATGAGGACACAAAATCTACATTAGAACGAATATTATTAGGACTGTACCTGAACCAAGATTCAGGACTTTGGGTTTGGGGGGTGTGTGTGGAAGGGGGTTGGAGGTGTTAACAGTAAGCATGAGAGCTTAAAGCATCAGTGCAGCCAGCTGTTTCCATCATCCATCTCCTCTTCCATCAGTTAGTTTTGTGGTGAGGTCATTCTGAGGCAAGACTTTGTAAAGTTTACAGCCTGCCCTGCTGTTGCTCCTGCATTGCTCTGCGCACAATAACACAGCTAAGAAAACAGTGCAGTGATTCATTCGACAGACAACACGCGAGTCGACTCAGGGCCATCTCAACTGATGATTTAAGTCACCAACTTTTGGTTGATGAAAAAATGCCTACCGAACTGAACCATACCGAACTGCTTGCTAGAAACAGGACTAAAGAACCCTGCCTACGCTGGGTGGGTACTGTCCACAGTGAAAAAGGAAAAAGAACTGAGAAAAGGACCAGGTATCAAAAGTGAGTTGACTCAAGCTGAACCATACAGTGGAAATGAGGTTTAACCTAAGTGCACAGTAAACACAACAGAGTGCATTAAATACTGTAACACAGCTGTAGATCCAGTCTGACCACAGCTGCCATCCTCCCTGAAGAAGCAAACAGACTTATTAAAGCCACGTGTTGACCCGACAAGGGGCAACCAACACTCAGTGTGTTCAAGCTTTTCTGTTGATCAATGTCAAAATACATTACTGTCCACTGTGACACAATTTTGTAAAACATGAAAAGGTCCAGCCAATACTACAATACACAGGCACTACAATTTTACTATTAAATATCAAGGAAATTAAAAATATTAAATTTAACAATGAGGCTTTCCTTCTAGTCCATTACTTAAGATGTGAAGTCAATTTGGATCGTTGCAGCATCGCTTGCTTATTTGCTGGTTTCTTTAGTGTTGATTATTTTGTGTTGACCGACAAAGAAACCGAAAAAGTTAACCCTGCAACACCGCTAACCAGCTTTTATCAAGTGGAACAAATAAGAGCTGAAGGGCAGCACTGTGAATGAGAGGCAGAGCTGCTTTGTGTGGCCAGCTGAGTGTGTGTGCGTGCGTGTGTGTGTGTGTGCGTGTGTGCGTGTGTGTCTGACGTACAGTAAGAAAACACAAGAAGACTTTTTCACTAGACTGGCACATACGTCATTTTTGAGCTGGTATTGACAGTACAGACTCTGTTCCAAATATTCATACTCTACTGTGAATTGCAACGCTAACATGACTATATGGAGTGAGTGACTGTACCTGGTTTTTGGTCTGCGGTGCTTTCTCTCGGTTGCTCGTCTGAAGTGGAGTCTCACTGGCCACTGGACCAATAGGTGTGGGCTAAACACACAGGAAGTGGGGTCAAGAAGGGATCAGAGAAAGGAAATACACAGTCAGTTAAATTTCTTTATGTGGACTTAATTATTGAGCTTATGGAAAACTCTGTTGTACTGTTGGGGGTAGGAGCCCTGTACAATAAGCTCTTTTGTCATTAAAAACTCATTTAAATCAAATTTGGCAGGGTTAGAGTGATGGCGCTGGATGTCAAATTTTAAATCTCACCACTGAACTCAAAACTCATTAGTTTAACTTCAACACTGTTTTCTGCTGACCTCACTCACAGTGAGTATGTTCAGATTACAGTTTGCAAAGGAACATAAACACGGAAGAGGAAGTGTCTTTGACTTTCTGTCGATAAGAGAAATTAATAGCATGACTATCAGTTCCTGTTTACACAGTACATTAGCCACATGATTACATCACTGTCAAACTAGCCTCTCAACATGGACCCTACCCTAAATATATATAAACTAAGTTTATATATATCAACTCTGACAGCTTACTGTGTGTGTGTGTGTGTGTGTGTGTGTGTGTGTCACAATACACCCCCTCCACACTAACCAGTGGTTTTCCAGTCCAGTCATACTGGTAGTCAAAGATGTATCCATTTCTGTCAAAGAGGTCCGTAAAGAGTTTCCTCAGATAGTCATAATCTGGCTTCTCGAAAAAGTCCAGCCGACGCACGTACCGCAGATAGGTGGCCATCTCTTCTGTTTCATACACACAGGCACAATTCACACACACATACACGGGCACCAAAACCACGCACACACAGATTCATATACAGAGAAAAATAAGATTTGATCAACATATGCTAGCCTGATCATATATGCAACAGCTGCACAGAAAAACACTTTTTTTCAGAGGTGTGTGTAAACAAACCTGGGAAGCTTTCACAGAGGACTTCTATTGGTGTGTCTCTCTTTGTGTCCCCTATCTTCTGATAACGTTCTTTCAGGGTGTCAGCCTAAAGAGGACAGAGACATAGAGGAGTTCATTTATAATGGGATAAATGGATGCAACACCACTATACAGAGGTGATGAAGGGGAAAAAAACAAAGATGACTGGACTGATGAACACACTGCATGACTGATCAACGGTCTCCTCACCTTGAGTCCCTGCCAGGGTAGACTGCCTCGCAGAAAGTACATGAACATGTGGCCTAGAGCTTCCAGGTCATCCCGCCTGCTTTGCTCTAAAACACAAAATAAATAGAATTACTGCCTCGCGGTTGTTTGCCTCCGCAAACCAGTCAAGTTGAAGTTACAGTTTACATCTATGTCTGTCCTGACCCATAAGTAGTCATGACAGTAGACAATGCTTCAAATATGGATATTGCTGTAAAGAAGCTATGGAATCTAAAACATGGATGCTTCACACACACATCTTTAACCTGACAAAATCTATACAATCAGCAGAGTTTCAAGGTGGACAGCTAGGATTAGTGTCACCAATTCAGTATCTGACCAAATGTCTCCCCTTCTGTTCCTGACATTAAGTGATGGCCAGAAAAGTGTTTTAGCAAAACATTATGATGTCACAGTGAAGTTGACCTTTGGGATATATAATGTCATCACTTCATCATTTTATTCTGTTAGATATTAATGTGAAATTTTGTTGTAATTACCGCCATGAATTCTTGAATAATGCCCCAAAACATGTTTTGTGAGGTCACAGTGACCTTGACCTTTGACCACCACATCTGTTCATCTGTGAGTCCAAATGGACGCTGGTGCCAAAGTTGAAGAAATTCCGTCAAGGCATTTCTGAGATATTGTGTTCATGAGAATGGGACAGACACAATGTCAAAGTGCCTGTTGACAACCAAAATTTAATCAGTACATCCTTGAGTCCAAGTGGACATTGTTTGAGGAAATTCTCTGAGGACATTCTTAAGATATTGTTTTCAAGAGAATGCAGTGGATGGATGTACAACCCCAAAAACATAATGCCCTTGGCCATGGTTGTCACCAGTGCGGAGGCATAACCCGCAATTTCGGCGCGCACTGCGTAGCAGATACACTCCCATTCTAGTGAATAGTTTCATTTTTCACAGGACGTGCCGCGCAGCGTCTCTGAAGCATCCCAGAAGCGCCACGGCGCTCCGCTTCGTCGGAAATCCACGCCAGGTCTATTTTTCAGCGACTGCACGTCCATAGCACGTCAAGCCACGTAGCTCAGATCCACGAAACCTGAAATGGAACGCACACAGCACCCGGTAAATTTCAAAATACAACACAATGCACAGACTACGGATTGTAAACTCTCAGTTTTTTAAAAATCATGAAGTAATGTTGATGTGAACAGCAAGATGATCTCAAGTTAAACTTGTTTTCTCTCTTTCTCCTTCGGAATGAACTATTGTTTTGGTCTGGCTCACACTTAATCAACTGCTTTTTATCGCTTGATTTTGCAGTTCCCACGTGAGCTTGCGGCTCCGCTATGCGGCGCTACAGAAATGCACCCAGTAGGCGAGGGTACGCGCCGTCGGTCACTCCAGATCCGTGGTGCTGCGCAGAGCTGCGCAGACAGAGTATATGGAAATTGCAGGTAACAACAAAGACTTAAACTGCTCTTAATCATGACAGATAATAATTGTCAAGCCTAAGTATGTGTTGAGCAGGCCTGTAAACACAGGTGGGATGAAAAAGGTTACAGTTCTGGCACTTCTTTCCCACTTTTTTGAGCAAAAGGAATTAAAGTGTAATGGGCATTAACATTATTTTTTTGATATAACTTTCATGACATTCTAATGTTGTAAATGGCTGACTCTGTGTCAGCACTGTTCTTGCAAGTTTCAGGGCTGATTTAAAACAGCAGGTGGCGTTAGAGCCATTTTCAACCCATGAAATGCCAGTTTTGATCAATTTAGCTAGAAATATCAATGTTAACACCAACAGTGATGTGTTTCATCACACTACAATCATGTAATTTAGTTTACAGCAAAAAAAAAAAAAAAACTGTTTAAAGGTGCAGTCCCTCTTTCATAGCCTACAATATTGTTGATCCATTAATCTTTTCAGTTATTTATTCAGCAAAACGGCTCCTTAAATGTGAGGATCACATAATTGACTGATATTACTGAATAACTGACTAACAGAACAAATTATTTGAAGATGTCACCTTGGGCCCTGGGGAATTGGAGGGACTTTTTTTTTTTTAACAATTATCTGATATAGTAAAAAATAAATGACACATTACTGTACCACAAAAAACATAAAACAATGTCAGCCCTAATTATTTTCTGTATTTGGCCTTTGCCATGTGCCTTTTTGTTCCCGCGGTTTCAGCTTCAACCCCTTCTCTCTCCCTCACTTGGGGATCATCATCATGTAATGTCACATTGTTTACTGACACCTGTAACACACATCTGGTGTACATAAAGACAGAAGAAATGGTCTAGGCCGAGCAGATGATGAGTGTTGTTCCTGGGAGAAATGTGATTAAAAAAAGCAACTTTTCTGGAGAGTTAACACACATCAAGATGCCGACTGTGTGTTTGATTTTACAGAGAAAACAACATGGATGGGTGATTTGATGTGCATTTTACCAATCTCTTTTCTTTTTACCTTCCTCAGACCTTCGAATAAAAGGCAGAGTGAACAAAATAAAATGTTATTATAAAGAACATTTTCAAATCCATTTACAAAGAAGAATAAAGCAAAAATTAAACCTGACAGGTTTATTGCTGTACGTGCTCAAATACCCACAGCCTTTAGAGGGCCTTAGACATCTATGGTGGATATGGTTATAACCTGTGATTTGTGTAACTATTGGCACATGTGTGCAAATGTCACACGAGGAATCAACTCACCTTTCCCCAAATGTGTATTGATGCTCATATATCTAGCAGTTCCAGTCAGACTCTTGTGTTCTCTGTATGGGATGTGTTTCTTGGTCTCTGGGTCAATGTATTCTTTCGCCAGGCCAAAGTCTATGATGTGGATGGTGTGTTGCCGTTTGGAGCCAGGTCGGCCCACCAGGAAGTTCTCAGGCTTCACGTCTCGATAGATCAGGCTTCTGGTATGGACAAACTCCATACGGGTTATCTGCAGGAAAGGACGAAGCAAAAAAGGCAGAGCTAAGTAATCTAACAATACACTTTGACTGTTTTTGAGAATTGAATGAAAAGGTTTTTATGCGTTTGCCTTACCAGTTGTATAGCTATCATGAGTACTGTCTTAAGAGAGAAGGTCCGGTCGCAGAGGTCAAACAGATCTTCTAAGCTAGGTCCCAGTAGCTCCAGAACCATAGCATTGTATTTACCACATGGTCCAAAGTAAAACACTTGGGGTACGCCCTCTGGATGAACAGATAAAGATAGAACAGGCACATTTATGTATTAACACTGTACACTGATCAAACATCAACCATCAATGAATCCACTATGAGAAATGACAAACAAACTGTGCGGAGAAGACTGACAGCAGCTGAAGGCCACCACGCTGGATATTATCCTGATATACTCAGCCCACATTACAATTCTGAGCTCAACATCAAGTAGAAAAGATACAGATATCTTATAACAGAGATATAGGTCCCAAGTCAAGACCAACAAGTCCCACATTAAGTCCAGGTCCTGCACTTCGATTCCAAAACAAGTTATTATGCTCCCTACATCAAAGTGAATGCCATTAGATATTTTTTGAATCATTGACAGTTAATATAGTAAATGTACAGACATAATGCTTTGTAAAATTTGCATTTATTACTTTCAAAAAAACTATTTTGCACGTTGCTGTTGCCGACCATTCTGAATTGACCACAGTAGTATTGAAATCTGAATGTAATAATTATGATATTGTCTGCTGGTCTTTATAGTCAAATGTACCTTTTTCTTCTGCTCACGCGACATGATTGTCTGTTGTCGGACTGATTCAAAGTATTTCCCTTTTTTAAGAAAAATTAAGAGCTGATCTGCATAAAACATTGGTTCTTAAATTATGGTATAATCCTGGTGGGAGGCGAGCTCCCTTTGCTGGTACATGGAAAGATCTTTTAAAATATTTTTAAGTATTAAATTATGCATAATGTTACAAAAATACATAATTTTGAATGACAGCACCTTAACTATGAAATCCCAGAAACAAAATTCAAAGTAAGTTTTGCCTTTCTTGCTTTTTTGTTTCAATATCAGCCTACTACATAGTCACGTTCATGAACACAGCACAGGATCATTTACGAACTAAACTGTGATGATGAGTAAGGATAGACCGATACATCGGCTGGCCTATATATCGGGCCGATATTTGAGTTTTTTTACTTGTATCGGCATTGGCCGATACGCGCGTGGGTTTGCTGATTTATTTTTCCCTGGCACCTTTTTTCATTTGAAAGTATGTGGTTAAGTTGAACAAAGCTGTTGAATCCTACTGTGTACAGTAGTTGTTGTTTTATTTATGCTTCAGCTTAAATATTTGTTTATTTTATAAAGACATTACTGGAAGATTTAAGAGCACTGAACTCTTTTTTTTATTTGAATGTATAATAATAATAATAATAATATTCTACCTGTTCTACCTCAACTTTCCATCTTGTTTTAGTATTTTTTACTGTTCAATAATTTTTTCTTATTTTAAACTTGAGACCCGTAATATATGTTATCATTGTGTCATTTTTTTTTAAGTAAATTGAGGGAGCAAAAGCAGTATCGGCCCCAAATATTGGCTAAAGAAAATCGGCGGTCCATAATCGGTCATCGGCTAAAGGTGATGGAAAAAAAATCGGTATCACACAGGAGGTGTTTCAGACTTATTTTTCAGTCGTCTGTCTCACACTTCTGATGAAACAGAAAAGCTCCTAATTAAATCAATTAAGCTGTCCGCACAGGCTGCATAACGGCTGTTATTTGCATTCTGTTGTAACTACAGTGATCCTATGTTGGTCTCTGTGCGCTGCTGAATGCGGGTGACCTACACGCAATACTATGCCTTAAGGCATCCCGTGTAGACACAGACAGAGGACTGAAACTGCTGCTGCTCTGCTACATGCTGCTTTTGCTACATGGGCTGTTTAGACAGCTTTTATCCAAGAGCTATCACTGAACTGAACAGAATCAAACACTGTCCCGCCATTGTGTTGTGGACTATTAAGAAACATTGAGCTTGACTCAAACGTGAAATAATGGGTCAACTTGTGCAATACTGCTTTGAATGTTATTTTTTTATATTTATTGATTGGGGGTGGGAAGTGGGAAACACATCAAGTGATCTTGTATTTGTTATTGCACTAGCAGCTCATAAGCTCACACTGGTTGATATGGGTGTCGACAGTGGAAAGAAATATGAAGATATCTTTGTCTAGAAACACAGAGGTAGAATATGGCTGCCTACACCCTCCCCAGGTCAAAAGTAGAGTTAGGAGTGACATGAACTGCAGTGCTTAGGTAAACAGGCTTTCCAAATTGGAAAAAAAAATCGAGAAAAACACCACAGAATAATATGGCACTTCTCTTTTTGGTATTTATAATGCTACAAAAATAAAACTTAAGAAGTCTTTTTGCTGGTTGGCATTAGTGTGTATGCTCCACACAGCTAACTTTATTAAACATGTTGGTCACATGAAAACTTTTCCATTATCTCTCAGTAGAAAACCTGACAAAAGAGACAGTGGTTCTTACCTGAACTTCCCAGCTGTTTGTAGAAGCGATATTCTAGGTGGAGCTGGGGCGCCCGTGACTTGATAGGCTCCTATGAAGGAGGATTATGTCTGAATTAGAATAATTCTTTGTCACACAATAGACGTGGTAAATTTCATAAAATACAATTCATTATATATATTTTTCTGACAATACTTTATTCAGGGCAATTTGTATTTTCTATGTAAATAATGTCTTTCAGTACAATGCAAAACAGTTTTCTGTCCCTTTCAAGTGCAAATGATTTTATTCTGAACTATGGATTAGCGTCCCTCTCACTATTACACAAATTAATTGTGCTGCCCTAAAATGCTATACACTCCACACAGAGAAATTATGTTTACCAGTTTAATAGCCACGTATTCATTGGTGTACAGGTTCTTTCCAAGTCGCAGCTCTCCAAAGTTCCCACAGCCGATCTTCTTTCCTACCCGGAAGTTTGGTCCGACCATCAGAACCCCGGAGTTGGAGCTGGCACCCCGTCCACCATGCCCTGATCGACTCCCCTTCTTTCCAGGCATCCTCTTCCCCTCCTCCGTCTCCCCCTTGCCTCCACCTCCCCCACCACCTCCTCCTCCTCCACCACCACCGCCACCACCACCTCCTCCCCCTACTCCTCGCTTGTCAAAGTCCATCAGTTTGTGGTAGCCTGGCCTCTCCACGGTTAAGCCGATTCCATGCAACCAAAACAACTACCAAAACAACTGCCTAGCGGCTTGACTGTCAGACGTTAGGATGGTCTCCGCGGGGCCAAAATGTGAATTTAACTTGGCTTGGGGTTTAACTTTAAAGAGGGCAGGGTCTTCGCTGGACTGGGACAGATGCTAGAAATGAAAGGAAATAAGCGGATATAAAACACTAGAGCTTAGTTATGCAGAACTTAAGAGTGCTTAGTACTATAAAATAAGTGATGAGGGCTGATGAGAGTGAAAGAAATCAAAAGCTAATGATTGCTGGGTGGGTGGATAGATGACTAAATTAAAGAGAAATGAAAAAATGACAGGGTAAGGGGGCAACACTTCCAACCAGTTTATACCCCCTTGTAGGGGCCAGAGATGGTGATGGAGGGGAAGGGGATAATGGCCTTATCAGTCACCATGCGTGGCTAGCCATATGCTAACATGCTATATGAAACTGGGAAGCTATGCTAGCTTCAGGCTAAGATATACCAGTCCACCATGACAACAGCCTGCTGTCAGCACAAAACCCATGCACCCAACCCCAGTGCAGACTTTAACAGCAGTTGAGGTAATCTGAGTTTACCAAAAACTAGTTCAGAGGTTCCCCTTTCTTACAGCTGATACTGGTATAAATACCTCAGGCATGTGATTTATTGCCATAGATCTTAGTTAGTTGGTTTTAGAGCATGTGTTCCTATCAATCCTAGACCTCTGTACTTGTCCACTGTCACACAGAAGATGATAATCTGTCACACAACTGCTTGGTCCTGCAGAACACCAGGTGAAGCTTTTGCCCCTGGGTGTGATGAGAGTGTGTGCCGATGTTTCAACGTTCCACCTGCAAGACATGAAAAAAAAAAGAGATGAGATTCAAATGATTTCATGAAAGTTGAACCATATGTCAGTATTTAATGTATAGCACAGTTTGCCACACATTCATTTGTCACGGCTAGGGTTGGGACTCGTTAGGATTTTAACGATTCCGATTCCTTACCGATTCCTCTTACCGATTCCTACATTATATTCCTTATACTTGCTATACTTAATCAAGTATATAATAAACACAAATGCAATCATACAAATACAAAAACTTTATTCTAACTGTTGCACAGTACAATTAGATGAAAATACACATTTGTGCACCTCCCGCTGCCAGCCTCCACCTTGATTAAACGCTGAAAATTAAATAAAAGAGGGAGACAGGCGTCTCCTATTTTATCTTATTTTGTTATATTTCTACCGCTCCCCTCGCTGGAAGTGTCGGACCTACTGCCGCCCGCTCCCGTCTCAAACTTGTAGGTCTCCCTCTCCGCTGAGCACCCGGCGCACGCCCGGCCTATTAAATAGCCTGTAACCATGACAACTGTGTGACACAAACTCAGTGCTTTAGTGATTAGATAATGTCGGGCTCGGACAGAAATATGCGGCCCGTGCCGCACTCTAATGGAAATGCACGTGACGTTTTTTTTTTTTTTTTTTTTAAACAATCTAGGAATCGTTTGCAGGAACTGTTACGCCAAATGTGATGGAACCGGTTCCAGAACCAGAACTTTGGACCCGGTTCCAAAAAAGAACCAGATCCGGATCCCAACCCTAGTCACGGCCCACCACGACATCAGCATTTGCTGCCACATGTTGGTTTTCTATTTTTGGAGCTGGACTGTTCATTAGGAGTGCTGCTGGAATAGAGATACTGTTCGGTTATTCAGAGCACCACACTATCTGAGTACAGAGTGTACTCTGGGCACTGACAGAGCAGTTGAACCCTAGGTGCAGTTTAAGTGAAACTTAACCGTTCATTCATTCATAAAGAAATAAAACGCTCTATTTCTTAGAACAACAGCGCTCTCAACATAATGGTTTTTTTTAAACCTTTTTCCAACCTTTTTTGGATTAAACTGGCTGCAATCCCATGGACACCAAGCACCCCACAGTCCAATTCTAGGTCTAAAGCCTCATTTCCACCAAGCGGTCCGGTTCAGTTCACTTCAGTTTGGTAGATATTATAAAGGTTATTTTTACGTTTCTATTGTGAAGATTTGCAGATGGTACCAAGAGAACCATCCCTTGCCATCTCCATTTTTGGTCACCCTCTGTTGAGGTACCTAGCACACTGATCAGGTACTAAAAGATGGAGATACTGTATTGTATATATACACAGTACAGGCCAAAAGTTTGGACACACCTTCTCATTCAATGCGTTTTCTTTATTTTCATGACTATTTACATTGTAGATTCTCACTGAAGGCATCAAAACTATGAATGAACACATGTGGAGTTATGTACTTTACAAAAAAAGGTGAAATAACTGAAAACATGTTTTATATTCTAGTTTCTTCAAAATAGCCACCCTTTGCTCTGATTACTGCTTTGCACACTCTTGGCATTCTCTCCATGAGCTTCAAGAGGTAGTCACCTGAAATGGTTTTCCAACAGTCTTGAAGGAGTTCCCAGAGGTGTTTAGCACTTGTTGGCCCCTTTGCCTTCACTCTGCGGTCCAGCTCACCCCAAACCATCTCGATTGGGTTCAGGTCCGGTGACTGTGGAGGCCAGGTCATCTGCCGCAGCACTCCATCACTCTCCTTCTTGGTCAAATAGCCCTTACACAGCCTGGAGGTGTGTTTGGGGTCATTGTCCTGTTGAAAAATAAATGATCGTCCAACTAAACGCAAACCAGATGGGATGGCATGTCGCTGCAGGATGCTGTGGTAGCCATGCTGGTTCAGTGTGCCTTCAATTTTGAATACATCCCCAACAGTGTCACCAGCAAAACACCCCCACACCATCACACCTCCTCCTCCATGCTTCACAGTGGGAACCAGGCATGTGGAATCCATCCGTTCACCTTTTCTGCGTCTCACAAAGACACGGCGGTTGGAACCAAAGATCTCAAATTTGGACTCATCAGACCAAAGCACAGATTTCCACTGGTCTAATGTCCATTCCTTGTGTTTCTTGGCCCAAACAAATCTCTTCTGCTTGTTGCCTCTCCTTAGCAGTGGTTTCCTAGCAGCTATTTGACCATGAAGGCCTGATTGGCGCAGTCTCCTCTTAACAGTTGTTCTAGAGATGGGTCTGCTGCTAGAACTCTGTGTGGCATTCATCTGGTCTCTGATCTGAGCTGCTGTTAACTTGCGATTTCTGAGGCTGGTGACTCGGATGAACTTATCCTCAGAAGCAGAGGTGACTCTTGGTCTTCCTTTCCTGGGTCGGTCCTCATGTGTGCCAGTTTCGTTGTAGCGCTTCATGGTTTTTGCGACTCCACTTGGGGACACATTTAAAGTTTTTGCAATTTTCCGGACTGACTGACCTTCATTTCTTAAAGTAATGATGGCCACTCGTTTTTCTTTAGTTAGCTGATTGGTTCTTGCCATAATATGAATTTTAACAGTTGTCCAATAGGGCTGTCGGCTGTGTATTAACCTGACTTCTGCACAACACAACTGATGGTCCCAACCCCATTGATAAAGCAAGAAATTCCACTAATTAACCCTGATAAGGCACACCTGTGAAGTGGAAACCATTTCAGGTGACTACCTCTTGAAGCTCATTGAGAGAATGCCAAGAGTGTGCAAAGCAGTAATCAGAGCAAAGGGTGGCTATTTTGAAGAAACTAGAATATAAAACATGTTTTCAGTTATTTCACCTTTTTTTGTTAAGTACATAACTCCACATGTGTTCATTCATAGTTTTGATGCCTTCAGTGAGAATCTACAATGTAAATAGTCATGAAAATAAAGAAAACGTATTGTATGAGAAGGTGTGTCCAAACTTTTGGCCTGTACTGTACATATATATGCTGGGCAACAAGTTGTCAGTGATACAGTAAAGGAAAATTTTGTAAGTTGAAATGTTTTTATTTTTTTATCGCAGGAACCAACCAATAGCATTCAGCCTTTCAGAAAACAGAAAACCAGGCCAGATCTTACTCCAGGAGGACAGGACATGTTCTCTGGTGTTTCCGATTTCCTCTTCTAATAATAACACTCATCCTGGCTTCTCCCATTCCTTCCTTCTCTCCTCTCAGTTTTCCTCAGCACTCCATTTTCCAATATATCCCCTCTCCTCTGCTCAAGACCTCTCTTTTCTCCTTTTGCTATAATAAGCTGGTAAATGGCAGTGCATGAGAGGTCATATTTATTAATTAGCATTTTACTATGCAGGTATAAGATGATGCACGTTCTTGTTTTATAAGTCAAATACAACTGCCTCTTTAATTAAAAGTAATCAAACCTTTGTATTTGGTATTGGTATTTTTGGTTTCTTATTTGAGTCATCGAGTCAGATATATTAATTCCGTTACAAGCATGTTCCTAATCTGCAATACTTGTGCTTAATATAAAATATAGGCTACTTACTGTAACTGCAAGGTGAGCACAGACACTTTTTAAATGTCACAGATTAAGTCAAATCAATTAACTGACACTCAGAGCAATAATACTTAACAATAAATATCCACCAAAATTTGAGCTACAATTTGTTAGGTCCTGTTTGAAGAATTAACTATTGAGGAGATTACTGCAACATGTGAGGGAGCGTACAGCTGATCACATCTATTAATTTAACTTTCCAAAGTTAAAGGCTTTGTTTTTGATCAGTTTCAGAATACTCTGTTGCAAGAAAATCTGTAAGCACTAAGTGAATAATGCAGTAATATAAATTTTAAGACAATCACTCCTAAACTGATTTCGTATTTGTCGGCCAATAGCTCCACAGTCTAGTTTTAGAACACAAAAATAATTTCAACAATTAATTTAAGTTAAACAGATACATATCACTTTACCTCTTTTACAATACATAATGTAAATGGGAATTTGTATTCTTTTTCTATGGCAGTATTGGTCTAGAGTGTCACCAATTTGCCAGGCTAATGCTGCATGCATGCTGCATTTCTACTGGATGGTACAGAACAGCTCTACTCAACTCAAGTCACTCCTTGATTTATTTTAGTTTTCTATCGGCCAAGGTTGTGGATAGTACCTGGTGGTGTACTTGTTTTGTGGTACCACTTCAATCAAGGTCCCCCCCCCCCTATCGTTCATTGGCGATTTCACTAGATGACGATAGGATATGGACAAGATCGCCCAACTCTAGTCACTATAGCAGGGTACTATAAGCAGTGGAAAACAAAATGGAGAAAGGACCTGGCACCAAAAGTGAGTAAAATATCAAATCAAGTCAAGCTGTATCATGCAGCAGTACCTTATGCCTAATTACCTGCAGTGAAAATGAGCCACAAGGTACTGTTTGCAGATGATGCCAGATTGTTCCCAGCATTGTCTGTGTTTTGCTTAAGTGGCAACCCCTGGGGCTGACATAGAAGCCAACATGGAAGTGCCAAAACTGCAGTTCCTCTAATGGCCACTTGAGGCTGGCTCCTAGAACAAGGCAATCCACATAGACCCACATGTTAGTTAAGTATCCACAGTGATACTAAACTTAAAGCCTATAAGCCAAATCTGGCCTTTGATAGGGAGGCAGGCCACCCCTCCAACCATTTGCTAATTCACACTGAAAATACTTTTTTGTATTTTTAATGTAAATAAGGTTCCAGGGTGCATAAAAAGCATCAAAATACAGCTTGTTTATAAAAAAATAAATTTAAAAAATGCCGGGGGAGGATTGCTTGCACCAACAACAGAGGTCTGGACTAAGCCTCCATGTCCTCAAATCCTAGAGATGCCCCTGCATAGGGCTGGCAGATAAAACGATCTCAAACAGGAGCGCAATAAAATGTATGTCATCTATCTACATGGATAGACCTAGATAGATTCAAACAGCGTGTCATGCAGCAGAAGTTAACAAGACAGCTGTCAGTCAATCTGCAGTGTCAGGGAT